CAAGGGACACCCGGCGTTCACGGCAAAACATCTTGCAGGGCTACCAGACCACGGACCTTGGGATCACGAGATCAAACTCAAGGAAGGAGCCCAGTTGAAGTTTTTCAAGGTGTATCACACCAACGAGAAGCAAGATGCAGAGTTGAGGAGCTACCTCGAGAAGAACCTCGAGATAGGACACATCAGACCATCGACATCTCCAGCGGGCTACCCAGTCCTCTTCGTTCCAAAGAAGGATGGGAAGCTCAGGATGTGTGTGGACTACCGACAGTTGAACAACGAGACGGTGAAGAACCGCTACCCACTGCCACTGATCTCGAGACTCCGAGATCAACTGTCAGGGGCACAATACTTCACGCGCCTCGATCTTCCGACAGCGTACGCCCACATCCGCATCAAGGAAGGAGACGAATGGAAGACGGCTTTTCGGACACCCTACGGGCACTACGAGTACCTCGTCATGCCGTTTGGGTTGACCAACGCACCAGCGACATTTCAAGCCGCTATCGACCACGCAATACGACATTGCCTCGATAAATTTGCAGTCTGTTACTTGGATGACATTCTCATCTACTCCAAGACACTCGAAGAACACAAGAAGCATGTGCAGCAGGTGCTGGATGCACTGCATGAGCACAAGTTGTCAGTCAACAAGGACAAGAGCGAGTTTCATGTCAAAAAGACAGTGTTTCTGGGTTACGAAATCTCCCCAGGATGGGTCAAGATCGAACCCGAGAAACTGGAAGCTGTCAGGACGTGGCCGACACCAACAAACGCCACAGAGGTCAGAGGATTCATCGGATTCGCCAACTTTGTCCGGATGTTCATCAAGAACTTCGGCGACATCGCGAGACCTCTACACGAACTCACGAAGAAGGATGCCACATTCCAGTGGAAGCAGGAGCACGAGCAGGCTTTCCAGCGGATCCGCGATGCGATCATCGCCGACCCGGTGCTCATGCTGCCTGATCCAAGCACACCTTTCGAAGTCGAGGCTGATGCTTCGGACTTCGCGATCGGAGGACAACTTGGTCAGAGGGACAAGGACGGCAAGCTGCATCCAGTTGCGTTCTTCTCCAAGAAACTCGAAGGACCAAGGCTCAACTACCCGATCCACGACAAGGAGCTTCTCGCAATCATCGAAGCATTTCAGGAATGGAGACCATACCTCAGCGGCACGACACACGAAGTTCAGGTGTACACGGACCACAAGAACTTACGCTACTTCACCACCACGAAGGTGCTGAACGGACGACAAACTCGATGGGCAGAGTTCCTGTCCGAATTCAACTTCACGATCCACTACAAGAAAGGGTCAGAGAACGCACGAGCGGACGCCTTGAGTAGGAGAGCGGATCATCATGACAACACATCTGAAGCCTCACCACCATTGCTACATCAACAGACAGACGGATCGCTACGGCACGCTTCCCAACCGACTGAAGACTACGAGATCGCAGCACTTCAGCAACAGTCGGAAGATCCCGAAGCTAGGCCTCTGCAACCGTTTGTAGAATGCTGTGCGGCCTTCAGGGAACAACGTTTGGAACAAGATTTCCAAGGAACCATCGCGGACGACGAGCGCGATGCATGGCAAGAAGAGCCGGAATCCAAGATCGCGGGATTGCGACTTGAAGGAACGAGACTCTGGTACCACGACAAAGCCTACGTCAGGCCCGGCGACCAAAAGGAGCTCATTCGGAAGATCCACAAGTCGAAACTCGGAGGGCACATGGGAATCAGCAAGACAATCGCAAAAGTCAAGCAGAACTACGACTTCCCAGGAATCAAGCAAGCGACGGAAGAAGTCCTGGCAGAGTGCGACCTCTGCGGACGAAGCAAACCGCCACGACACAAGCCATACGGGCTGTTGCAACCATTGCCAGTCGCGGAACGACCATGGAGTTCGGTGACGATGGACTTCATCACCAAACTACCACTGTCCAAGGACTCGGTAACGGGAGTGGAATACGACAGCATCCTCACAATGGTGGACAGACTCACCAAGTGGAGCTACTTCCTCCCTTACAAGGAAACATGGTCGGCAGAACAACTTGCAGACGTGATCTATCGCAACGTCACCTCGGTCCACGGATGGCCGGAGGAATGGATCACGGACAGAGACACGAAGTTCGCATCAAAGTTTTGGCAAGCTCTGATGACGAAGCTGGGTACGAAGAGTAAGCTTTCGACTGCTTATCACCCACAAACGGACGGACAGACGGAACGACTCAACCAGATCGTTGAACAATACCTACGGTTGTACGTCAACTTCCAGCAGGATGATTGGGTCGAGCTGTTGCCAACGGCACAACTCGCCTACAACACCACCGTCACGGAGACCACGAAGGTCACACCATTCTTCGCGAATTACGGCTACGAAGCAGATTTGCGACAAGGGCCCGAAGTCTCGGTGCCCAGAGCGGCAGTCAAAGCCGACAAAATGAGCTCGCTGCACGCGATGCTCAAGGAGGAACTCGAGTTCGTACGAACCAGGATGAAGAAGTTCTACGACAGAAACAGGCTCGAGGGACCTCGCCTAGAAGAGGGGGGCAAAGTTTACCTCATTTCTCGAAATCTTCGCACAAAGCGACCAAGCAGGAAACTCGATTTTCGCAAAATCGGACCGTTCAAGATCGACAAAAAGATTTCGGAGAACAATTACGCACTCGCGTTACCCTCGACAATGCGACTACGGACCAACGTTTTTCACATCTCGCTTCTGGAACCAGCGCCCGAGAACGCGCGACTCGACAAGGACGCCGAGGCAGAAGACGAAGAGGAGGAATGGGACGTTGAGGAAGTCCTAGATTCACGCATCATGAAAGGACAGTTGGAGTATTTGGTCAAATGGCTGGACTTTGGCCCAGAAGACAATTCATGGCAACCAGCTACCAACCTCAACTGCCCCGAGAAACTTCAGGAGTTCCACCAGAGGAATCCGGACCGACCAAAGGAAGCCCCACAGACAAGTCGACCCCGGCGAGGAAGGGGTCGTCCGAAGAAAAACTAAGCACTGTCAGCAAGGAAGCAAGGAGGGGGGTAAAGAAGACGAACTTTTGAACCCAAGGAAAGTCAAAAGAAGGAACGCCGGCGACACCCGAGGAAGACGGTTGCCCGGTAGCAACCTCCCGGCGCTCCTGCTCCACAAGCACTTCCCCCTCCTGGTCAAACATCGCCAGGGCCCTGCGTTTCAAGGCCAGACGCTGGGTCCGCAGGCGATCCGCTTTCGCCAGGGCCGTCGCAAGGTCGCGATTCGCATTCAGGAGCTCGCGCTGTGCCTCCCGAATGGCATCAGTGGCAGCACGCTCCTGCTCGTCCAGATCGCGCTCCTCGTCAACAATGCGACGAACGGCAGAATCACTATACCCAAAAGCGTCGCATGAATGGTTACCCGCGTCGAGACAGTTGCCGCAAACGTCGGAATTGTCGGAAACCTTGCAATCTGAAAGTTTCTTTTCCCTGCAGCGAGTACACCTCACCATTTCGGTGCCAACAAGATTGGATAAAGTTGCACGAGTACGACGGCGCTCGGTGCTGGATTTTTGCTTTCGCTTGCGTTTCCTCACACCGTTAGCCATGATGAAGGATGAATGGGAAAGGATGGTGGGGACCACTCACCAAACAGATTGGGGACTGTTGGCGCTATTTCAAGAAGTTGGCTAAAGGAAGTGGCCGACGGGACGTCGACCCTGGAGGGGGGGCATCGTGTCACGAATATGCCAACAGGCGGAACCGCGGGGCGCGGGACGCCCCGGGCCAGTCATGGAATAAGCCAATCGGAAGGCAGGAACAGGATCGATGGTGATCAGTGAGCTCAGTTGCCAAGCCAGGACTGAGCACACTGAGCACCAGGCAAGGTCACCAATCAGGACGATTGTAACTCAGAAGTGATCAGTGAGCTCAGTTGTCGAACCCGGACTGAGCACACTGAGCACCCAAGAATTAGATAGGTATATAGTCACTCGTTCTGGAGAGCTCTGGGAGTTCTCCAGTTAGCAATCACAACTACAGTTCGCTACAAGCTCGAGAGCCTACTGTTGAGACAAGTCTTTGTTGTGCACCCTTTGGCTGCACCGAACCTACGCACCCTTGAGAGAATACCTTCGACCGATACTGAACCCTAACAGGACGGGTCCAGAGACAGGTTCGTCACATATAGCTAGAGGGTTTAGCCGAATCCACTACTATAGTAGAGGGGGGTTTAGCCGAACCTACCGCTATAGCAGGGTCCCTACTAATACCTCCAAGAACTAACGGTACTGTTAGGGCCGAAGGCCGGGGACAATACTACCTTCGTTAAGATCTACTACAATAGAGCGGTAAAGAGTTAGAAACCTCCTCAGAGAAAGTTCCGGGTAAACGTAAAGGGGTAGCTTCTATCGCTACTCCTTAAGGAAAGGAGACCCTAGCTTTACCGGAGGCCAGCGAACCTTCTCGGAGACCCGTTCACCGAAGGCCAGCAAAGGCCCCGGGTATCAGACTAACTACCAAGGGGTTTACAACAGCTATATCGCTAAGGGTTTAGATATAGCTATAATATACCTATATCTAGGGGGGTATATTGTATAAAATGTATAGTAGATAGTGGCTGGAGGTTACGGTATGGTGGGTCAATAATATAGGGGTTACCGGGCCTACAATTAACGCCCGGGTGCAGAGTTTTCAGGGGGCGCAGGAGGCCCTCCGTTTATTCTAGATATATACAAGTTCTTCAGACAATACGATTACGGTTGATTCGGATGCCCTCTGTATAGTGACCTTTGTCGCACTACATTTAGACCCCTGTTTAGAAGTACTGTTACTCTGGCTGTTGGATTTCCAACACGACGCAAATGGGTTGGCACTGTTAGGTTCGCGCCAAACTAACGGGCGCAGCTGCAAGGGTCCGAGGCGCGTTGACAAACCATGATTTTGTGGGGCTCGTGGGGGCGCCAGGGGATAATCCTTATCGATAAGGAACGACGGAATATTTTCCCAAAATTTCCCGCCGCTTTTATCAGGAACCATCTTTTCAGCGTGTCTCCACGCATTCGAAAGCTGTGTGTGTGCGCTTCCCTGCGTTTGTGTTTCAGCATCCCGAAATCATGTCGGCCGGAAAGAAGCACGCCCGGGACGGCGAGGACCAAGGCGCCCGCCTGGCCAAGAAGGCAAAGACCGACAACACACCGACAGACAGCGACCCCTCCGTGCTGAAGGCCGACAAGAAGAAGAAGAAGGATAAGAAGGATAAGAAGGAACGGAAGGAGAAAAAGGAAAAGAAGGAGAAGAAGGCTAAGAAGGAAGACCTTGAAGAGGACTCTGAAGAACAGCAGAATGGCGACAGCGCCGCAGCCGATTCCGAACCCAAGCTTGTAAAGGAGGAGAAGAAGTCGAAGAAGGACAAGAAAAATAAGAAAGACAAGAAAAAGTCGCAATCGCCCGACGATTCAACTCCGAATCCGACCGCCGAGAATGGCGAGTCGAATGGCGCCGAGACCACGACGAACGGTCCAGCCCAGCGCAACGGCGCCGCCTACTCATATCAGCAAACCAAGACCCTTGATGCAATGCCAGAAGAAGAGATCAAGGAGTTCCTGAAGAAGCAGGAAATTTCCATCACAGACCCATCGGGCGCCGACCTCCGCCCCGTTGTCCATTTCTCGCACCTCCCAACTTCGACCCTCACCTCCAAGAAACCGTTCGCCTCCTTTACCGCCCCGACCCCGATCCAGGCAGCCTCATGGCCCTTCGCGCTCTCCGGTCGCGACGTAATCGGAATCGCTGAGACGGGGTCAGGAAAGACGATGGCCTTCGCCCTCCCTTGCATCGAGTCCCTCGCCTCCAGCCCCAAGCCGAAGCACACTAAAAGCGACTGGACTGCTTATGCTCGCGCCGTGGTTGTATCGCCGACCCGGGAGTTGGCCATGCAAACCCACGCTGCCATGTCGTCGTTGGCCTCGCTCGTCGGCTTGTCTGCCGTGTGCCTCTACGGCGGCGCGCCCAAGGACGACCAACGCGCACTGCTGCGCAAGAACAGCGGGGCCGATATCATCGTCGCGACCCCCGGCCGGCTCAAGGATTTCCTGTCCGAGGGCTGCGTGTCCCTCTCCGATGTCATGTTCGCCGTCCTCGACGAAGCCGACCGCATGCTCGACAAGGGCTTCGAGGAGGACATCAAGCTCATTCTCGGCAGCTGCCGCCCGCGCGAGAAGCGGCAGACGCTCATGTTTACCGCGACCTGGCCAACCAGCGTGCGCGGCCTGGCCGAGGGTTTCATGATCGACCCGGTCAAGGTGACCATCGGCAACCGCACCCGCGCCGGTGAGGAAGGAGAGGGCAATGGATCGACCGAGCTGCAAGCCAACATCCGCATTGAGCAGAAAGTCGAGGTGGTTGACCCTCGTGGCAAGGAACAGCGACTGCTGGAATTGCTCAAGGAGGCACAGAAGGGAAGCGCCAAGAACGACAGGATATTGGTCTTCTGCCTGTACAAGAAGGAAGCTGTTCGTGTGGAGCAGAACCTCGAGAGGAGGGGCATCCGTGTTTGCAGCATCCACGGTGATTTGCGCCAAGACCAGCGGACGCGCAGTCTTGAAGCATTCAAGGCCGGCACGACAAGCGTTTTAGTGGCAACTGACGTGGCCGCGCGCGGGCTGGATATCCCCGAGGTCAAGTTGGTTATTAATGTCACAGTAAGTATCTCTGCATCGGTCAAAGTCGCGGACGCCTAGAGCTAACCGAACCCAGTTTCCCCTAACCATCGAGGACTATGTTCACCGCATCGGGCGGACAGGGCGCGCTGGCAAGAAGGGCAAAGCCATCACCCTTTTCACTGAGCACGACAAATCGCACTCTGGCTCGTAAGACCTACCCACCTAGCATACCCTTGAGCCTGGATTATACTGACTCTTCACCCAGGCTTGTCAATATCTTGCGGGGTGCCAATCAACCGGTACCGGAGGACCTGCTCAAGTTCGGCACGACGGTCAAGAAGAAGAACCATGACACGTATGGCGCGTTCTTCAAGGATGTGGACTTGAGCAAGAAGGGCACCAAGATCACTTTCGATTAGACTAGATAGCGAGGCGTTTGGTGGATTATTTGTCTCTTGTTCACGCACACAGCCCCTCCCTCCCGCACTCAAACGGTGACCGTATGCACGTACTTGACCTTCCCGTCCTCCACCCGAATCTCATGGCTGTCCGGCAAGCTCCCCAACGCATCGAAACTACACAGCACATCCACACTCCCCACCACCTCATCAATCACATACCTCCGGTTCCCGTTATTCCTCTCGCTTCCCCCCCTCGGCAACTGCGCCCCGCACGGGCGCGTGTACTGGCTACCCTCGACGCGCTCGCAGTCGGTGCCCCAGGGGATCGAGTCGGCGGCGGCCGGGTCCGTCCACATGTCCAGGTAGGCGTCGCCGACCTGCTTCAGCAGCTCGCGGCTGGGCCGCCCCGCCTCGGGGATGTCGGCCCAGCTCTCGTTGCGCACGTAGCCCAGCGTCTTGGCCGCGTCGAAGAAGAGCGAGCCCGTCGTCGCCGCGATCGTGTCCACCAGCGTGATCGCGCCGGCGCCGGCGTCGCTGTCGGAGCCGTCCGAGCCGTCCGAGCCCGCGTGCCGGAGCTGTGTTGCCAGCACGTACGGCGTGGCACCCGACGCCGAGATGATCAGCGTGTAGCTGGCGCAGGCTTCCGTGTCGGCGGTGGACCGCGAGAGGTCGATCTTGAGCGGCTGCGAGAAGACTGGGGTGTTGGCGAGCGTGGCCGGTTTGTTGTTTTCTTGGTAAGTGGAGTTGGTGGAGAGCGGGAGCGAGGTGATGTCGCCGGTGGACACGGCCGTGACGAATTCGGAGGCCGCCGCAAGGAGGGCTTCGCGGTTGCAAGCGGCTTGGGCCGGGGTGGTGTTGGATAGGAGGAGGAGGAGAGAGGCCAAGAGACCGGATGAGGTAGAGGAGAGCATGCTGGAATGCGATTTGAGGTACTAATACCGTGTGGTTGTCGCAGCTGGAGACACGGAGTGACAGAGCTACCCAGGTCGCTTGATGTAAGGAGCGTCACTGGATATATAAACCCCGGATTCCGAGGGCTGGACCCATTTGCCATGGCGATCTGCCGAGCTCTTTCTCAACACGTTCCCTACCGGCAGCTCCTTAAGCTCTTAACGTGTATGGTTCCTCTGCCAAGATAGATTACTCTCCTCTATCGCGGCAAATAGCCAAATGCCGGTTCCGCGATTTAGGCACGTTCCGATCCGGATATACTGTGTAAAGACAGAGCTGCATGAACTGGACAAGCTTGAACGAAGGGCTGTGTGTGTCACGACAGTTACCTTTTGCGACGGGGTCCAGAGTAAAAGGCGGGTGCAGGAGACGCTGGCGCTAAGGGCGGCGACGGACGTGGTGGGTGTCTGGTATATAAGGTCAATGTTTGCGCATGTACCGGGGGGTGGATGGCGACGGTGAATGGGCCAAATTAGGGGAATGTGTTGCTGTGTGTTAGGGACAGGGTTAAGGTTGCGTGTACTTATACGCATAGACGGACGGATGGGATGACGGTTAACGGGATGAGCGGGGTGGTTGATAGGTTCTTAAGGGAGCTTCTGAGGATGGGGATTGGGGACGCGAAGTCGGCGCTGAACCTGGGTGGGAGTGGGGGCATTATTTTTGGATGGGTTAGGGATGGGAGGTTGAGGTTGCTTGCGGTGGGCGGGTTGGACAACGAGCCCAGGTTGGGACCTCGAGACCCGGGCCGTTATGTGTTGTGTTCAGAGACTGCGCGACTTGGTCAGGCATCATCTCTGAGAAAATATGGAATCGGGTAGATATCTCGTGCATTATGGCTATTTTGACTACCACTGTAGGACTGTAAAGAAACGACAACTGTGTTTTGAATCATAGGAATAGCCAAAAGGAGTCACTCCCCCGTAGTTCATGTTGGTGGCCCTGCCGGCTAGGTGTGGTGAATCCTCCAGTCAATGACAGTGTCCTCATAGCAGTCGGCTCTTCCTTTGGCGCCAACCCTGCCATCGCGGGTGAATTTGCTGATGGAGTCGCGGACCAGATCGGTGATATCCTCATCGCCTATGTTGGTCCACCAGATACCATCCAGGCCCGGGGTGACGATGGCTACGGCGCTAAAGGTACACGTACCCCATGTCCCCAGCGGCCGCTCTTGCCCCAGGGTCAGCTTGTGGAACGGATACCGGTTGTTGTTCCGCCACAGCTGCTCACAGTCCGAGGCGAGAGGAGAGCCACCTGAGGTGTCATCGATGAAGCTAGAGTGGCCGCAGAGGTTGAATTCGCGTTTCTCAGAGACCAACGGAATGCTTCGGAGATATGAACGTTAGATTCTGTGATTTCTCGGCGATATAGGTGCTTGGCCTGGCCCTGGTGATTACTTACCTTGTGGCGGTTGCAAAAAAAGACGCGGTGGCAATAGCCAGCTTGGAGAGCACTGAGGCCTTCATCTTGGGTGTGAAAGATCCAGGAAGTCTAGCGTGAAGTGAGAACAGTGACCGGATGGATGGCGAGTTGAGGTGAAGGAGGAACAAAGGGGCAACAGCAGTGGTGACCGGTCTACTTACTTATAGGCCGGGTTCATGCCAACAGGCAACTATCAACACTATGCTTAGGTACTCTTCTCGCGGTTGATGTTTACTCCCAATATCCCAGTCCCAGCTCAGCCTCTACTCACTCTTGGCCCGTTCCACTTCTCGGCCCCAACCTCGCCTTCGGCAACCAATATTCATTACGCGACATCCCCGAAGGTGCAATATTGATCACGAGCCATCCCCAAAGGCGAGGTTGGGGCCGAGAAGTGGAACGGGCCAAGAGTGAGGAAAGCTGGGACTTGGGGGCTACAAGCTAACCTAGGGGGGCCCACCTTAGCATGGCTCAACCCTGGGTGGGGGCCGCGCTCCGGCGGCTGTTCTGAACGTCACGTCGTTAGCGAAGCTAAGAAGAAGGGTCATAAGTCGAAGTGGAGGAACTGGCAACGCAAAAATGGAAGTCAAAAGCAAGACGATATTCGGATAAGCTCGATGAATACGCCTACCACTATTACCCGTAGCACGCTGTGCCAATTCTAACAAACCGATACGGGACTGCGTAATAATACTACCTTGATGCTCATTCCGTCCTCAAGAACTTGATTGCCGATGCCCTCGGACCGCTTGAAACGCTCCGTGCAGAAAACGCCGTTCAGATACGGCCCTATTTGCATGTTAGCAGCCGGCGTCACGGACGGGAGAAACAACAAGGGGTCTACTCACACTGCAATCACAAACGGCACCGCAACCACCGCCACCTTGACAAGTTCCACAACGGCCTCCCGGGCACCACCTGGCGAAGCCCCTGATGCAACAACCCTCTTCACAACCTGCGACGTAACCGCCGCAGCCAACATCGCGCCCGGCGAGGGCATAACACCAAGCACCTCAAACCTCAGGCCCGTCCGCCCAAAATACCCCTTAATAAACCCCACACACCACACAATCCGACACGCCATATTAATCCCATTCGCCACCACCAACCCAACCGCCCCCCACCCCAACACCCTCAGAAACACAAACCCCGCGACCCCAAACACGACCGAGAACGCGCCCATCCAGGCGCTCTGGCGGTGAACCTCGGCCTCGGAGGCCACGGACGCGACAAAGGCCTCGGCCACGCCGTTGACGGCCAGCAGCGGCACGTACCACATGTAGGCGGCCAGGCAGTCGGCGGCGCCGGAGCCGGCCCAGCGCGGGCCGGCGACGAGAGCGAGCAGGGGCGGCGAGGCGGCCGGGCCGAGGGCGGTGATGGCGAGCGAGAGGAGGAGGTAGGCCCGGAGGAGGGACTGGAGGGCCTGGAGGGCTGCGTGCGCGGGGCTGGCCGCATCGGGGGAGGGTTGGGTTTGTTTTCCGGGGGGTTTGGGGGTGGTGGGAGGAGGGGTGGATGGGGCGAGCAGACGGCTGAAGTAACTGCGGCTGCTTTCCTCGATGGGCTGGAAGACGAGGCGGGCGAGCAGGCTGCCGTAGTTGTTGGCGAGGGCGTAAACTCCCTGCGCGGTGGGCGTGGAGAGGATGCTGACCAGAAAAGTGTCACCCTGGGTAAGGATGTGCTTGACGAGGCTCTGAGCCATCATGCTGGATGCGAGTTGCAGAGTGGGGCGGTAAAAGTAGGAGAGCATGAATTCCGGTTCGTCGAGCTTCTGTTGCTGTGCGGCCTTGGTCGGGAGGGCGGTGATCCGGCGAGGGAGGAGCGAGAACCCCTCCCTTTTTGCGAGACCTGACCCGTGCCAGGTGTAGACGGCAAGTAGCCCGAGGCCGTAGCTCAACTGACCGAGGGCGAAAGGTAGGACGCCCAGGTCACGGTTGGCGCCCCAAACGGCCGACCCGAGCGTAACAACACAACGTAAGAAGGTGGCCGTTGATTCGGCAGTTGCCCGAGTGCCGAACTGCAGGCGGTTCTGCATCACGACGAAAGCGGGCTCGGAGACGAGCTCTACAACAGCAGCGAGGGCGTAGATGTAGAGAGAGACAACCAGATTCGGTGCGGATGATAGCGTGGATGTGCTCAACGAGCCAAGGTAAAGCCAACCGAAAAGGAAGGCCAATGGAATACCAAGGGCAATGGCGAGATAACCCAGGTTGACCACAGCTTGAACCGATGCGTTCGTCACGCGGTTATCACGACTGTCGCCATCCTTGTTGTCCTTAGCTGCGAGTTTCGAGGAGTCTTGTCTCTGGATAGCAACTCTCAAACTCTCGCGTGCAAAGAAAAGAACGGATAAATAGTAGACCTCGAGTTGAGCGGACACGCCGAGGAGCTGTGCTGTCAGAAATCGCAGCAACACCTGGTTGGCCACGAAGGTGATGGCGCGGGAAACCACCTGCAACAGAATCAGCAGCGATGCACCTCGCAGGGCTCGCGTGCTGCTGCTTGTGCTATCCTGCGTCGCCATCGGCAAGCAACTGGGAAGAGACAACAAGAAATGGTACAGGGTCTGGACGGCCTGAATTGGCAAGAGGTTCAACTCTCAACGGTCAAAGTCGGAAAGTTTGAGGACTCGAAAGTTTGTGGGTCGCGACGTGGCTTTGGATCGCTTGTCTCCGTCGTATTGTTACCGTACGGACATACGTACGTACCATACCATACAGTCAATACGTGAGCGTACCGAGGTACGTTACGATACCACCCGGTTGCTCACTAACACAATTTCACCACCACAACATCGATCTCCCGATCCCGACAAACCATCGTAGACACCTCGACTGCATCCCCTTTGGTGATCTGGTGCTCACACAACAGAAGCCCGTTCTCATACACCCCCCAATGGCCGGCCGGGAGGTTCTTCACGGAGAAGTCAAGCTTATGGTCAACACCATCCCAAGCCCGTAATGATATTACCATGGCCTGCTCCTCTTCCACCCAACATCCCCGCAAGCAGTCTACCCCCTGGGATAAGTCGAGATCATCCACCCATGGGTATTTTGCAAGGCTACCCCTGGTCCAAGGCTTATCCCACATCTTCTTTTGGCCATCCTCAACGTTGAGCCGAGCATACCCAATCGCCGCATTTCCGGTGAAGGGGTCGACAAACTTCCAGCAGCACGATTCGTCCGTCACTTGATCCTGGCGCGGGTAGTAAAGGCCCCCTCGATCCCAGGTGGGAGAAAAGTGTGCGTCAGCATGCGACAAGAGTGCTCCCAGCTCTTTTGACTTGCCCAACTCCGAAAGCCACTCGACAACGTATCCAAAAAGCGGTTGCATGTATTTGAAACCGGCCGAACGGTTGGCGAGATACTTGTCTCGGGCACGCTGCAATGTTTCCGCCGAGCTTGGGTCGGCCTGCTCTTCCCGGACGAGCTGCCGGATCGTCGCACCAATCGCAGGGTGGTGGAGCTCAATATGGCCGTCGATATTGGTGATGAACCCGAGGGCTTGTTTATCATAGCTGTCTCTCACGAACTCGGAATTCCAGGTATTCATGAACGCGTTAGCCCTTGTGAATCAGATTAGCCGTGCTCCGGTATGTCCAAGATTATAACAGACCCAAACAACTTACCATGCAGTGAACCCAACACCACCGGCTCGTTTCGTTTGCCCCTGTTTCAGGAACAACCAGTCGACAAAGAGGCCATCAGGTCCTATCATTTGCTTTTCCTGAATTGCATTTCGATATTTTTGTAGGACGCCTTCCAGAATATTCGTTCCGTCCCGCGCGTCATTATAGCGCATGCCGATGATCTATGGGTGGCAAGGGTTAGTTGGGTGTTGCGAGGGCTTAGCCAGGGGACTGCTCACCGGGAACTGATTGCAAACCACAAAGATCAAATTGGGCTCGCAGCACACGCCAGCCCAGCCGCCTCTCTCCATCTCCTTTAAGATCGCCCCCTGAAGGGACCGGTTGTCGTACGAGAAGCTCTCGGGCCCCATGCCCCAAAACAATGGATCCCATTCGAAGGTCAAGCTGCCCGGACGCTCAAACTCGTCATCATCGAAGAGCATGGCGTACAAGCTTGTCATCATCAACAGGTGCCCACTGTACATGATGTTCTCCCGGACCACGGGGTCCGCCCACGGCTGCCGGAGCTTCTCGAGGCCCGGGTCGAGGCGGTTGCCGGACTGCGAAGTCAAATACCAGTAGGACCAAACCTCCCGCCGCAACATCTTGCGGATCAAGTTGCGGATGAGCGGCTGAAAGAGACTTCTCATCGCAGGGAGACGGTGGTAGTGCGCCACGCCAGCGCCGTAGGCCATGGTGGCCAGCTGGTAGCGGTATGCGTCCAGAAAAGCCTGGTCTGGATCCTGGGTCCCCATATGTGGCCACTCGCCGTCGATGCTGGTACTGATATTCCAGAAGTGCCGCACATGGCCGGCCTGCTCGCGTGAGAGCTTGGGGAATCTCGAAAGATCCAAATCTAGAGTCTTGGGGCTCATAGTGAGGAGTCTGAGGACTAAGCAAGCAATGCAAGAAACGGACAACGTTGTGATGAACAAATGTTGCTTGCTAGTGGAGAGGGAAACGTAATTTATGGACTTGAGAATCATGCAAGCCCCCTTGAATCTCACCCAAGGTTTGAACTTCCGTATCACCTCGGCGTTTACTTCACGAAACGTAGGAATGTCCGAATCCTTCTGCCAGAAACCGGAAACAGGCCCCCACTCTAGGAACTTTGCAATACGAGTGTTTTGTTGGGGAGCGTTCAAACACATCCAATCGCGTGGGCGCCATTGTGGTTGATTGCTACAGATCCTACCCGAAACAGAGAAGTGATATCAACGAGTTGGGGGGTACGAGGTCGCGGTAATCCTCCTCTCATGGACTTGAACAGCGAGTATTCATTGGCGGGTAGAGAGACCCATCATCCATACACCGCCACGCATAACGTTGCAATGTCATCCTAGCCCATATGAAAGGAATAAGCCCGCCACGTCGCTCTCATTATGAATCATTCTCCTCTCAACGTCGAGAAGTCCGAACCCAAACGCGGCGGGGTCACCGCGTCCAAAAGATCAACCTCGACCGTCCGAAGAACAAACCCCACCGACGAAGAAAAAAAAGATGCAACATGGTGGTCAGCATTCCCTTGATTTTAGCCCCCAACGGTTCAGATTTCCCCGGTAAAACCAGTTAACTCCGCGGCATAATGTTCAAGGGGACAAACAGGCAGGGGGGTCATGAACAATACCCTCGAATGCGGTAACGCTGGACGAGTGAGTTACACTGGGGGTGACGGGGAGAATGCTAGCGGAGAGCGGGAAGAAGTACGTAATAATTACAAGATAAATGTGTCGATTGCGCGGTCACAGAATTCCACACCGTAAGGTACGAAGTACCTATAGAAGTTCCCGCCCTTGCTCTTACAAACACACTTCAGTCCTCCGAAGTCCCCGGTGGTTGCCAACATTCATTCGAGCTCACAGCAAAACCATTCTTCCCAACGCGAAGGCCACCACACCAACCACGGCTCCGCCGAGCTCCCGGAACCTCGCGGCACCGGCTGTAACCACAGCGGTCGGCAGCGGTTTAGCGGTCCCCACGGTTCCGTTCGTCGGCTGTTTCCAACCGCCGGTAGCAGCCGGGGCTAGCGACACAGGCGGGGTTGGAGAGACAGCTGGAATCACAGGGGCAAGGCTACCCACCGCGTCGATCGGAGGAGGAGGCGCCGCGGGAGCCTGGGTTTCGACGGGAGGAGCCAGCGCCGCTTGAGTTTCCTTGGGAACAGGAAGCAGAGTCTGAGTCTCGGTTGGAGCAGCCAACGCAGCGGAAGCCGAGATGGAGTTAAAGATGGCACTGGCTTGGGCCGCGTCGGTAGCGCTGACGGACACGGTGGAGCAGGACAGGATCTCGCCGGAGACGAGGACCGACGAGGTGTGGTCGACCAGCGAGTACCAGTGGCTAAGGAAATGAAACGTCATGGAGAAAGTGTACCAGTTGGAGCCGAAACCGAGGAAGTCGGGGCCGACATCGGGGCCCAAGGGGTCGGGGTGGGGATGCGGAGGTGCGGTGGTGGAAGGGGCGGAAGCATCATGGGAATGGGCCTCCGGGCCGGCGCCGTCTCCAGCAGAATCGGAACCGTGATTACCTCCAGATCCAGGACTAAAGCCGGGAGCGGGCAAAGGAGTGGTCCCCTCAGGACAGGTCTCGGGACCCAAGGCGTAGGACGCGCCGTCGGAGCAGCAGACTCCTCCAGGCGGGATGCAAGCGAAGGCACCTAGACGTTATTAACCATGTTAATCGAATCACGACATGTAGTAAAGGCGTATGTATCATCAACTCACCAGGACAAGCAGGGATCCAGCCTTCAATATGGCATGTTCCGACACCGCGCTGGTTCAGGGGTGCTCTCGTTCCAAGATGGCCGCTCTTTCCAGCGAGAACTCCAGAACACAACACACTCAGCGCCAGATAAAGGAGGGGTAGCGTTTTCAATACAGCCATGGCGTATGAAGACCTTTGTTGGTTACAAAACGAGTGACAGGAGCGCTGCTCAGTTGAGAAAAGAGTGACGGGGATAAGCGAGTGGACGCAAACGTATGGGGCTGGGATTTGGTTAGGAGCAGTTTGGCAAGGTGAAGAGGGGAAGTTGCCGGTTTAATATATGACTAGCCCCCCGATAATCGAGCTGTGGTGCGTTGTGACGGGTGCCTTGTTGATCACCACCATTCAAGGGCAAATACATATAACGCCTCCCATGCCTGCAAAACCCCGGGTTCCGTGTGACCCAGACATGAGACTTGACTTCAGGTCTGGATCGACATGAAATCTCCGGCCTCGCTTTCTGAGGTCGACCCAGGGACAACGCGCTGGTCTCCCAAACTTCCCCGATGTCTCAGCCTCAAGGCCAGAAACCTGTGTCTCTAGGTGCGGAGTCGCAGCTCTGTGTTACCGTTGTAAATGTCGATTGTCCCATCCCTTCCCAGCCACTCCGTTCTCGCGCGCTCGAGCACGAAAAGAAGCACCTCTACTCCAGCAAAGTACAGCACTAATCGGCCCGCCCATGATGATCATAATTTTGGACCTCCGAGGTTTAGTAATGGGGAACAGAGTTCGGGCGCACAGCGTAAACGGCGGCTTGATTGATACGAGCTCGGGCTAAAATACATGTATAATATTAAGTCTCTCAGACCCGAGGACGCCGATGGCTCAGGATTCACTTGCTACCTGCTCGGCCTCGACCACCGGTGGGATGTTTAACCGCTTGAACGCTTGTTCCCTATTATTATTAACTCATACTTGTGTTGATCTATCGCTTAATATTGATAACAGAGAGAGCGGAAGGAGGGACAGTTAGAGTAGCCTCCTGGTGAACGTAATACCCCCCAGAGTTCTTAGCCGGCGAGCGGCGTGAGTCTCCCTGTCCGCATTTCCGTCACTGGGCTATTAACGCCATCGTATCACAACCTTGGAGCCCCGAGCGCTCACGTGCAATGAACGGCGCAACCACCCCCCTTCCTCCCGCCTCCCCTCCACCCGCTCGAAACCACATAATCACGCTGCATTCGCGGGTTCTACTAGGTGCCCATTGTTAATCTCGATTCCTCAATACAAAAGTACGATGGAAAGTATCTTACAAGGCGCCTGCTCTAAAATCCGCTGCACAACCGTCTCGTACCCAGCAGGATCGTGATACTGCCAGATACCCGGCACCATGCGCATGGCTCTCAGGGCCCAGTACACGAAAAAGCCGCCAAACTCGTACGGAACCCTCAGTACCAATGGAAGAGGGGTGGCTTCCTCTTCGGCTGTGATGTCCGGGCGCTCAACGCCAAGGTCGACGGAGTTGAGCCCCTTATCACCAATGGCCTCATGCAAGATGACGGGGGTGCCCACATGATGGTACCGCCTGTCATCAACGGTACCGTTAGGGTGGGTGGCGGGTATCTTGCCTGGCAACGCTTGGGTGAAGCGGTCCGGAACAGTGGGAATCGGGTCCCCGTCCACCTCGAGGCGGTAGAGAAGGATGTGACTGTTGGTAAAGTGTTGGCAGAACGCTGCGTTGCCGATGCGGGGCGATCCGAGAGTGAGACATGTGATGTCGGCGTTGGGCCATTGGGTCCTGCACTACAAGGCGCACAACACGGCCAGGGCGGCACCAAGACTGTGGCCGCAGATTTGGATTTTCGTGGGCGGGCCGTTCAAATGAAGGATGGCCGAGCGCAGCCTATCTTCGTTGTCCACTAAATTGTCGAAAGCAGCCAGAAAGCCCTCGTGAACCAGGACAGGAGATTGTTCCTCAGAGAGCCAGCTGACCTGTGTCATACGGAAAGCGACATCGGTCCAGACGTTCCCCCAGAAACCCCACCACCGTTTCAGATTGACGAGGTTTTCGATGGTAAAGGGGAAATCGGTTCCTCTGAAGGCAAGAATGACAGTGTCGTCGTCCCTGATGCCCAGGTGGACGTGCGTGTTGGGGGTGAGGGGCTTCAGCTTGTCCTTGAAAAACGGCGTGACGATGTCGAGCTTGCGGTACCTGACGTCGCCATGCAAGTCGGCCGCTGCCGAACGAAATTGGGCCCCATCATCGTTCATGTATGCCCAGTAGGCGTATCGAACGAGGTGCTGGTACTGTTGTAGGATATGGGCCATGATGGCGCACTTGAAGGATAGCGTTTTGTTGGACGGAGAGACGAGTGTGGTGAACCCAAGGTTTCAGAATTCCGATCGGGTTCCCTAGGCGCTTCAAAAAAGGTACTGAGAAGGGTTTCTGATTTTGTCAACGGCTCAGAATGCGGAAGGAGGAGACAAAGGTCGGGAAAGGGTAAGTTGCTAGAGCGTTTAATTACCTAGGAGGTGCGACTGAGCAGATGATACGGGGTAATAGCGCTTAATTACGGTACTTTAAGTGAGAGGGTCCAGGCACTGGGTGACCTCTGTTCGGGGTAAGCATGAATATCTCCCGCCTGTAGGGAATTGCACAACGGCGCAGGACATTTCAAGAGTGTTGCTTTTCTCGTTACCTGAATCATCTCTATCCCGTTCCGTAAGACAGGAGTACATAGGTACCTACATTGGGAGAATGCATGATATACCGTGCCTCATCATTACACCATCAGCGTCAAGCCCTGTGTTACCCAGTTTCACAAGGTAGGTACTTTACATTCCAGGTTAACGGCCTGGCCTACGGGTAACCTAGGGAGACCTGGAAACAGCACACATCACTTATTCACAGTCTTTATGTTTTAAAAATTGTATTTCCAACCCAAAACGACGCGTAATTATGTACATCAAGTAACTCTAGAATAGATGACAACTGACAATAATCACTCCGACTTACAGAAATCGTCTGCCAGGTCCATTTCCGCAATCAGTTCCACATTATCATTTCCGGTCACGTTCCGTGGCTATGGGCCTCCTCGTCGTCGTGAGGGCCGGCTTCCTCGTTGCCGTTGGCAGTGGCTTATTTATCGTCGGCGTGACCGACTTCTTTTTCGTCACGGCCTGGTTTTGCTTTTTGAACTCTTTTTGTTTTTTCGTTCTTGTATCCCGCTGTTCCTTCCACTGTTGAAACCCCCCTCCCCCTTGCTGTAGCTGAGGTGCCGCTCGTACACCGAGTTCCATATCGATCCATGGCTGCCCATACTTGGACTTTGTGGGTTCGGCGTCCGTCTTCTGCACAGCAACCGTTTCGCGACGCCCCCGTGTTGAGCAAAGCAACCAGAGGATACCAACTATGAGAACAATGGCAATCAGGCATCCAAAGACCGTCATTCCGATCGCCACCCCCGAGAGTGTGTTTCTTTTGCCCAACGATAGACCCCTGGTTGGCGTCAGGAACGCCATAATCTTCACTGCATCCTCCATAGCCAACACCATGAGGGCAGCGGAAGCAACCCAATCAACCAAAGCCAAAGGCCGAAAGCAACGAAAAGCAGGTACCTAGTTAGCTCCACGGCGTTTATGTGTTTAGGGAGGATCAGGAGATCAGGAGTGCCTTGAGTTGAGTGGGGACGCGGCAATCCACGAAACGAAAAGGGCTACAATTAGGGATCGAGAGCAAGTCAGGTAGGTTAGGTAAGGTAGGTAGTCTTTAATTATAATGCCGGCTACACTTCGTTTTTCTAGCGCTAGGCAAGGATTCGTTGCAGTACAATGATCTAACGATAATAGAATGAGATTGTTCAGTAAGTCCCGAAGCTCCAATAGACGATGTGCTTTGCGTGTAATAAGGATGAGGAAAAAGGCTTCGGAGAGACAACAACGATATTTAGGTCTAATAATAGATAATGAAAATAAGCTCGTCCTCGATGAAACGCAGGTTGGGTACAGTGGGTCAAAGGGCTTTTTAACTCCAAGTTCACGTTGAAGATCATTTCCAACGTTCAAAAGCTGATGCGCGGGTGGTGTAGTGGTAACATTGACGTTAATACTGAAAAGTAAACAGTGGCGTAAACGATCACGTTTTATCAGTCTGTAATATTCAGCAATTAAAGTCCTTGCTTCGATTCCGAGCTTGCGCTCTTTTTTGCAACTCGTCACTCTCCTTTTTTCTTCTTTTCGTGGAGTTTTTTTCCTTTTTCCCCTCTTCGTATTTTCTGCATGTTTCGCTTCCCTCCCCCTTTCCTCCGCCTCCTTAGATAGGTACATATTATCCTCATTATTAGTTCTCCTTTGTCGCCAGTATTTCGAGTTACATTTTCGTCTGATGCCGGACGGAACAAGAACCCGACCGTTTTCGCCAAAATTTGACCAGCCGACTTCTCATTTTCACTGCCTCAATTGGAGTCAACAAGGTGGCGTTGGCGGGATGAGGAAATGATTCCAGGTTGTCTAGGTAGTTCGTGACGTCATCAACCACCGGCACTCAAATAGCCGCCTAGAACACCGGACGTGCTAATCCAGGTTCGTCTCCTGATGACGACGAACGAGTCTATACCGTCATAGCCTACCCAATGCCTGCCGCTCACCTGTGTTCAATGCCCAATGAGAACCCGTATGACTGTGGAAATCTGGATGTGATGACGGTAAAGCTTGTTCAATGGCGTTGGTTGCCCGTACTTTTGGTTGTAGCGGATCAGTTTATACAACAATCAACCTAATAGGAATTTGTTAAATATTCTGTCCTACCCCTTTAAGTCCCTATCTGACAGCCACCAACTTAAAGTTTACTGTACGCTACAGACCCGTACTACCATTTCCTCAAACCACAATGACATCACAGGCAGCCTATGTGGTCGAGAAGGCCGTTGGCCACGAAAAAGAGAACATTAAGCAGGATGTCGCCAACTACGAAGGGATTGGCGACCCAAATGAGAGGATGAAGGCGCTGGTATGGCAGGGCAAACAAAAGGTCGAAGTTGGTGCGTGGTTCCAAAGGGGAAACCCGAGTTTTATGATGTCCTGGACGCTGACACGAGCCACTCTTGAACCACAGTCGAGGTTGCGAGGCCCCGAATCCTCGAGGACAAGGACGCGATTTTAAAGGTCACCGGAACCACTGTCTGCGGGAGTGACCTACACTTGCTTCACGGCTCTGTCATCCAGATGAATAAAGGTGACATCCTCGGACACGAGTTCTGCGGCATTGTCGACCAGGTCGGGCCAGGAGTGAAGAACGTCAAGGTCGGGAAGCGATATGTCGCCGCCTTCCAGATTACATGTGGAGAGGTAAGGGCTTTAGGTCCACCAAAATTTGCAAGGCTTGTTATTTGTTACTAAACGGTGAGATTGGGGCAGTGCTTTTATTGCAAGCAGAAACTCTCCTCGCAGTGTGAGAAGACCAACTCCAACAGAACCGCCAAAGCCATGTACGGCTCCCAATCGGCGGGCTTCTTTGGTTACTCCCATTTCACCGGAGGCTTCGCCGGCGGGCAGGCCGAGTACGTACGAGTACCGATCGCGGATGCCAACCTGTTAGAGATACCTGACGGTGTCCCCGATGAGAAGGGTGGGTTCTTTTCACCAGGTGCTACGCGTCGTCTGTCTAACCGCGCCCAGCCCTTTACCTATCTGATGTCCTGCCAACCGCCTACAACGCCGTCAAGGACACTGCAGTCTATCCCGAAGACCAAGTAGCCATATTTGGTGCCGGACCCATCGGCCAAATGGCCGGCGTCTTTGCTCTAGGCGAGGGTGCCAGCAAGGTCATTTTCGTTGATACGGAACCCCGACTCTCTGCCATCTCGGGACGCTGGCCGGCGGAGCACAAGGACAAGCTCGAGGTGATCGACTACAAAAAGCTCAGCTTCGGAGTCACGAACAAGGAGACGGTGGTCAGCAAGCTCAAAGAGATGTGCGGCGGACGCGGACCGGATGTAGCCATCGAGTGCGTAGCCGGCGAGTACGCCAAGGGGTGGATGCACTGGCTGGAGATGTCGCTTGGTGCCGAGACGGATACCAGCGAGATCCTCAATGAAATGATTGAGGGTGTAAGGAATTACGGCCGGGCTGGAGTCACGGGGGTGTATGTCGGATACGTAGGTTAACAGGCCTTGTCTCTTGGGGAGGATCGCTGGCCGTACTGACAAACAACTAGACGAACCACTTCAACGTGGGGTCCTTGATGCAGCGCGGCATTCGTCTTATCGGTAACGGACAGGCCCCTGTCATGAAATACTGGGAAGGGCTGCTGTCAAAGATCCAACAAGGCGATCTGGACCCGACCCAGATGCTCTCGCACCGCTTCCGCATTGATGACATCGACAAGGTCTATTACAAGTTCGACTCTAAGGAGGATAATATCCAGAAGGTCTTTGTGGAAACCAGATTCTCCTTCCCGCGGGCCGAGGGCACGCCGGAGCTGACGACTCTGTGAGGGGTGAATCCACGGTGTGTCGGGGATGTTTTGTTGTGGCATGTAGCGGTCTTGTATCAGTGTTTCTAGAGCGAAGTCGAGCGGGCGGCGTCTTTAACCGTACAATTTCTGCATGCTTGTTCCGGGGGAGAAGTACGAGACAGTGCTGTGGGGATGTTTGGTCAACCAAGCCTCGGGTCACAAAGTCTGACGAGTGGCGACGAAGGGGGTGTTATTCATTTTTGGATGGGTGAAGCTTTTCACGGCAGAAAAGTCGGCTTCACGCAAGCTTACTCTCTCTTCGCTAACAATTCACACGCGCTTTCAACAAGGTACATAGTAAAATATTCGTAAAGATCGTGGTTCCCGTTATCCCGTTATCCCCCCGCGCCCCCCTTCCGTCCCCGAATGTTACCATCCGGCAAGTCGCTTTGTGCCCTAGAATGTGCCCGGTTCCCACTACCCGGGCCTCCCGTTGTCCGAGTTTTGGTTCATTCTTACCCTGCACGGGGAAACCGGGACGGGGGGCCGGGACGTGTCAGCATCAGCTTCAAGTCCCAGGTTCGCCCCCAACCTGCTCTTAGGATTCCCAGCTCCTCCCAGGGTGCGATCTCGTCATCGCGGCATCTAATCCCGGCGGGTCCGTGAATTCTCGGCCGCGAAGGGAAGAGCATATCCGGAGATGCCATGTTGGCGCTAGATTTCGGCGGCGTGTCGGGCAGCGGTAAGTTACCCACCAGACACCCAGAACCAGGGGTTCTAGGTATCGCCTCATATTAGTAAAGCTCGTGATCATCGTTATGCCCGAAATTGCACTTACCATCGGTGACCCCTATTGGGGATGAGCGGATTGTGAATCCCGCGACATCTCAATTGATCATGCCGCGTCCAATGGCACTTTTTCCCAGCATTGTCCGAAGCTGCGAGTGATCGTCGGTTGCGGGCGTGGAGAGCCATTTGGTATCTGAGGGGTCGAGCAACCCTCCACCCCCGCTAGTAGCAGTGCTCATCGAACCTGAAGGTGTCGGCCAAGTAATCGTGTTGCACCTCCTGGGTGGATTCTGTCTGGGAACGGCTTATTGCAATCCCCCTAATAGCATCGGCCAATGACATGTTGGACTGAGCTGACAAAAGAAGCAGCCGCTTCGCCTCGTCTGCTGTCAACATGTCGACGGCTCCGGTGAGGTCTGATGCAGGGTATGTGTTTCCCTCTGTCGACTGTGACTCGACGCTGGCCGTGTCAGATGAGTAAAAGCTCGTGGGACCATCAGCGGCCAAGACTAGGGATGTGATGTCGGCAAGGGGAATCCGAGGAGAATTGGGGTTTCTCGTGATCTTGGTTCCATGTGGTGAGGGTGTGCTGCGTGATATTGACTTCCGTCGCGCGGACGAGGGCGGCGATGGGTGTCCCGAGATCACCGAAGATGGTCCGTGTGACGGTTCGATACTCTCAAGCCACAGCCCGACTTTGGTTCGATGGCTGGTGGGTTTGTTGACTTTGGCATCCGAGGTCGAATGCTTGGACCCAGAGTTTCGCCGTATGTGTTGAGCCGCGCGATGGTTCCCGAGGCCGACGGCAGGAGGTTGAGGCCGGACGAAGTCAAAATGGATCGGGTGGCGAGGGAAGATGGAAGTGAGCCGGGGAGAAGAAGCTGGACCGTGACCGTGACGTGTATGGGAGGTGGCTTTGGTCGCCGAGATGGGGCTCGGAACAACCTTCATCGTGTACACTTTTGGTACTTTTCGTGGATGCGGAGGTATCGTCAGGTTCGGAACGGTGGCTGGTTGTCTAGGAAAGTTGAGGAGTCGTTGCATCTACAGGCTCCGAGTCGCTCTCAAGTGACGCACATGGCGAGCCCGGGTTATAAGACGCGTTTGAGTGTTTATACAGGGGTTCGCGGTGCGGGGCTTTGTTGTCTCACCCCACTTACTGAAAAGGGCAAGCTGGGGCCTGTCAAGGGTGCGAGGGACAAGCCATGGCTCAAGTCTTGGCTCTCCGTGCCGCGCATTCTTCCCCAAACAATAACATTGCCGAGCAGTTGTCATCCCAAGTTTGGTTGCCAAAGTGACACAATTCCATCAATCCATGGCCATTGTAGATCAGCTTCTATTTTCTTTAAGCTAACAACATGAAGACTACCGACATCAAGGAAATAGCTGCTATTACCATTCCCCCGTTTTTGTCCCTCGTGCTCTGCGCGTTGTTCTCGTCCACCGACGCGGTTGGGGTTGGAGTCGCCGTCGACGATGGGCAACTGTGAGTCAGGCCCGATGCGCCAAAGAACTCTGCCCGCCCATTCGTCTCACATCCCCAGCCCCATGCATCCCCCGAACCCGTGATCGCCGCGCCGGTCGTTGTTCCGAGCCCTGCGCAAGCTGAGGGGAGCTCTTGGGAGCCGAGTATCGCAACATCTGAGATCTTGATGCTGGTCGAGTTGAAGCAGTTACGCTCGTTAACATCGGGCACCTCGTCGCCATCATCGGTAAAGATGATGTCGGCACACTGCAACGGTTAGCTTCACCCCATGACAGACAGCGTTAGCCCATCGCGGCGCACTCACGGTGAACAACCCGGCGCCATGCTTTGCTGCTTGAACCACCTGAATCGTCGCAAGGTCTCCGCTCTTGACCCGACTCCTCACATCATCCGGAAGCGTGAGGTGAGGGAGGCAGACTGTGCCCGGATATGGGCCATCGGTGGGACCGTCGAGGTGGAATTTGGTTATGGGCCATGAGTAGTTCTCTGGCTGCTCGCCCAGTCCGATGTTGATGTACATGAGCGCCGAATCATGACCGGTAAACCAGCCCGGGTCAAGCGCAATAGCGCCGCCACCAATCGGCCAGTGAGTGCGGTTTGAAGTAACCGGGAGCCCGCCGCCTAGGATAGGGGTGTGTCAAGCATCGTTAGCAAGCTGCCCATTGTCAATTGCATCGCCGATGGATCCGCCAATACGTACATGGGTACATCCATTGCATCCCGAACGGAAAACTGTCATCGCTGATCAGATTATTGCCCCTCCAGCCCGGATATGTCAAGACGACATGACCGTGAGCGAGGCCCGCGAATTGCAAGCACAACGCCAGAACGAAGCAGAAACGGTGGAGAATTGGCTTCAACATATTGTATGTAGGTATGTACAGACACGCACACGCACACGCTCCGACACTTTTGATGTTTCCAAAACGCCGCTCGGCCCGGCCCTGGGGATTGTGCCCTTTATGAACCTTAGCCAACGTCGCCAGCAAATTTCAACCGCACTTTGGGCTGCGCCGCAGTCTCGCAGAGGGATGTGTGGTTTGCACTCTGATTGGGCACAACTGAGAGGTGCATGCAGGATGTGAAATCACAGCACCAACAGCAACCCGACCCCCTTAACTCCGAAATATACGTACGCACGGAGGCACGGTGGTTAGTATGCATTATGCGAGGGAGAGGACACATCCACGGGATGTTAGGGGCTGGAGTACAAATGGAACAGTGAAATTCTGAATCCTTGCAAAAGGTATCTCCGACAAGTCGCGTTATTATTAATTAACAATCCCCAAAACCGCGTCCACGAGTGTTGCCCAGCTCTTTAACGAAAGCAAATGTAAATCATGTGATAAAACACATGTCCCCTCTCACCCCCCAGCCCTTGTCCAGTACGTTTCTGCTCTCACAAAATATGTCATTATTATCGTCTTGATCGAGTCCTTGGGATTAGGTAGCGAGGGGCATTACAATGTCGTCATATTTGATCTTAGACGACGGCCCTCGAATGAGCGCCAGCCCGGTAGAAACCATAGTGCCAATCATAGAGTATGTTGAAAAAGAGGAAGAAGCTTCGGTAGAAGTCAGCATTACTCCCAGACAGGTTGTAAACCTCGAATCAAAGTCGCGCTTACAATGCAATGAAACTGAAGGCCTCGACCGTGAGCAGCAGGTCGGAGCGGCTGTGGCTCCAATCGGAAGCGGTGAAAGAGACGGCGACGACCCAGAGGTACGAGAAGATCAAGTTGAACAGAAGAATGAAGCCGGGTGAGACAACAAGGAAGAAGGCCAAGGGGAAGAACGCCGTTGTCAGAACAGACTGTTGAGCGTCCGTGTTAGTATTGCTTAGGTATTGACTGCATGATGTCGAACTCGGGATGCGATGACTTACAATCACCAGTTCGTAAATGACGTGGTCTCCTCCCCATCCACGCGAGACGGCGTAGGCGAGAATGCCCATCACGATCACGGCCGAGACCCATACCAGCGCGCTGCTCGCAAGCAAGAAAGTGGTAAGCCCTGTGCGGGCGCGAGTGTCTCCGTGGACCATGGTGTATGACTGGGATTTACCGTCTGCCTAGATGCTGCAAGCCGGGACAGTGAATATGGGGGCGTGGCTGGCGTTGATGGTTCACGAAGAGTGGCAGACTGGCAGTTATGGAGGGGACCAGGAAACAAGTTACTGGATGTGGCACTTTATACCACTTGGGTCGATTCTTTTGGCACTCACTAGTCATGACACCTTTCCCGGTTTTGCGTTGACATTCTCGAAGAACGCATGACAACCCACGTCAGATATTGCATCTTGGGCGAATAACAACGAAGATCATTCGAACGGGGGATGGGGGCCCAAATTTGAGTCTGCCAAGGTTTTATGTCGTGGTCGCCACTGGGAATACCACCCACCTCGAGCAGGACAAGTGCCGCTGACGGCATTCGTCCCCCCATTGGCGCGACGATCCAAGGTGCGCAGACTCACATGTTGTTAACCGTTGGGCGAACCAAGCTAACCAGCCAAGGGGACATCATCGACGTCATGGTACAGCCAACACACCACAACTCGGGGGTCGACGATCTCCAGAACTGCCGTCGCTATTCCGTTGCTTCCGGCCTGCCTGTTCAAAGGTTTAGCAAACCCAGGAAAGCGAGATATCAAGGTTCGTATGCCGCGTGGGAGTTTTTAGAAACCTGCAATCCGACGCGGATAAGGGGCGGCCGTCGGCGAGCAACGTTATTGGTGATTTAGGCATCCCTGGGCTGAATCGGAGCCAGGCATCCTCCAACTCAAAACAGTTCGTGTGTATTCTACTTCAAGTACCTTGGGTTGCGACGTTAGGTTGCTCCTGAGCTTCCAGGTATCAACTATCTATCAACATAAGCATCCTTCTGGTTCCCGCCGGTTCGTCTTACAAAGCGAGGATGCTTCTCATCACCTCTTCGAGCTTCTTTTCCGGGTCCGCATTCATGCCACTCGACCTCCACGCTACAAATCTGTCAGGGCGAACCAAGACGCACCCATTCTCATCCACCTCGCGCTTCTTGGCCCAGTCAAAGTAGACATCCTCATAGTCCTGCTTCCAGCCGATCGAGTATGCGACCACTTCCACCCCTACGGCCACAGAAACAGACCGAGCGGCGTCCTTCCACCGTTGCCCCCCCGGGCCGGTCAGCAAACAAAAGCGACCGTGTCCCGCCAGATCAATGGTTGAGATCGGCTGAGCGGGAAGCCGCGTGTTGAGCCAAACGTGCGGCAGGCGGCGGCCGGGGTACGTCGTGATCTGGTGCGTCTTGACCTTGCACGCGCCTTCGGGCAGGACTGGTGGCGGGCCCTGGTCGGCTAGGTACACCGCATCCGAGTTATAGCGTTGGTTCATCTCGATCCCCAGGCCGTGGAACTCGGTGGTGGTATTCTCAATGGCCTCCTGGAAGTCCCGCCTTCGTTTCTGGCCCTTCTCCCCTTGGTCGTCGAACTCGGCCAGGATCTCGAGCCGTTTTGCCTCGTCAGTTTCGAGAATCCCCATCGTCTTTTGCCACTGGCTGTGATCTCGGAGACCTTGGTTTGCCCGGGTGATGATATCGACGCCGACGGGCTGGCGCTCTTTGTTAAACGACTCGAGCAGTTTAGGCCCCGCCTTGCCGGACATGACATAGTCAATCTTCCAGGCGAGGTTAAAGGCATCTTGAATGCAGGTATTAGAGCCGAGACCGTTGAATGGCGGATGACGATGCGCTGCGTCGCCGAGGCAGAAACTGATTCAAGGCAGTTGAGCAACTAGACACGTCCGACAAAGAAATAGGCGTCCGGGGTCGTATAACTTACATGTTGCCATCGGAGTAGTACTCAGCCACGATTTCATTAATCCACCATTTGCTAGCATGTAGCAGTTCGACCTTCACAGAGTCGTCGCCAATGAATTCCTTTACCCTCGCTAGATACTCCTCATTGGTTGCGTCCATCGCATCCGCGGTGAGGTCGGCGCCGGGGGCCGGGAGGAAGATGAACATCCACTCATTCCACGGCCGCACCATGCGCACAATGGTGGCCCACCCCCAAGCAGGTGTGTTCATTTCCTCGGGGCGGAACACCCAGTGCAGGTTGCCGATGCGGTTCGAAATGAAATGCGACATGTCCGCTCTTACCAACACATTCAACGCTAGCCCCTGGCCAGGCTTCTTGATGAGAGGGATGTCAAGCTCCCGCACGACCCGGCTTCGAGCACCATCGCATCCGAACAAGTACCGAGAATGGATTTTGTACGTCCTTTGAGTCACCTCGTCAAGAACCTCCGATATGACGAGGTCTGGCGATGGCCGAGTAAGGCTGATCAGTTTGGTGTTGAACCGGAGCGACCAGCCTTTATGGACGGCTCTCTTGGTAAGGATTGGCTCTAGGAGTGTCTGCGGTAGGTCGACATGGTCACAGGGGCTAGCTGCCTCGTAGTCACCCTAGCTCGTGTCAGTGCCGTGTGGGAGTCTGGAGGGTTGGAGTCGAAAGTTGCACGGCGTTCCGAGTGCGGTTCGTTGGTCTCCTTGGCCGGTTCCTTACTTTGTGCTTCGGGTCATGACCCCACGAGTAGACTCTCGCAAATTCCTCCCCAGCCATGCTGCGGCACCATCTGGTATGGGCCATGTTGTGGCTGGGCGTGGCAACATCGAGACAGTCCTGCTCGAGGCCGATATCCCGCAAACATTCTGTCCCGAGGGATGTCAGCGACAACCAGTTGAGTCCGTTACCGACCGTGATTACACACCCAGCCCAGCCATGTTCGTAATATGAGCACGCGGAGTCTCTGCCGTCCCGGGAGCCGCCGCAATGATAATGCCTTTTCTACCTGCGTTATAAGCCGTGTCAGATACATATTGACTTCCCGTAGGGTCCAGAGGGGGCATATCGAACAGTTGCAGGCGGTTACACGAACTGGCATCCACCCACGCCACCCGGGGTATTATAACATACCATGAGCGGCAAGGAAGCAGGCGAGCGAGGCGCCAGCGGGGCCTGCCCCTACGATCAGGAGATCGGTCTTGACAACCGCCTCATCCGTCATTTTCGAAACGTGACGGTCGTCACCTGGCTTCCGTTATGCTAGATTTGCCAACAGAAGTCGGAAATGGGTAAGAGAATGTCTCTGGGAGATTCGAGAGGTGAAAGACCGAGTTCACAGTCCCCTGGGTCAACTCGCTGTGAAGACCCCTGACTCAGCCATGACAAAGCCCAGAAGGAAGCAAGACGTCTGCTCTCGGCTTGATGAAGTTGAGGGCGAGAACTCCATTTTACCCGCAGCCTGCCAATGAGCGCACAAAACACCAACCCCGCTCAATTTCGAGGTGCGGGGAGGTCGGCTCGGCGGGGTGCAGCCGGGATGATCGAGTTGCTGACGGCAAATCGTGACTCAGGTGATGTGAACTCGGGCAGTTACTCAGTACCGTGCAACACATAGGTAAGTACCTGGTAGGTACCTGTTCAGTTATCCGAGAGCGTACTTAACCACCTCTTGAGTCGATTTATTATACGGCTGTGGACTTTCGACAGGAAATGTAGGAAAAGAAATACATTGAAGTCTAGAATTTAGCACAGCATCCCCCTGTTTGGAACTGTCAAAGTTTGACGGATAACGATTTCCTGTCCCAATAATTCCTCCATGGCGCTCCTGCTTCACACGGAATGTAAACCGGATCTCTCTCCAGCTTCAAGGCGGTGGTGTCATCCCCCAGACACTGCTTATCTCGTGATGGAGAATTCTGCTTGGAATGGCCGGGAGGGTTTGTCGACCCTTTCAGGACAGGAACCGACTCAAGGTCGTTGTCTCCGAGTGCGAAATTAAACTTCATTGACATTTCTGCTACATACATCATAAGATCATAGATCAATGGCCACCATTTAGAGGCCGCATCCTCAAGTACATACCGTGTTCCGGCTTGATCGTGATGACGCCCCTCGGGACGATCTTGGACTCATCCATAGCCAAATCCCAGGAGAAGGATGCCACCAGCGCAGCGAGCAGACACCGCATCTCGGCCTTTGCGAACTCCTGGCCGATACAGCTCCGGGGCCCTTGTAGGAAGGTCAGGAAGTCATAGTTGCTTTTGGCACCACCGTGTCTATTTGTCTTTCCGTCATCCGCATTGATCCATCGCTCGGGGCGAAAGGCGCTCGCATCCGGGCCCCAGATCTCTGGCGAACGGTTGATCTGCCAGATTGAGATGACCATCTCGGTGCCCTTGGGGATGAACTGCTCGCCAATGCTGGTGTCGCGGAGCGCCTCGCGCATGGTGACCGGGACGGTGGGGTATAGGCGTAGTGTCTCATGCATGATGCCATTGAGGTACGGCATTTGCTTCAGCAGGCCCGTCAAGTCGGCTGAAGCGTCGCCAGCCAGCGGATCTTGCCCGAGTGTCTGCGCGACCTCATCCCGGAGTTTCTTTTGGATTTCCGGGTGCTTGGCGAGGAGGTAAGCCGACCAGGTGAGTGCTGACGCCGTGGTTTCGTGCCTAGGGAATGGGTAAGTAAGGTAGCGGGACGGGAACTGTGTGCGGCGATTTGACATACCCTGCAGCTAGAAATGTGAGAAGCTGGTCTTTGAGGACCTCGTCATCAAAGTTGTTGGACTTGATCAGAAGCGACAGGATGTCGAAGTGGTTGTCATCTTTCTGGATGATCGCGTGCCTCTTCTCCCTGATCAGATCTCTGCAGATGTTGTCGAGGGAAGTGGTCAGGTAGACGAAGAGCTTGTTCAGACCCCACGGGAGCAACTTGATAAGGGAGAAGCCGAAAGCTAGGTTGAGCGCGGCAAAGACGATTTTCTCCCGGCTCGGCTCCAGGAGTTCTTCATACAATTCCTGCAGTGGATCGCTCGATTTCTCGACGGCGTTTATCTCACGACCCATGCCGGCAATCCCGATGATGTCGAGCGTGACTTTGCTCGCCCAAGCCGTCAATTCGAGCACAGCCGAGCCCTTGGACTCGCTACTGGCGCCGTTGGCAATTTCGCTTTGGAGCTTCCTGGTCAAGATGCCGGCCTTCGTCCACATCATGGGGTACAGATCCGTGATGTGCCGGGCGTGGAAGGCAGGCAAGGTGTTTTTGCGCAGGAACTTGTGCTTGTCCTCTTCCAGCGTAATGAGGCCATCCCCGATGACAAGCCGCAAAAAAGAAGCGATCCTCCTCGGTTTGGCGAAGTCGTAGCATTTATGCGAAAGCAAGTCGGCCAGAAGGTGAGGTTTGGCGACGAAGATATGCCGTCTGAAAGCATCTAAGGCGACCAAGTCTTCATCCGGATACCGCTTGGCCAGGTCAAGGAACAGGTCTCCCGCAGGTCCTTCCCTTACAACCAGAGTTCGATAAGCAGCACTGATTATCGCCTGCGACGGACTTGGTGAGTATTCTCTGTGGACGAATGCTGTCATGTTGCACTTACTTTCGGCCCAGAGATCCGCCGAAGTGGGCTGAAGAAGTTGGGGTACAAGACTGCCCAAAAGATGAGCCCGAAGGCATAGTTGACCAGGATGGTACCGACGACAGCTGTGAATCGGTCATGCAAGCTGAAGTACTCGGGGAGTAACTTGACAATCACAAGATACTCGGCGGCACCAGCGATGGTAAGACCGGGAAAGTTGAAGATTCGAGAAACTATAGACATGTCTGAGTTGTGGGTAGTCAGAATGAGGATGAGGTTGTCGTGGAGATCTAGAAAGGACAAGACAACAAAGATGATAAGTTTCTAGCTAGGGGAACGGGCGAGAGCGGAAGTCATGGAGTACTTTAAGCGTAATGTAGAAATTCTGCTGAGCATGAACCGAACAAGGCAAACTCCTAGTTTCCGCCTGATTGTCTTGCTCACTCCCGCGACGCGCGTTTGATGTGGATAGGAGATAGTTAGTTGCCAACGGCAGAAAGCCGCCTCGGCAACGACTAAGCATCGCCGCAGTGGGGGTGTGCAAGAAGTTCATGCCCCGATGCTCCTGCTCTGTCGATCAAAGGTGTCCTGTGAACCCCACTTGGAGCGAGCTGGGCTTCGGGAAAGAGAGGATATCCTTCGTCCCAGGGTTTCGGATTACGACGCTACCCCAGCTCGCGCAGGTCGCAAGGTCTGTCCCTATTCAGCTTAGTGTGCGAGGTTGAGACATTCCCCGCGGGACGGGCACCCTACCCGGCCAGGGGGCAGGAGGATGCAAGACCAGCAAAGACGATAAACCGAGGTCTTGCTAGAAAAGCATGACGCAAATGCAGGCGTTGTTGTCTTGTGAATCTTCCCAGTCATCTGCCAAAGCTTCACTCGCGAGTATGCTACGTCAAGGGCACAACAAGGTGATCGAATCCGTGGATATTATCGTGCTAAAACCGGATTTACAAGGACCTAACTTCCATTCCAAGCCGAGGGGAGAAATACACCCTGAATCAAGACCCAACCATGTATCCGAAATCCAGCACTGGGCTTCCATCTTGCACCGAACCTGTCACTGTACATTGCGGCGGAGTAGCCACCACCGGAGAAAGAGTGTCTTCTGCCGAGCTGGGACTCCATCCCACGCCCGGGTTTATCCACGAACGCAGGGAGATCTGCTCTTGCGCCCACCGTGTCTTGCCAATGTTGTCCTCTCCCACGGCAACCGCGGCTCGAATTCCAATCCCGCCATTAAGCCGTGCCAGAATCTCCATTGCCTTCATGTTCTGTTCCGGGGTCACGTACGCGCAGGATGACACTAGCCGGATCGACTGAACGATGACTATGGCCGCGGCCCCGTCGTGGGGGACGGTGCCGGGGAGGCCGCCTTGACCAACATCGCCCAGCGCGTATGGCACGGTCGCGAGGATGTCGTCTATCACGGCAGCGACGTCCATCTCAAGGAACGGGAGATACTCGTCCAACGTCGTCCCAATGCCGCCGCCCCACTGTTCCTGTTGATAGTGGTATGTGATCATGCTCACCAGCAAGATGAGGCGTGCAGACCGAATTAGAATGATGGTGCACGCCGTTTCAACGTCGTAGTGAGTTGTCCCAGATGCAACTTGTCCCAGTGCCGTAGGTGACCCGCGCCCCTTAAACATACTATGCCAATAATCCGCAGCCTCGACGTCCCAGAGGTGGAAGTCGTCAAGCGTCTCGGAGCATGTTTGTATCACGGACACTTGTTCTTCGACATCGAGCTGAGCACTCCTCGATAGCAACTTGTGCCGTAGCACCAGCGTCTTCGACATCATTCCCAGGGCACGCAGGAGGGGGTTGAAGGCGCCCCAGGCAGTGGCAATGGTCCCAGGATCCACGTAAGTGTCGTCGTCATTTAGGAACGAATAAACATGCTACCAGAGGGTCAGTATTGTTTCTTAGAAGCATAGCTAGCAACGGAGCCGATATGGCGCCACGTTACAACTTACCAACCGGATGAGGGCTAAGAAGAGGAGCTCAGCTCCCTGGGAGGTCGCAATCTGCTCCGGCCCCCGTTTCTCCACAAGGTAGTAAAGGCCAGGAGCGTGCTCGCGGGGGCCACCCGGCCGCTCGCCGCTGATGTCGTTCAACATGCACAGGAGCAGGACAGATGTTATCACCTTGTCATCCTTGGCTTCCTCTTCGGATTGTAGGAGGTTCTGCAGCATGCGGATGGCGCGGCTGTAATTCTCGTACGACTGAACGCGGAACTTCTCGCCACCGAATTTGTTGTAAGCCGCCATCTGAGCGACACTAAGGGTGGACGCCTCCAAGAGGCCATGGCTGTGGGAGTCATATAGGGTGGGAAGGAAGCTCAAGTGCCCGGGGAAACCGTCTTCTCGGTTTGGTGTGACGAAACGATGGATGAAGTAGAACAGAGATACGTGGTCGTAGCAGGGATCGGGTGCGCGAGGAAGAGCACGGCTCAAACGGCCGTTCTCGACGGTTTGTTGCTGTTCTTGTCGGGGTGACGTTGGCGGCAGGAGTGATGGTATCGGTTGTTGTTTTCGTCGTTGTCGTTGTTCACCAGCCCTCGCGGCCACCCCGGGTTGCTGAGGGCTTCGGCGTCTCGGGCCTTTGCTCCCCTGTTCTTGCGTGCATTCCTGTGTTGAGACTGCACCAGCAGCAGCTACGACGGAGGCGGGACTTGAGCGGTGTCGAAACTGGAACTGGTCGGTGTATCCAGTGCATGGTTTGCCGTAGATTAAGCAACGGCGACATGACGGTCTGGTTTCGTCGCACTTTCGGCCACTGGCAGTTAGCTCCTGCGTCAGAGAGGCCAGGGGGGACGGCAGCATCCAACACCAACCTTTACTTTCCGCTGGCGACAGCGCAAACAACCCCTGCTGAAATGTCCTGGAAACACCATCCTTCCCAGCCCAAAGTTGACCTAAAACCGGAAGCGGGCGATATGGAACCGTCGCAATGCCGAAAGGTGGAGGAGGTGGGAGAATATTGGGCCGAGTACAAATCTGGGGAGAAGGCCGAGTTTGCGATGCCAGCAGTGCCGCGTCGACAACGGGCCAAGGGCAAGCGCGTCACTTGAGCGCACCTTACTCGGTACGGTTTAGCTTGCGATGCATGCCGAGGTTGTGTCCGGGCTCACATCCCAGTCCAATGGAGCACTGCTGCAGATCCTTTCAGGGGTGGTGTTGAGGGCATCCTCAACATCAACACCAGAAATTCACAGGACTGTGCAGCTCCAGCACGAATCATGAAGATGGATATTGTATATCTAGACTAGAATGTGAGACTAACTTCAGCATGTTCCCATACTCTCTTAGCACCCTCCCGGCGCCCATTTCGTCAAGGCTAATCGCCAAGTTCCTCTCACATCCCAATAACCTCGCCAGCCCGCCTGCCTCACGACCTCGCAACTCACACTTTCTCGTCTCCTGAACCCATCTCCTCGTCATGGCTTCATTCCTCTACTCTCCCGCTGTCGACATGATAGCAGCCGCGGGCCGCATTGTCCTCTCGCCTCTCTTATCCGGCCCAATGCTAGTGACCATCACCTACTACCCGGATGCCGTACGCCACATCATCGCCTCGGCCGTCAAAGTCCTCCCCGAGCAGGTTATGGCACCGATCCTGTCTCTACCACAACCCCTTGTGGCAACTGCTCTGCGGGTTCTCACCGTGTTGAGCCTCGTCCGCGCAGTGAACGGGGCCCTAAACACCATGGCTTCGAACTCTTGGCGTCTCACGGCGGCGAAAGGCTGGGACTGGCCAAACGAAATTGCCGTGGTCACGGGTGGTTCGAGTGGTATTGGGAAGGGCATCGTGGAGAGACTCGTGGCCCTTGGTGTTCGTGTTGCCGTGCTGGACATCCAGGGCCTACCCAAGGAGTTCCAGGGGAATGCGCGCATCCGATTCTTCCACTGCGATGTGACGTCGGCCGAATCTGTCGCGGCAGCGGCAGATGCTGTCCGCAGCGAGTTTGGGCACCCCTCTATTCTCGTCAACAACGCGGGGATCGCCCGGCCTATGCCCATCCTCAAGACGCCAGAGGAGTACCTCCGTAAAATATTCGGCGTCAACGTCATGTCCCTGTGGTTCACGACGCAGCAATTTCTTCCCCGCATGGTCCAGCTCAACAAGGGCCATGTTGTGACTGTGGCGAGCATCGCGTCCTTTGTCGCTCTCGCCACGGCCGCTGATTATTCGGCAACAAAAGCCGGCGCCCTAGCGTTTCACGAGTCGCTCGCGTCTGAGATCAAACACCAATACAAGGCACCGAACGTGCTGACGTCCGTAATCCACCCCAACTTTGTCAAGACACCACTCCTTGACGGGTTTTCTGGCCGCCTTGAGCGTGCTGGGGTCCGGATGCTGACAAGCGACCGGATTGCGGATGAAGTGGTTGTTCAGATCAAGAGCCGGAGGGGTGGTCAGTTGGTGATCCCGAGCTCCGCCACGGGCATATCCGGCATAAGGGGCTGGCCGACATGGCTGCAGGAACTCTTGCGTGATGCTGTTGCAAAGGGGGCAGTGAAGCCGTAGCCATGTAGCATTCTGATATGTACCAGAGGAATGCTAAGTTTCACGCCGTGTTGGTCAAAACAGTGAGGAACAAGAATCCAAGCGCTTGCTCAAATCATGCTGTTCGATACCTGTGCTCAAATACCTACCTACCTAGGTACCTAGCTTTTTCAGTCGTTTTTCCAATTTCCTGCTTGATGCCATTAACCAACCGTCAGTGACTTTGACCGATCGGAGACAACTACCTCGGTACGTGCCTATATCTGTAGGTAGGTAGTTCGCAAATACCACTATTCACTAACAATAATATGTTGATTCTTCCCTATTTGTCCCAAGGAAAATGACCCGCGGTTAGCTGCAAGCGAGGGAAAACCCGCTTGTGTACGAAATAGTCTTGTGGACTGGCAAGATATCGGGATTACGAGCAGCATGCACTGATCCCGGTCCATATCCCCCCCACCCTCCTCGGCCTCTGCCGCCTCGGGTGAGTCGGGTCCGGAGCCCGTACTTGGGGGTTGCGTGGGTCTGGGATTTTTACCCATTTACCCCCTACTACGGAGTAGGGGGTAAATGGGTAAAAATCCCAGACCCACGCAACCCCCAAGTATACAAAAATGGGACCTCACGCACCAGACCGACCTCAACCTAAACTTCAAACACCAGCAGCCTCCGCACCAGCCATACGAACACTCGCAACATGGAGATGGCACGAACACCAAACGCGAAACCTCCTCAAGTTCGCACAGGAAAACCACCCCGCGTGATGCTCCTGTTCACGTATTGCTACACCATCCTCACCACACCATTTTTACTCGCTCATTTTGCCCTTGACATACTTTTGACCTTGTTCCCGCAGACACGACCCATCACCGGGTGGTCACTTAACCAAGCGGCCCGTATGCGGGTGGTCAAGCTGGTACTCCTCTACTGGTCCCGCCTGCGTTGGGGAGACCGACTCACTCTTCGCCCCGGCGGCGAACGCAACCGATTCGAAGTGATGCACCCACGGTCACCGAAGCTCTACACAGGAGCCCTCTCAGATGCCGGGATCCAGCCTGAGGCCATTGGCGCAACCTGGACACCAGCACGGCCGCCACCCCCAGCACTGGTGCGACCGGAGCTGACCGTGGTGTTGCACTTCCACGGTGGTGGATTCGCCGTTGGTAACGGGCGTGATGAGGACACGGGATATCTAGCTCGGACTTTGATTCAGCACATGGGCTGCAAGCTCGTTTGCACGCCGCAATATCGGCTCTCCAGCGGCACCAACGGACGGTTTCCGGCGCCAGTGCAAGATGCGCTTACGGCCTATCTCTGGCTCCTCCACGAAAAAGGGATCCCCGCTCGTCAAATCGTTTTTTCGGGCGACTCGGCCGGTGGCAATATTGCTCTGGGTCTACTACGCTACATCCACGAGCACGGTGCCGAGCTAGACATCCCCGCCCCAGGCGCTGTTGCGCTCTGGTCGCCGTGGGTAGATGTGGGAGCGGCGATCGACCAAGACATGCGGCAGTCGCCGAACTACAAGACGGACTACCTCAACATGGAATTCGGCCGCTGGGGCGCCGCTTCCGTGTCTGGGAACATGGACCCGTCAGGACCGTACCTTTCCCCGCTTCACCACCCTTTCACGCCGCCCATGGCCGACATGCCCATGTTCCTCCATGGAGGCGACCGAGAAGTACTCTGGGACGATATACAGGTCTTCGCGCAACGCTACGGGGATATTGGCTGGAAAGTGCACCTGGGCGTGTCCAGGCAATGCCCTCACGACATTCTCTTGCTCGGCTCCAGGCTTGGGTTTGAGCGGGAGGCTGAGGAGGCAGCGAAGGAGTCCGGCAAGTTCTTGGCAACGGCGGGCATGCATCTGGGCTAGCTGGGACCTGTCTAGTTTCCGGGAGGACTCCAGACAGGTGGGCTCTAAGGGTATCTCTGAAATGGACTAGCTTCCGACAACGTAGATCGATGAATGCAGGAACGTACGAGGCCTTCAAGCCAAACTAGCGTCGTGCTCATGACCATGAACTCACATGGTAAATGCTTCACAAAAAGACACTCCGAGGTAAATTGTGAAATTGTGTCATTCTGAGGCGAATGGAAAAACAACGTGGGGGGGGAATCGAATCTGGAGCCGAGGTCCAGGGTCGAAATCAAGCATTGGGGCTGTGGGGAATTGGACTCATGCGGGGTGGAGGAAAGCACGCGGAAACAAGCAAAAAATGCAACATTCGTACAGTAATGGTCGCTCGAGCTTGAACTGTGCTCGCTTCTGGCATGGCTTCCGAGTTGGTCCGCGTGGTCCGCCATGATGTGCCCACGGTTTGCGAGGTTGGTACTGGATGCGACGCTCCCTTCCAGACAATGCAGCGAATTATACGATGGAGAATGTCCCGAGTAGGTGCCCCCTGCTACCCATCGAGCCCGATCTGGACTCAGCTTGCGACCCCTGAGTGCCGACGCGCATGGTGGAGTTCTCGCGCCACGTAACGCGGAGTATTGTTCGGAAGAGCTCCGGCGCCCGGCGATCAACTTGCGAGGTGCATCGGGACTTGTCCGAACAACATACGCGGCCGCGAAGGAACCGATCCCGCATGGCTAGCGATGGTGAAAATTTATTCACAGAGAGGATCGAGTACATCAACCAAAGCCCAAGTGGCACTCACAAGAGACATTTCCTGAGCCTCATCACTCCCTTGCACATATTCCCGGACCTCGCTGCACCGCCATGGCCAACGGCAACCCCCGCGGACAGTCGGATAACGGCATGTTCTTCGACACCATCATCATCGGCGCTGGCATCTCGGGCATTAACGCCGCGTACCGAATCCAAACCGAAGGACCAGCCGAGACAAGTTACGCCATTCTAGAAGGACGGGACTCACTCGGGGGAACGTGGGACCTGTTTCGTTACCCCGGCATCCGCTCCGACTCGGATATCTTCACTTTCGGGTTTCCCTGGAGCCCGTGGAAGCACAATGTCTCGCTTGCGTCCGCCGAGCAAATCAAAACTTATATGAGGCAGTCAGCCGAGTCTCAAGGCATCGATCAGCACATCCTTTACCGCCACAGCGTGGCGTCGGCGAACTGGAGCCCGGCGGACAAGAATTGGGTCCTGCAGGTTGAAGTGACGGGACAAGACCAACCCATCACTATCCGGTCACGATTCTTGCTGCTCGGCACGGGCTACTACGACTACGAGAAGCCCCTGGAAGCGGCGATTCCCGGCATTGAGAACTTTGCTGGACGGGTTATCCATCCACAATTCTGGCCCGAGGACTACGACTACAATGGCAAGAAGGTCGTGATCATTGGTAGCGGCGCTACCGCCGTGACCGTGCTCCCCGCGATGGCTGAAAAGGCGAAACAGGTCACCATGCTGCAGAGAAGTCCCGGCTACGTGTTTTCCCTCCCATCAAACAGCATCATAACCGCACTTCTTTTCGCGATCCTCCCCATCAGCGTGGCTCACTACCTCAACCGCATCATGTGGCTTCTCAGGAGCCACCTGACCACCGTTCTCTGTCGGGCATGGCCCGGGCTGGCCAAGCTCATCATCAAACACGTCACCATCAAGCAGCTGCCGCCGGACATCCCATGGGACCCTAACTTCAAGCCGCGGTACAATCCCTGGGAGCAACGTTTCTGCGCCTGTGTTGACGGCGACTTCTTTGCCGCGCTCCGGTCTGGGAAAGGCAACGTGGTCACGGGCACGATCAAAACCGTGACCAGCAAGACCATCGAGCTGGACTCGGGCGAGCGCCTGCACCCGGACGTCATCGTCACCGCGACAGGGCTGAAGCTTCGGTTTGGTGGCGGGATCCGATTCGCGGTCGACGGCCGGCCCTTTGAGTGGTCTGAGAAGTTTGCCTGGAGGGCTGCTATGCTTGAAGGGGTGCCTAACCTACTCTTCCTCACCGGCTACGAGACGGCATCCTGGACGTTGGGGGCCGATGTCAGTGCTCGTCTGTTCGTGCGCATCCTCCGGGAGATGCAAGGGAGGAAGGCTACGGTGGCGGTCCCGCGACCGTCGCGGTCCATGCCGGATAAGCCCATGATGAGCTTGAATTCCACATACCTCAAGACGGTGAGGGAGGTGCTACCCAAGGCGGGAACAGGGGTTTGGGCAGCAAAGACGAATTACTTTGCGGATATGGCGCGGGCAAAATGGGGCAGTGTATCGACAGATTTGGAGTTTTCTTAAGCTTGAAAGTAAATAGGAGTAACCTGACAATCACATCACCGTAACCCCGCGCATATTCCCCCCATTCATTCCGCGACCAAACCCTTCGGGGCCTGAGCCTTGAGTTCCCTGGCACTCTGGTACTATGATGTCAACCATGCACATGCACATCCATGTGTATTCGTAGTGAGGTTCATGATCCCGACGGGTCATCCAGCCCACACCTGCATAGCCGTTGCCAGTATTATCTGTGAATGCCGGCTGTTCCCATGCTCCGCGTGACCTGCCCGGGCAGCCGGGCTCGCAACACTCCACTCTCTCGGTATTCAGGGGCTCGAGATCTTCACCGAAATGCGGGGTGCAGGGGCCTCAGGCGATCTTCATGTACAATGGTGGAGCGACGGCGCCTCTGTCCGAATTCGGGGCTGCTTTCCGAGCGCTGCCGAGCTTGCATCCAGTTCAAGGCACCACACATCTGGGAAGGATGATGAGTTGGCTAACTTGGCTCTGTTTATGAGCCTCATAACTCACGACGAGAGGGCAGCAAGTCCAAAATTGTCACATACTGAACCAATCTATTGACATCTTATGGATTGGGTTAACGTTGCTGTGACAAAGAGCTGCTTCCGCATTTCTCGGCCCAAACTCCTTCACCGCTATTACTCAATTTCCTTCTCGTCAACCTCCCATCTCCTCACCTGAACTTCAAAATGCCTGACGAAGCAGCAACGACTTCCCCCGGGCACCTCGACAGCCTTACAGTCGAAGAGGAGGGTAAGTTACAGGAAGCATGGATTCATCTCCTCCGGCTATGCGGCGTCGAGGAGAGCGCCAAGCTTGAGACACCGAACCAGACGCAGGAGTTCCGGGAGCACCTCAGCGACAAGTCGGCCGACGGTTTCCGGCATCGGCTCTGGACGTTTATACTCGCAGACCACCCGGACGTCTTGGTGCTTCGCTTCCTCCGTGCTCGGAAGTGGGACGTGGAAAAGGCGGTGGCTATGTTGGTCTCTGCTCTCAACTGGCGCCACGAGCGGCGACTCGAAGATGACATTGTCAACAAGGGCGACAGCATCGGGCTGGCTGAAACCCAATCGGACGACGAGAAACGATTCTTGGCCCAGTACCAGTCCGGGAAGGCCTACATCCGCGGTTCCGACAAGGAGCAGCGCCCCGTTTTCATCATCAAGGTTCGCCTACACGACCCAAAACTCCAGTCGCCCGAATCCATGGAAGCCTTCGTGCTGCACAACATTGAGACCATCAGGACCATGATCCGGCACCCTAACGAGAAGGCCTGCCTCATTTTCGACCTCACTGGCTTCGGCCTGAAGAATATGGACTTTCATGTGGTCAAGTTTTTAGTCCAGGTTTTTGAGGCGAGATACCCGGAATATTTAGGTGTGGTGCTTATTCACAACGCACCCTTCGTTTTCTGGGGTCAGTCACACTCCGTAACAGAGTTTATTTGGAAGGAGTTATTGCTAATGGGGCACAACGCAGGCATCTGGAAGATGATCCAACCGTGGCTGGACCCAGTCATTGCATCCAAGATCAACTTCACAAGCAGCAACGGAGATCTCGCCCGCTTCATTGCCCAAGAGAACCTCCAAAAGTGTTACGGGGGTAAAGATAGCTGGGAGTACAACTATGTCGGGCCAGTGAAAGGGGAGAACGCGGGAATGGGCTTAGAGAAGAAGCAGCAGGTCGAAGCAGACCGAACCGTGCTCCTGCGCCAGTTTGAGCAACTGTCGCTCGAATGGGTGAGGGCGAAACCCGACTCACCTGATGCAGTGCAGAAAGTGGCGGAGAGGCGTGAGCTGGCAGAACAGTTGCGGGAGAATTACTGGCACCTGGATTCCTTCGTCCGGGCCAGGACCTACTATGACCGAGTAGGTGTAATTGGCCGTTTGGGTGAGGTGGACTACAAAGCGGCAACATAAATAGGTACCTGCTTTACCTGGTACCCAAGTCACAATGAGAAGCACGACTTTTTTCCCGTAACTAACATGTTGATTTTGATGTTGCTAGTTACTTATTACTTACCATTCACCGAGGTCCTCGACAGACGTTCCATTGTCTGCCCAGGTCCACATGCTCCTTTCATCCGTCTAGTTACTGGGGCGAAACTACTACATGTGTGAAGATGCTCGTGTGGAGAGAAAAGGCCACCACAACCTCGGTCGATTTGGCTGTCACGGCCATGGTAGACGGTCACCCTCGGTAGACCAGTGCATGCGCACCCTTTCTCACCTGTCGGCGGATTTCAGGCCGGCATGAACAGACGACTTAGAAACAAGCCGCACACAGTATACAGATACGGAGCCCGGCGGGGCGATCGATCTGTGGGCTGAGAGTCCCCATGGCCTCCCGCCCCCTCCCCCGGTTTGCATCCGGGCACCCCAGATTCTCGGGGGGTGGATGCTTGGCACACTACCCTGCCTCCCTGCAAAAACCAGCTCGTCCGTCCGATGCAGAGTAACCCTCGAGCCGGGGCCGGTAGATCTGCCAAGTTCACTAGAGGATCCTTAACCTAGTTGGATCATGCTCGCGCTCTTCAACTTGGAATAAACTTGGCTTTGGCCCTCTCCACTTCGGCCAACCTCTCAGCCCTGTCCTTCCCCCTTCTCACGGGTTCTGGGTACCCGGGGTCAAGCGCTGGTAACCTTCATTTTTATTCCAGCTCAGAATCCAAGCAACTCAACGTCGGCGTCACAACAGCACCATGCGGTTCTCCAAGTTGCTTCTTGCAATCTCGGCCCCTGTCGGCCTTCTCGCGAGAGAACCCTCCGACCAACTCTCACCGGGCGAACTTGCCGCGCTTCTAGAAAAACATGACTTGGCAATTGTTCCAAAGTCGGAGCTCACCGACGCGCTGACCGAACTCAATGCCCTTCTCAAGAGCCAGCGCGTGCAGCCGCGTCTTTTCGCACCGAAGTTCGCGAGGCAAAACACCACCACAACGGCCTCAGAGTCTGGTTCCGGCTCCGGTGATTCCATCTCCGCCGACGACTTCCTCGGCCTCGGGGATTTTGGAGATGTGTTAAAGGGTCTCTTCAAACCCCTTGAAGACCTCACTGGACTTCTAAAAGCCCTTGAAAGCCTGCTCACAGCCGAGTTTCTCGAAGGCTTCCACGATGCGATGGTCTACCTCGCCGAGACTCTGCAGCCGCCCGCGCCAGCCCTGATACGGAACCTTTTGAAAAAGGGCGGACCGCTCATTGACATGCTCGGTGAAATCGACCTCAAGGGCCTATTGGACCAACTCAAGGGTGTCGACCTCGAAAGCCTGGTCGGCGCGGCGTTGAAGCTCCTGTCCGAAAAGAACATCAACAACATCGAGTCCCTGGTAACAAACGGCGCGGCTCTTCTTACTCCTTCGTTCGTCAACCAGACAGCGACGCTTATCGGAGATGTTTCACCACTGTTGAGTCAGCTGAGCCCGTTGCTAGAGCAGCTCACCAAGCTGGACCTCGAGGGCCTTCTCGATGCGGTGGCTCCTCTTCTCGCCCCGGAGTCCATCCAAGGTATCGTCAAGTTGTTGGACAACGCCGAGGCTTTGCTCACGCCCCAGTTCGTGAAGCAAGTTGGTGGTCTTTTAGGGTCTGTTGGACCCCTGCTTGAGAAGGTCCAGCCCCTGCTCGACAAGCTCGCGGATTTGGATTTGGAAGGCATCTTGGATGCAATTGCGCCTCTTCTCACGCCGAAGTCTGTGCAGGGCATCGCGACGCTGCTGAAGAACGCCGAGGCTTTACTGACGGCTGAGTTTGTTAAAAGCATTGGAGGTCTTTTGGAGTCAGTTGGCCCACTCCTCGAGAAGGTCACGCCGTTGCTTGATAAACTTGCGGGTGTGGACCTTGAAGGCATTTTGGACGCCGCTGCCCCTCTCCTGACACCACAGTCAATAAAGGGGATCGTTGGTCTGCTCGACAACGCAGAGAACCTGCTCACGAGCGACTTCGTCGGCGACACAAAGACACTTATCGGCGACGCGGTCCCGCTGGTCTCGGCGCTTGCAGAGGTCGACCTGGCAGCTCTGATCAAGCAACTTCAACCGTTGCTCAACGCACTCGGGGAAATCGATATCGCGAAACTGGTCAAACAAATTTCACCCCTCCTCACACAACTTTCGCCCCTGCTCGAGCAGCTCGGCAAGATCGACTTGGCCAAACTTGTCGCTAAGCTGTCGCCGTTGTTGGACATGCTAGGCGAGCTCGACCTCAAGAACATCCTCGATTCGCTCTCACCCCTGCTGACGGCCAAGGGCATTGGGGGCGTCGTAACGTTGCTCGATAATGCCGAGGCCCTCCTCACCGCCAACTTCGTCAACCAAACACACACGCTCATTGGTGGCGCTGTGCCCCTCATCAACGCCCTGGACAAAGTCGATATTCAAGGATTGTTTGAGATCATTGACCCATTGCTCAAGGAGCTAGACGGAATTGACCTCAGCGGCTTGATCGATGCAATCAAACCAATTCTGGAGGCTCTTAAAAAGATTGATGTCAAGGGCATCGTGGACCAGGCAATGCCACTGCTTACCCCGGCCAGCATCAAGGGCGTGATAGGACTCATCAACAATGCCGGCACTCTCCTGAGCAAGACGTTTGTGACGCAAACGTCGGAACTCATTGATGATGCGACACCAGTAAGACCTTCTCCTGTTTCCATACCAATCCCCGCTAACGTTTGATGCTTGAAGCTCGTGGCAACGATTGCCGACCTCGTGCATGCAATTTTGAAGGAGTTTGTAGGCAAGCGGGAGGGTTGATCAGGACGAAACGAGGAACAGCTGGGCGAACTTATGTAGCATCCATTCCGTCCACAATTGCTGCACAATTGCTGCACGATGGATTGTGGGATTCTCCTGAGTCCGAGTCGTCGCATTATGAGGCCCTTCGCCGGGCGCTGATATTAATTACAAGCTTAATAAACATATTTCTCTTAACCTCTTGCCTCTATCCCTCCATCGTCAAAAAGTTGAGTTGACCAACGGCTGAGGTTCCTCAGCAGCTATAATCCAGCTTCATGATAATACCTCCCTCGGTCCGCTCCCACGCTCTCACTCAACCCCGGGCAACCAGGACCGGGGGCCGGGCATGTTTTGATATTTCGAAATTTAATGAGCAAGCCGAAAGCGGAAATAGGCCAAGCATCGGCGGGTTTTAACACAATAATTTTGCTGAGAATGCCTGCCAACGGTCCCCTCCTCGGCAGAATGCGGGGATGATCGACACCGGTCATGGGGAAGCAGAATACGACCTTCTAATCGAAGAAAATCGCAATCTAACCCAGAATGAGGCAGGTCCAGAGCGATGGCGATTGAGGTTGCGGGCATTCGCCCTTCGCCCGGTACACATGTGACATGATTCAAGCACTCCATACCTACCTACATAGGTACCTTACCCAGGACATCATCGCCGGTAATGTTACGACCCTCTCCAATGTCCTTGTTAGAAGCAAGACCCCGTGGCCCAAGCCGGAGATAATCTCTCACTATCGGGTGTCCAGCCAGTCATCGTCTTTCCGTGTTCATGCGGTCCCATTAGGGTTAACAAGGCCACGGCGTGTCTCTGTGCTTGTTGTGTTGCCCCGTTAGCGAGTCCTGTCGAGACTGACATTTATCCCCAATTGCTCCCCGGTTTCAAGGTGCTCCTCATAGCCAACCGCCATGGCCGCACAACTTGGTGAAAGGTCAGACGCCTCCGCCGCTCAAAATCTCGAACCTCCATCGGGGAATACCCAGGATGCTGCTTCCTCGCTTGATGATGGTGTTGGCGACAAAACACAACCAGGAACTGTTTCTATGTGGGGAAAAATAAAGCAACATTTCTTGCGTAGATGGTGGATTTACCTGATCGCGATCGTGGTCTTGCTTGTCATCTTATTGCCCGTTCTGTAAGTCATCCCCATGGCGAGCCTCTTGGCCGAAACAGTTAGCCGGAGCCTAACCATAATCCAAGGTTTAAAGTCATCATCCCGGCCATCATCAAAAACATCGTCGATGGCCAGGAGCTACCTGTAAAAGGGGGCTTTCTCAACTTCACAGACCCAACGCGCCTGCGCATCGGCCTGGACACCTCGCTCGATACTCCCCTGCCGGTTAAGCTCGACCCCGTTTCACTCAGCTTACTCCAACCGCCAGTTGACGGTGCTGATGATATTGGGACGCCCTTCCTCACGCTGCAAATGCCGGAGCAGCACATAAACCACGAAACCGATGTCGTCATCCCCAGCCAAGTCGTCGACGTTTTGGACCACGCACATCTTGTCGCATGGTTCAACGAATTCTTCGACAAAGAGGGGGCCGACCTCCGCCTCAAGGGTGATGATCTCAGTGTCTACCTCGGCGCACTGGACTACCGAGCCGACTTGGACAAGACCATCAAGGTACCGGGTCTCGACTACCTCAAGGGCTTTGGCGTGTCGGACATGCAGTTCACCATCCCGCCGGGGCCCTCTGGACACAACATGAAGGGGCACCTCAACATTCCCAACGCCGGAGTGCTGACACTGGGGCTGGGCAACGTGACGTTCAACGTGATGGCGGGGGACATCAACCTAGGATTGGTCTACATTTACAATCTCGACCTGAAGCCGGGAAACAACACACCACCCTTCGAGGGCGATTTCTACTTCGATCAGCTGGTGCCTAATCTCGCCACATTTCTGGAAACGCAACGCGGTGCTCTCGCCAACGGCATGGTTGAGTTCAACGCCACGGGCAATTCTACGTTTCACAACGGTCAGCGCATCCGTTACGTCGAGAGCGTTCTGAATCGGAAGCACATTCCCTTCACCATCCCGGCCACGACTTTGCTCCTTGATGTTCTCAGCGGCGTCCTAGCAAGCGGGACGGATGGTCCAGGACTCCCCTTACTAGACACGGTCGGGGACGTGATGGGGAACAAGACCCTATTTGAACAAATGCTAGACCATTTCGATCCACAAAGTATCGGCAGTGGCGCTCAAGGCATGGGCAACGGGGTGGAAGTCACGGATACTACCCAATTGAAGAGAAGGGCGATGGCACAGACGGCTGGGAGATCGATGCAGGTGAATCTTTTAAGGCTAGGTTTGCGTACCTTGCGATCAAAGTTTTGATGGACGCGTGATGAAGGTGGAGTTGAGGACATCAATAATATGTTATTAGGTTAGGAATTATTAATGATAGTACTGTGAATTACCGTCTCGGTGATTCTGTTGACAAAAGTTGTCACCGTGGAGGCTTTTGGACATCTCGCGCGTTTCCTTTTGCTCCAATTCCTGCCGTTACTTACCCCTTATTTCCATCCGATGAGAGATGGTTAGTGCACGCGGTGGTCCGGTCACCAGAAGCATTAGTTTAGGTTATCTGCCCAACCCAGAACGGCATCTTTGTGACTGTCACTGCTTCCGGCTGCTAGAGCATCTGAAGGCATCACGGGGGTACTTGTATAGTTGAGTTGGTAAGTAAGGTACGTTGAAACTACGCGGCATCAATCTCATTTACATAGATATTGGAATTGCATACACGAAACTCGGTCAGGTTTGGCGGCCCATTTGAATGCTCGCTCTTGACAAACCAGCTGAAGGAAAGATTTATCCCTGAACAGCGGTCTGCTGGACGATTTCCGGCACGAAAGCCGACACCGGCTCCCGGTCGTCGGCCCCGTCCTCCTTCATACCCCCCAAGATCATGGACTTGGGTGCCATGGCCTGCCACACCGGCGGGTCGGTAAAGGCCTTGAACTTCTCGTCGTGCCACTCCTTGGCCGTCACATACCGCCCCTCACTGTCCTGGAACATGGTGTCGTCCTCGGCGCGAAGGAAATAGGCGATGGAGTACCGGTGTTCGGTTGGGTTGAAGGGCACGACACGGTGGATGCACGATTGGAACTTCATGCCGCTCGCAAAGCGCAGCGAGTCTCCGACGTGGACAAAGGCGCATCCGGGTTGCGGGGCGACGAAGCCCATCTCCTGCGCGCCGCACTCTCCAGGAGGACGGATTTGAAGGCCCCACTGGTCGCTGAAAAGCAGCGTCAAGGAGCTAATGTCGGTATGCTTTTGGTGTCCGATCTTGTTTTGGCCCGTCTCCTCAGCCGGGAGGTAATGCATCATGGACAGTGTGGTGGTTGACGGGCGGTCGTTGCGGTGCGAGTTCTCGAAGCGCTCAGCTCCGGTCAGGCCCATGCCGGTAGAGAGAGCGGAGAGAAGGACCTTGGTGACGATGTTGCAACTACCAATGCCCCGCTCCAGAATGTGGAGCTCACCGCTGCTCTTGATCGGCGACGGGACCCGAGGGCTGCCTTGCTGGATCTCATCCCGCGACACCTTGAGCATCTCGTATCCGTCCTTGGAACCCGGCCCGAAGGCGCCCGTTCGGCTGCCAACTGGCTCGTAGCCGAGGTGGGAATCGATCAGGCCATATTCGTTCTTGGCCTCGATCGGGGCCTCGAAAAAGCGGTGCATGAGTTTCAGAACCTCCTGGCGGTCCTCGAGCATTCCACGGCCGTCGATGCCGTCGAGGTTGAGTTGGAAGTAGCCGTCCTCCAGACACGCCTTGGTCACCTTTTCGACTTCGGCCGGGTCTTGTGAGAGCAGCAGGCCGTAGTCAATGGTCCTCATGGACCAGACAGGGACCTGCTTACCCTGCCATTCGACGGTTTGCGGGGCGTCAGTCATCGTGGGTAGGATACTAGTGCTCACAAGAGCTTTGGTGGAAGAGTCTAAGTTGAAAGGGATGAGGTAAAACAAATCTGTAGCCTACACCAAGGCAATCGTCTTATTCTCGAGGCCGCCTGTGGCTTTTCAATGTTTCTTGAAAGATCGCCAATGAACCAGGACCCGGCAGTTGATGTGGTCCTGGTCGAATTCACCCGAGGCATGTTGCGTCAGTTATTCAGTCTTCCCCGCACTTTACGTCTCGCTGGAGGCACATCAGTGAGGGGTGTCGCATTGTCCCATCATGAAGTGGCACGTGGGTGGATGGCGGTTATGGCCGACATATTAAGCCAGACGGCCTTTCCGAGATCCACGTCTGGTAAGTCTCGCGCCCCCCCCCCCCCCACATCCAAGGATATAATATGGTATGTGATCATCGCCCAGACAACGGGGAGACGGGGAAAGGGAAGGTGTGCAATATCGGCCATCTCTAAATGTAACCACTTCAGGCGCCGAGTCTTGGACGGTCTTGGAAGCTCGGAAGCGAACCTTCGGAGTTATTTTTTCGAACGCTGGCCTCTTCAATCTAGCTAATCACCTAATCTAGCTGCTCTATGTAGTAGCGCCGGCACAAGCAGAACCTTAATGCTCTCCACCCTAGTACAAAACAAGGCACCTAACCTCGATGCTCTGCCGAGACCTCTCCTCTCGGTAGGCCGGGTCTTCAAAAGCCGAGTGCAGAGCCCTGCGCGCTAAGGACCTGTCCGAATCAAAACACTTAATCAGGAGTACGTCCTCGGACGTCATACGGTACTTGAAATGCCACCGATGATCCGGATTGTGCCGAACGACCCAGGACTCCCCGTTGAAATCCTCCTCGACCATCGGCGCCGCCACGAGGTCTGAGTCCGGGACGGAGTTCGCATCGGCCACCGCAATGGGATCTTTGAGAATAGTTTCGATGGGGCGCCAGATATTGATGATTTGGTACCTGCGTCCCAGTAGTTCGTCTGCTTCTTTGGGGTCGGGGAATTCCCATCTCAGCCGGAGCTCTGCACCGGCGTACGACTGGTCTACATGTGTCCTAGTGACCGGCCCACGGTTTGCGAGGTTGTTCCCTTGTAGGCCCAAGTGATGCCACTGGGTTGGCCCCCGGCGGACTTTGTGATTAAAGATGTGGATATGGCTTGCGCCCGTGATGTCTTTCAACAAGTTTCGGCATTCTTCGTAGTAAACAGATCGAATGGCTTCCTCGTCGATGAATTCCTTTTCGCTGCTCTCGTGCCGGCAGTATTGAAATCCGTGGGTGTCGAGCGAGTACTTGTCTTCTTCTCCCGCGATATCCATCACCACAAATCCGTGGGGCCGGTGTGGTCGCTTGTTTGTGACTCGGCCCCGGCCAATGAAGATGGGGGGAGGGCAGGAACCGTCTCCTGGGTCGTCCCAATAATTGAGTGTCGTAGCGACATTATGTTTCTGCTTGAGCTCCAAACTCGGGTTGTGGGCTGAGGTTTCCTCCATGTCTTGCCGTAAGAATGTCGTTGGGATGTCGCGCTGCTTGAGAGACTGGCCTCCGTCTATTCACGGAATGTTCTGAAAGAACTCGGCGTCTTTTAGGCCAAGCTGCTGGGCTTTCCGATAATTGCCGGAGTTTCCGGGAGATCTTATCCAAAGAAACACCACGGAAGCATCCGACTCCGAGCGGCCGTGGCACATGGCTGCGTTGCAGCACATTAACCGACTGACTCCCTGACGTTGCAATGGCGTGACCCCCACGTTGCCATGTTGTCTGCGGGGGCTGCGAGGCCACACCCCTCGAAACCGGTCGAGAGTGAAACCTTCTTCACCACACAAAGAGAATGGAGGAAGACGGCTTCATTCTCGTCCCCAGAGTGGACGAGAAATACTCTTTGAGCAACCGATGCTGTACCCAAGACGATGAATCCTCCCAGCTTTTGTCGGACATTGATGACTTCATCGACAGTCTTGAAGAGTCACTATGGGCCCTGAACACGTTCATCCACGCAAACCCTGAGCTCGCGTTCCAGGAATACAAGACACACAAAGCGTTGACAGAGTTCCTGCGGTCGCAAGGAGAGCAATGGCGTGTGACACCATCAGCCTACGGAATGGAAACGGCATGGGTGGGTGAATATGACAGCGGTCAACATGGGCCTGTTGTCTCATTCAACTTGGAGATGGGTAGGTAACTTAACTCAACCCAAGTTACTAGAAACTTTGTAGAACGTAGTCAACAACATGCTCACGCAATACTTAGACGCGCTCCCGGGTTTGGGCCACGCGTGTGGCCACAACCTTATCGCCATAGCCTCGATGGCCGCTGGGCTGGCAGCAGCGGAAACAATGAGACGGCATAACTTGCCAGGGAAGGTGTTCCTTATCGGGACGCCAGGGGAAGAAGGCTACGGGGGTGGCAAGATACGTCTCCTGAAGCAGGGCGCCTATCGGGGGGTCGACATCTCTCTCATATCGCACCCCGGCATTCTGCACAACAGCCCCCTCGTGCGAACTACTGCTTTTGCGCGTCTCGAGGTCGAGTACTTCGGACGGGCGGCACACGGCGCCAAGAACCCATGGATGGGAATCAACGCTCTCGACGCTCTGGTCGTCGCATACAATGCGGTGTCGGCCCTGCGCCAGCAGACCATGTCAGGCGACGTAATCGGTCTGGCCATCACTAACGGCGGAGAAAAGGCTACGAATATTATTCATGCCTACGCCGCCTGTGTCTGTATGATTCATGCGACTAGTGCTTCTCGCCTAGATGTGCTGCAACACAAAGTCAGCGCTTGCTTTCGTGCGGGCGCCGAGGCCACCGGAGCAACGGTCAAAATCAACATCACTCCCGGCTATCAGGATCATGTCCCGAACCGCGTTCTCGCGGCATCGTACGCAGCATACTGGAATATGTTACCCGACCCGCCGGACCCGTCGATTCCATTACCTGAGAAGGGGAATCAGCAGTTCACTTGGGTGCCGTCGAGCACGGATCAAGGAAATCTTAGCCATGCGATGCCGAGCGTGAACGCGAGCTTCGCTATCCCCCCCGGCCCCGAAGCCGGGCAACCGCACAGTCCCGACTTTGAGATGGCGTCGGGAACCAAACCGGCCTTTATGAGAGCTCTCAGAGTGGGAAAGGCCTTGGCGGGAACGGCGGTGGATGTGCTGGCGAGGCCCGGTTTGCTCGACGAGGTCAAGAAGCAATGGAAGCGAGACATGGAAGCAACGGACGGACCGCTCCATGAATGTTTTCCAAGAATAGGTTGAAGTCATTGGGAATTATGTGAGGGGAATCCATATTTAAATTGGTCTATTCTGCGCACCCGTTTCACCGGGCTTCCATAAGGTACCTATGTTGTATGCCTGGTACTTCAGTGTCAAGTCCGTCCCCAAGCCGAGCGACTGCAGAGCGGTGTCCAGCGATTGGCGCGGAACCCATACAAACCTAGCCCCTTTTGACTTTGTTATTGAATCATTACTGCAGATCTGCAATCTTGGGCGCCGATGAGGGTGGTGGTGTTGTATCTGCAGCGTATTCATGACGAAGGAAGGAGGGTGTCCACCGTAGAACGCTGAGCGAGATACGCTGAGGAGGAAAGGGGGAGCTCTCAATGCCAAAGAGGCAAAGCCGGTGAAGTCCTTCTGTTGGCTTGCCAGCCCTAACGACTCTGTTTCCCGAGCGATGCGACGATTAGTCGCTCCCAAATTGTCACGGATTGTAATTAATGGCTCAGGTCATGCCATGCCTTCACTTATTCAACCATGCATAGTAGGTACTACGTAATGAGGCCATCGTTCATTTACCGCGTTGTATACCTCGACCCCCCTTGCCCATATCTCAATACTTTCTGCCAATATGCTTAACTTCCTAACCGCTGTCATACTTTTGACTTCTTCACACAGAGCTGGCCGCGATTCATTATTTGCTATTAACGGCACCCTGGGTACCTCGATATTCTCGACCGCCGATTAGAACCTCGAAATGGAAAACATCACCAAGCGGCGCAGGCGGACAATTCGGTTACGAGTTTATTAGCAGAGTACTTGACCGGGGATGGAGGGCCCTGCAATCATGTGAGTTGGGATCTCCCGATTAACCCCTGTCCCCATCCACGTGAACATTGGCGCGGTCGACACGCGCCTCCCACGCGACAGCGGTCAGGGTTTCCTTCCTTGGGCCAAACGAGAAACCATCATAAAACCACGAACAACAAAGACGAAACACGATGGACGCGCTGTTCCATGCATCGAACGAGACCGTTCGGTCTATTCTTACTGCTCTCTGTGACGATGACCGAGTCCGCTCCAAAGCTCTCAAGTACCTCGATATGATTGAACCCGAAGCCAAGGTCAAGGCAAACGATGCTCCGCCGAGTGATCCAAACAGTAAAAAGCGGAAACCGGCGTCCACTCTCAGTATATGTGTGCGGTGCGGCGAAACGTTTTACGACGGGACCACCGACAAATGCAAATACCATGATGGTACAGAGTGGCCGTCTAAGCCGATGAGCTTCTGAGTGCTGAGCTCGAGCTGACCCCCGGTTTAGGCGAGCTTGAGCCCGATTATGACGGTGACTTCTGGGCTGATCATGATGAGAGATGCCATGGCGTAATCGACACGGATAGAATGCGAGAAGACTTTCCCGATGGTTTCGTATGGGACTGTTGCGAAAAGCTCGGTTCCGAACCAGGTTGCCGAAGAGGATACCACGAATCACACCCCGACAAGAAGTACAAGGGTTATGAATCTGAATCTGAGGATATTGGGACGTCGGAGATTGGCAGTGATGACGAGGGTGAAGGGGAGGAGGAGGAGGATGAGGACGAAGACGACGAGGACAACGAGGACGACGAGGATTAGAAAGTTTTGAACGACCAACACCGGCCGTCCCGTTCCACACCACCATTTGTATCCAAAGGGGCCAGGCATAGTTTGAGGCACCTCGTCGGCCTTCCGTTCGGTTTCGGGCCTTTCGATGCCCTCATCCTCAACCATAACAACTTGAAACGACAAGTCCCAGTATGGTGTGCCTCCATTATTAAATATGTTAGCATAGCTTGGTCCTCGGGAGGTCATTTTCAGTTCATTGGTCCACAATACCTATAATCCTACCTTCGTGGGGTTCAACCGTGATATTTCGAGGCGGTAAATCCCCACGTGGAAATTGTACTTTGCACTCGTCCTCTTCGGTTTCTGCCCCGACGTTTCTTCGTGGCTCCAAGGGGTAACATAGTGACTCTCATTTTAGGCAAGGTGGCCGCCACGATGCGCAGCCAAAGCCACCCATGGGAATGGTTGACACCGCAGCAGTGGCTTGTCCTTCGCATGTGCTTAATTCTATCCCTCGCCCTCGGAAACCATGCGATCGATGGCTCCACGCAATGTGGAATTTCTAAGTTACAAAGCAGAAACGACCCAGAGACAGCAAAGCACGGCAGCCTCGCCAACCTCCTCTTTCCTACCTCATATTCTCTCTCATCAGCTGCTGCCTGTTAAGCTTGAGCGACTCGCGCTCTTGCGCTTTGCCGCATCATCGGCTTCATTGTGTCTACCATTCCAGCCCCGGTGCCCCCGTAACACAGGTTTGGAGTACGGGGAGGGCCGGGGCGTCAGCCATGAAGCAAGGTGGCGGCGGTTTGGAATCAGGACGGTTTGGTTGGCTGTTGTTCGCATGCGAGTTTGTGAAACGTAATGATCCTTCCGCCGTACCTTGGCAGGCACGTGGCAGGCTAAGCTGCGGTAGTCCACCACCCGAGACCGGCGTTGAGAGGGAGTGAGCTACAAGTACAGATTGTGTAGTCGCCGAAGTGGCGGCTTAGCCTTTCTATGCGCAACTCTCGACGCCTCGGCAAGGATATCCCAAGTTCCCAAGCGACGGGTGCGCGCCTCTTCGCTCTTTGGGGCAAGCCGGCCTAACTAGTAGAACTCTAATAACGAAGCCCAACGAGTCGAGTCCTACCTGGGAAGCTACCGGTGGTTTGTTATCGCAGCGGGGATATTCATCATGGTTTTCGGCATCTGAATCTGCTCGTGCAACGGAATAGCCGTTGATAGAACTGCGGCTGGTCACAACATGTTGTCGGGGTCAACCAAAACCAGCCTCAGCCTTCCAGCTTTACCTAGTCCAGGACCCGGTCGAGTTCATGAGAGCGCGCTGGTTTCCGCAGTCACACCCACGCTGATGTAGATAACAAGTTTGCTCCCACCGGCAACGTTTCTTAGCGGTCGTCTAGCAAAGTGCCCCCCCAAGAGCCGTGAAGAACAGGCACTAGAAGTCCATAATCTCTAGTCTATCCCAGATCACCGGCACTGCCTTGTTCATGTCACGGTTCTTTCGGATGCCAATGGACACCCCCCTCCCGGGGCAACAAGCGAGGTTTCCTGGCAGGGGACAACCGCATGCATCGTACCTTTCTTGACTGGGACTGGGGGAGCCAGCCTCCCAGCTGAATCCCAGCGATGGGGGAATCGAACAAAGACCCCTGCAGCAGTCAATTAATTACGACGAGACCGCGAGAGTTCGACGCTGCGCCGCTAGCGCACGCGAGAGTGATGGATCAATGAGGCCGGGACTTGGCATATCAAACAACAAGAGGCACAGCGAAGCGGCAACTGCGAAACTGGCCATCTCCTTGCATCCTGTCGGGGAGGCGGCATCTTTGGATTTCAGCCATGTGCCAACGTGGACTGTTGTTGCATCAAGAGGCAAATTGGCTTGGCCTTCTCCAGAGAGCCCCTGAGGAGTTGATGACAGAAAAAAAGGCCGTCATGCTCTCACGCTCTAACTGGTGTACACAGCAAGGTACTGTGGAGTGTGGGGGTTCGGCCAAGTCATGAATGTTTCGATGCTGGGATGGCAGAACCGAGTCTGCTTGAGGGGACTCGGAGCGGGCCAAAAACAAACTTCAACCGTAACCGACTAAATAACTGGGATGTGACCAAGAACAAACCAGTCGATTGAATCGCAAGTAAGACAAAAAAGGCCACGGAATGAGTCTACTGTGTAGGATTTCTGCTTCCCGGGACTTCTCCTTTGTGATTTGGATCAGATGGCTTGCATACTTCCAACACGATTACGAAGTAATTCCTCATCCTGTTTGCCATGTGGGTTCTTGCTGCTGTCTGGTGTCTTCCATGTGCCTAAATCGAAACTCCATGGCGCCAAGCTCGGCCGTTGTGCTTGGCAGACTGGATCGGTCGAACCGGCATCGGGACGCTGGAACGTCGGCAATTTTTGGCATCCTCCCGGCGTTGATGATTCGATTGCGCATCTGCCGTTCCCAACTCGCAGTGGCGAGCACACCTCAGCTCAGCACGCTCCAGACGAAGGCAGAACCAACAGCTTCGGCGAGTTCGCGGCTTGCCCAACAGACTCTTGGCAATTCGAGTCCAAATTGGAGGAAGGGCTAAACCTCTTAGCGACTCTTCAGGTTGTCTGAAGCGAGGAGCAAACCCAGTTCCTCGCGGCGAGGCCGGAACACGAACACTTGATTGGGGCGATCCTGCCCGTCCGGATGGGGACAAGGCAAGCGTGGGATGCAATTTATAGACGGTAAGGCGGGAGGGTTGCGGGGTTCGCCAATATCGACGGATCAATGGGCATCGCTGTTGACACATGCAAAACGCAGCTCCTTTCCCCTTCGCGATTCCTCTTCCTGTCTGTTGGTTTTGAGGGCGGCTCTGTCGGATCTGTCTTGGCCGCCAGTGGCCGCTACGGGCTTGGCCACTGTCAGCCGTTGGATGGCTTGCGGACCGATTAGAGACGGCGAGGACGACGCGGCTGCGTCTGGCAAAATTGCCGATGAGAGGAGGACATGGGGGAGATCCATCCAGCGGCCCAGAAATGAGCGAACCTGAGAGGTTGCGGTTGTTCGCTTCGCGCTAGCGGGACGAGACTGCGAAGAAGCCGGCTTGGCATCCTCAGCATGGCATTTACCCGGAGAGACGGGTTCCATCCATGCAAGGTTCCTCCAATCCGGTGGTTTGAACGAGCAAGCTTCGAGGCGCCGACCCGCGAGTGCCAAGGCCACACGCAGGCCGCTCCAGGCTTCGGTACCTGCCAGTGCCTGCCAACCTGCTGCCAACCACGCAGCGCTGGCCCGCCCATCCCCCCCCTGTCTGCAATCGATCAAGGCCGTCGCTCCGTGGTTGGCTGCCTTGGTCGCGGGGTCACACCCTCCCCTCGCTTGTTTTGTCTGCCAGTTGTGGTGAAGTTGTTTGCGCTCGCATCGATGGAGAGTGGATACTCGAGGTGGAACTTTCACCCCCGGAATCTGCTACCGCCCATCCTGCCGTGCTTGCCTGCCTTCGGAGTAACGACTGGAGTGGACTGCGGACATTTTCTGGTCGTTTTCTGGTGTCCTGTCACCCTGTCTTCCGATGCAGCAACTCCATACCGACATACGCCAGGGGTGGAGGAGTGTGGTATGGAACACCCTCAACAACATGGATACGGAGCACACAGACACGGGATCCCGCCCGTCCACCCTCCCCCCCCCCCCTTCCTCCCTCCCCCAGCTCCCCTTTCTCCGCGCGAGCCCACCGTCCGTACCCACCCACACAGGTTGGGGTATTGGGGAATCATGGGGTCAGTCCGACCTTCTCCACGGGGTTGAATCCTCACGATCCTTGCAGGCCCGCCGGACCAGCCGCGTTGAGCCAACCGCGGTCCGACTGTCAAGCGGGACCTAACGGCAAACCGTCCTTGTTGGGATGATGGAAGAAAGGCGGTTCTTTTCTTGGAATGGGGGAATTGGGGAAAGTGCCAGATGCCTTCCCGGGGTCGTGGATCGCCTCTGCAGCGTCGTATATTGGACCCATGAGCGCGGTTGGAATAAAGGAGGGCCTCTCCTGCGACTCTGAAGAGACGCGTTCTCTTCGTTCTCATCCCCTTCCTCCTCCAACCTTTCCACGAGTCTCGCACTGATACCGGGAGAGCCTCTGGACCAGCGACAATGGCGATCGCAGCCGCCAACAATGCCGAAGTCGGCAAGTCCGACCCCATCATCACTCGGCTTGCCAACGAGGACAAGAAGCCCTTCTACAAGAAGCCGAACCTGTTCTTCCTGTACCTCATGCTCTTTCCGACATGCATGGGTATCGAGCTCACCTCCGGGTTCGACTCCCAGATGATCAATGCGCTTCAGATTGTCGACTACTGGATCTCGTGTAAGTAGTTTCACCAGCAGCGCGCGCCGCCGTGACCCCTTGTTCCTCCGGCCAAAGCTGACTCGGTCGCGTCCAGACTTCAACAACCCGCAGGGTTCCCTCAAGGGCATCATCGCGGCCTCTTACTCGCTCGGTGCCATCCTGTCGCTTCCCTTGATCCCCATGGTCAATGACCGCTTCGGTCGCCGCTGGTCCATCTTCGGGGGCAGCTGTATCATGGTGATTGGAGCATTAATTCAGGGTTTCTCGGTCCATGGTGAGTGCATCTGGTGTGTTGTGGGTTGTTTTGGTTTAAGCTGACCTCGCTGGTGATAGTCGGCATGTACATTATCGCCCGTATGATTCTCGGCTTCGGAATCCCGACTTGCATCGTTTCTGGTTCTTCGCTCATCGGCGAGCTTGCCTACCCCAAGGAGCGCCCGGTCCTGACCTCGCTCTTCAACGTCTCGTACTTCGTTGGCCAGATCGTTGCGGCCGCCATCTGCTTCGGCACCAACAGCATTCAGAGCGACTGGGCCTGGAGAATCCCCTCGCTCCTGCAGATTTGCCCCTCGTTGCTGCAGCTCACCTTCGTCTTGTGCGTCTGGCCCCTGTCCCCCACCGTACGCCGATGGCTTGATCAAATGCTGACCGTTGGGCCTGCCGAACAGCTTCTTGCCCGAGAGTCCCCGATGGCTCATCACGAAGGACCGTGCTGCCGAGGCGCAGGCCATTCTCGCCAAGTACCACGGTGAAACCGACCGCGGGGCCGAGTTCGTTGCCGCCGAGTTTGCCCAGATGCAAACCACGATCCAGCTGGAGGTCGAGGCGTCTAAGAAGTCTTGGCTTGATCTTTTCAAGACCGCCGGCATGCGGCGCCGTCTCCTCATCACCACCATGCTTGGTCTCTTCACCCAGTGGTCTGGCAACACCCTGATCTCGTAAGTGGTTGCTAACTGCCTTCCTCTGCGATTGCCTCTGCAATGGACTCGCGACCGCGAAGAAATGGAATGACTAACACGAGACTCCCTCGCTTAGGTACTATCTCGGAGATCTCCTCAGGCTCATCGGGTTCGAGGACTCGCAGTACATCCAAAGGATCAACGTCTCCATTGCGTGCTGGAGTTTGTTCTGCGGCGTTGTCGTCTCGCTCCTCGTCGTCAAGATTCGCCGCCGTGTCATGTACCTGATTTGCACCTGCAGTCTGTTGCTGTGCTACATCGCCTGGACGGTTGCCATGGAGCGCGCCCAGACCGCCGAACAGTCGGGCCACCCGAACCAAGCGGCCAACGTCGCTGTGCTGTTCTTCATCTACGCCTACTCGCCGTGCTACAACATGGGCTACAACGCTCTGACCTACAGTAAATCACATTCTGCTTCCCTGGACACCCGAGACTAAAACGCTAACCCTACTCTAGCTTACATGGTCGAAGTTTGGCCCTACGCTGAACGCTCGAGCGGTATCGCAGTCTTCCAGCTTTTCGGCCGTTTGGCCGGCTTCTTCACCACGTTCGTCAACCCCATCGGTCTCGACAACGTCGGCTGGAGGTACCTCATCTCGTACTGCTGCTGGCTCGCTTACGAAGTTGTCTTCGTCTACTTCTTCTTCCCCGAGACCCACGGTCGCACCCTGGAAGAACTGGCCTTCAGTATGCCCCCCCTCTTCACCCGCCCCGTCTATAAACCACTTTGCAGATCTAACACATGGCAGTTTTCGAGGACAAGCGTCTGGCGGACGAGGCCGTTGCTGCGGTCGAGAAGGTTATTGGCCACGACAACGATGATGTCGCTGTCGACGAGAAGCGCGCCACGGCCGAGACCAAGGAGAACGTGGTGTAAGCTGCCTCTGCTCTTGTGTAACGTAGCAAGGACGAGAGACTGTGAGCGGTTTGGGAATACCCTGTCATTACTTAATAAGAGTGATGACTTGCTTTGGAGAAGATGCTTTGATTACCTTGGGTTGTTGTCGTTCATCCGGGCCATACCATTTTGTGGACAAACCATTAGCAAACAATGGCTGGTCTCGCGTTTATATTCTTTGCCGTTGCGCATAATTCACGAAGCATCTTGCTCCCCCTTGCGAGTCACCGATCCCGGTCGCTCTTTTCCCGTGCGCCTCACCCATGTCTCCTCGTGCTCTGCACGTGGGACCCCTTCGTCCAAAGGAAACCATTCACTCAAAAGGATCATCCGAAGTCTGGAGCTGCTGCGTGCCGAACCCAAATCTGTGGGTCTTCATTCGTTGAGTTGCATGAGACCAACGTTGATCATACACTCTTTTCCGGACTAATCCGTTTATTGCCAAGGATCAGAGCTATCAACGATCGAGACAACTCACTGTTACTTGACCTTGGTATGGGAGAATGCTACGGGATAATACCTCTCCAAATTGGCCAAGCCCACGCATAGACATCCCCGCTCGTCCTGCTGAGGATATAACCGCAGCCCCTTTCAAGTGAGACTAGGGCAGCGCCTCGCCCATCGAAGCCTCTGATTCTTCTCCCCCTTCCGGCTCGCCGTGGGTCCTTCATCTCGCAACATGCATCTCCCGACTTGCCTCGCTACCCTGATCGCCGCCCCGCTTTTAGCGGTCGCGATCCCGACCAGCAACCTGGCTCCCGGGGAGCAAACCGGCCTTCTTCTTGCAAGACAGCGGCAACCAGCCCCTCCTCCTTGTGTCCGAATGGACCCGCCTCCCACCCAGGAGGAAACGGAGGCCCGGTTCAACGCTTTCGTGGAGGCTTTTGTTGGCGAATCCAAGAGCTTAGCAAAGGCATTCGAATACATTGCCGCCGATTACATCGTACGCCTACCCTTCCCAGTCCTCTTGTGTTAAATCAACTCTGACTCGTAGGCCACAGAATCACAACCCTGCGGCACAGAATGGGTCACAATCGGCCTGGGATATCCTAAGCCCATTCTGGGATCAGTCGTCACATACATATCTCCGTTCTACCATCGAAGAGAATATGTCCTGGGTCAATTATAGATCTGGCGGTTTCGGAGAGGTTGTCGACCGGTTCCGGTGGGAGGCAGGCTGCATCGCCGAACATGTTCGTTACCCCTTGGCCCTCCCCAACACGTTATAAATACAATGGCTGGAACGTGGAAGGAAGCTAATATATAGAACAGTGGGATCAAGGGGAGGTGTACCCGACTTCCTGAGTACGACCTACTTCCAGGGCTATTCCTGACATCCAGGCTCTCGGCGAGCTTGGAGCCATATCCTTCAAGCCAGCGACTATCATTGTTCTTCGCCCTATTTTGTTTGTTGTCGGAACTTCGTGGAGCAACAACAGCCCTAAGGTTGTTGGCAGTCATTATTATTGACGCCGCCGCAGCTTGAGGGGTTTCTTATGCAGGATAAAAATAACGGCAACAGCGCAGCTGTTGCTCCATTTGTATATTTCAAATAGCGCGTATACAGACTTCCTGAGCCCACGCCGTCCCGCTCCTCGTTCATTTGTACACCTCCCTAGATTGGACATCTCGTGCTTCACCATAGATCTGGGTCCGCCTCCTCTTTGGTCGTCGCGATGGCAACCTTATCGTAGAACACCTGCCGGAACCCCTGAGTCCCCTTCATACCCTTGTCATCGTGCCATCCATTTGCGTACAGACCAACACGGAACTGGAACGGAACGTCTTCAGATACGGTCGTGGCAACGTTTTGCTCTTCCAGAACCTGCTTGTCGTCAAACCACAAACGCAGGAACCCCGTAGCTTCGCTCTCCCAACGGGCCTCAATCATCACCTTGTGCCATTCGCCGGCAGTGAGGGTCACATCGAGGGGGAGTTCCTTGGTCTTTTGGTCGCAGACACTCCCTGACTTCAGGCGGGTGAACAATTTCGTTCCCTCGGCCCAAAACATCGTGGTAGGCATGAACGAATCACATTCGTCAAAAGGCGCGATGAACTGTGCCAGGTCGTAGCTCTGCGCGGGATCAAACTGCCAATCGGGGGGGAGCCGGAAGGCAAAGCCGTAAAACCGTGTGTCGCCGTGTTTGTAGGCGTTCAAAACGCGGACCTCGGAGTGGTAACGGCCCGTGTAAGATTCGTCAAAGGTCTGCGTCATGACGAGTGCTGGCGGCTCGTCGAAGAAGACATCGGTGACTTCTTTAATTTCGCCCTTGTGCTCGGTTTGGGTGCCACCCCAGCCAGTTAACGTCCCTCGATTGTTGAATATTTGCTCCGCCCGCACTGCGGGCCACACCGTGAGGAGAACCGGGAGAATAATGCGGAGAAACATGATTAGAGCTTCTTGGATTTGGAGGGGAGGGTGAGCTTTTTTGGTTGCTGTTATTTGTTGAAGGAAAATGGGGCCGATGGAGATCTGAATGACGGGGTTGAGGCGGAGTTGTGCAGCCCCCAATACAAGGTGGGCGACTCGTGCCCTTTATATGCATCTTGTGAGTGGGACATTCCGTCGTTTGTTTCTCATGATCGTATCTTTGGCAGTTGAAGAACAGCAACCCCCCACAGAGCGAAGCAATAAAATCGCGAGGAATGTCTGGATACGAGAGGTGTTTTGTTCGAAACAGCCAAACGACAGCCAGGCCCGCCTTCTTGGTTGAGGCTGAGCAGTCCTACTGAGTGGAAAGCCATGACAGAGGCCAGGCCCCACCGACTTCGTGTTTCGAAAACCGGTATGACATGTGTGGCGGATGGGGGAAACATAGGTAATAATAGCCCATGTTCCTTGCAAGAAATTTCAGATACTATAGCCAGTCAAAGAACCCTCGAGAAAGAGTCCTATTATCCGCAATTGTGATACATGAGTATCTCTGTAGAAGCCGACCGCACGCATTGAACACTGGCTGTCAACGAGCGGCGGAGGTGTCAGCCGTTTCGGGTTTGCTGACATGGCCAGCGCCCTCCGTCTTCTTCCTTTCCATATTAACAAGGGCCGGGGCCACAGACCTCGGGCCAGAAACATCGACCCCGCAACGGCCCAAGACGCGTGAAGAAGCAAGCATGTTTTGCGCGTTTCATTTGTAACCCACATCACGACTTGTTAGTTTAGATTATGTGCAGCTCGCAAGGCGATAATCGCGTCCTGGTCGTACTCGTGCTTCCGCTTCATAGAGTTGATGTACATGAAAGTGTGCGGGCACCCCAAGTATCGCTTGATAATGGCCTTATTCCCACCAGCGACGAGCTTCATGGCATATGCCTCCCCTTCATCCCGGAGTGGGTCAACTTCGGCTGTCCGGATGAACGTATCGCAGAGGTTGTTCCAGTCTGGTGCCTCGAGGGGCTCAAGCCACCAGCTGGGCCACAGACTTCGCAATTCGGGGAGCTTCTCTGGCGGCATACACAAGCGGCCAAAGTACTTGATGCGTGCCCAAGGGAGCACTGGTCCTCGGTAAAACTCGTGAAAAGACGGGAAGGGTGAGTCGGTATAGTACGTGTAGGTCAGCCCCTTCGTTGCCGGCGTTACGGACGCCATGCAAAGTTTCAAGGGCATGCCGGCATCGCGGGCCATGTGCTGCAGTATCAGGCAAATATGCGCTCCAGCTGAGATTCCGCCGATCGAGATGGAATCAGGGTTGATGTTGAGTGTGGTGGCCGACTCTCGAACCTACCGCTACAGGTGAGACAACGTCAGACTAGTTCGCGGGGCACGCATCTCACCCATTTTAAGGCACTCCAAGCGTCAAGAATGCATTTGCCCCACGTGTTTTCTTCCATGCATGCCACGTCAGTGGATACCTCCATGTGCGTTCAAGCTGAGGGATCATTTACTGACCTGGACAGAGCCGATAATCGACATCGACCACCGAGACTCCCGCCTCCCGCATACTGAGACAAAGCGAAGCCTCCGTGCTTAAGTTGCCGAGAACGAAGCCGCCCCCTACTCGGCCGAGTCAGCGAGAGCCCCTTGACTTTAGGGGGTTTTGGGGGTTTGATAGGGGGGGTGGCTCGCCATGGAAGTTTAAATGCACAGGGTACGGGCCGGAGCCATGTTTGGCCTCATCTGGACTGTACACCCGTACGGGGATGCTGATATCGTCCTGTGATGGATACTTGGCGTCGGTAACCCTTGGGTATCCCGATGTGTCAAGAGCGCACGGTGATTGATACGCCTCTGGATGTGCGCGCACATGCTCGATGGGGGGGAAGACGGGAGTAGCCTTTCGGGGTTGGCTCGCCGCCTGGGGCTGGCTGTCGGTAAAATAAGCGAGGAAATCGGAATCCAGTTTAGCAAGAATGTGCTCCTCGATGAGCCCGTCAATGCCTCCCGAGTTTAGTGTTGAATCAGGTTCCGTGGCCCCGGCCCCAGCGCTGCGTTGGGCGTTCATCCTTCCGTTAGATACCGTAACGTTAATGTCGGAAGGGTGGCGTTGGCAGTTGGTTCACGTTTTAGACCTGGGGCACTTTTGGGTGTGGAGTTGGGTCCAGCGGGTTGACACAGAGTGATTGGTGTTGGTTACCTGAGGAATGGGTTCGCTCGAGGTTCGGTAGGGGCGGTCAAACTTTCCGGTGGGGTGAACATCCCAACTCCACAACGGTTTCCGTCAATTCCCGGGGGCTACTCGGTTCCTTCCGTCCGAGGGTTGCAGGGTTACGTGAGAAGTACTTGGTACACCCGAAAGACCAGCTTTCCGCGCGGTTAACGGCGGACAGCCGACAAGCGGGGTTCAAGTTTCGTTTGTCCAGACCGCAAGGACCAAGATACGAGTATATCATATCTCTCCATATAATAAAGACATAAACCAACCTTCTCACTAACCACCAACTTCATCGTTGAGTAGCGGACAAGGCCCAGCGTGCTCGGGCGCCTCCCCATGGGCATGTGAACCCGACACGGTTACGGGCGTGGGGCTATGGCAGAGGATGCCAGGGACGGAGCGTGGGAGCCGACTAAAATGGAGTCAACATCAAGGGATGCATGTCCCGATTATGTGCACAAGTGCGGGGTTTGCTGATCGTGGTCTAAAGAGATGGAGCCCGAGCCGGGCAATAAGGGGTCGACCACACGGACCTACTTAGCCGCTTGTTACAACAATTATGACGCTGCCGCTAAACCATCCCTTAACTCATCAAGCTGAGATATTAGACGCTGACGAGCCCTCGGGTACATTCGAGATGTCGAACCGCGATCTCAGTGCCGCTGGCCGTCTTCGGGACCGACAACCGATTCCGACGCCCGTCCCCGCCTATCTTCCCACTGCGGGATCGCCTCTCACAGTCGACAGGACTCTCTACTCTTCGGCCCAACAAGCCCCGCGAATATTGGTCAAGGAATTCACCCTCCCGATCCGCTCCGGCCGTGCTTGGAAAGCCCCCGCCGGAAGCATCGTCCGGATCAGCACCCCCGAGGGTCCTCAGGTGGGCGACCTCAATATTTGGAACGCCCATAACCCCCGCGAACGCTTTTGGGCTTCGCGAACAAGGCAGCTGCATGCGACGCATGTGTCGACCTACGACAGGTTATGGTCGTGTTTGCCATACATGCGACCCTTGGTGACCATCATCTCAGACACCTTGGCGTGGTACGGGGAGGATGAGCACGGTGGGCGCGTCCACGATCTTCTCGGCACCCGCTGCGATCCGTACATCAACACGGTCTTGAGTGGCGGAGAGTATAACTTTCATTGTCACTCCAACCTGACCCGCGCGGTACTGCCGTTTGGGCTAGCTGAATCGGATGTCCACGATGTCATCAACATTTTCCAGGTGACAGGGCTGGACGCGAAGGGACGGTACTTTATGAATCCATGCCCAGCGACGAGCGGGGATCACCTAGAGTTTCTAGCAGAGCAAGATGTCTTGATGGCCCTGAGTTCGTCTCTCCAACCGTCCCTGTGAATTAGCATGGAACATGACGTTTAACAAGCATCATAGGTACTTGCCCCGGAGGGGATCTGTCGCTGTGGGGATTTGGTGCCGATAGCGAGAAAGAGATGATCAAATGCTGCCGCCCCCTCAAGGTCGAGGTATTCCGTCTCGCTGATTCGGACTTTCTGCGCAAGGGCGGTTGGCAGCCGGCCGAGCCTTCCGAGTACCAGGGACAACACGGAATGACTGTTATCCAAAGAGAACCACGTGCGGGACACGAGGTTGAGCACAAAACAAGACAGTAATAGAATAGGTACATGTTTAGGCAACTACATAAGTTTGATAGGTCCTCATTTCATTCGGGATGTGCTGCTTCATTTGAGACCTTTCTTTGACAAGTCTGTCTGTCTTTTCCCTTCAACCGCTGCCGCTGCCGGGTGGTATGAAGCTGCGTATGGCGGCGGACCTGACCAGACGATCGCCTCCGACAGTACTACCCATAGCGAAGTACCTTCCTCTCAGTCCCGCGCAGAACGCTTCACAACAAATGCACCTCGATCCATCGTGTTGATGACAATGAACCCACTGGGGAAGAAGGGATAATGGCTCCATGACCCAGTAAAGGTCACATTTCCACCACCAGGGAGATGGTCATCCTCGGGGTGGGTATCAAAGAAAGCGACTTCTTTGATGCCTTTCCCCGTCGGGTCCGAAGACACGGAGTGCAAGTCCAGAACACTCAGCCCCAACCCATAATTGCTCTGGTAAGCAAACCCATCCTTCACATATTGGTTGTGGTCGATGCCCTTCCGCAGGCCTTTGTAATGCCCGGTTTGTTTAGGCGACTCAAGAGAAGAGATATCCCAGATGTATGAGACAGGATAGCCATCGGCGGCGAGGCCTGACTTGTCGAACTCGTCATACTCGTCATCAGTGATCAAGTACTGTTGCCATTCGGGGTCGAGCACCCAGCCCTGATGGGTGTAGACAAATCCTTCGTATGACGTGTTGGAGATGACTTTGATGTTCTCCTTGTCGCTGACATCGAAGCTGAGATGTGATGTTAGCCGGTCATCCACATGCACCGAGTTTCAACGTCGTGGCCCTACATTGTCAACGAGTCTTCATCGTACCCATAGCAAATATCCCTCCCGTCGTACTTTTCGTCAGGGCCCCTGTATACAATACACTGGGCATCGTGGACATAGCCATCGACGCCGGTGCCACCCAAGGTCTGGGGATTCGATGGGTCGGTCAAATCGAAGAACACGAGACCCGCGCCGAGGGGTCCGTCTCTGGGTTGAAAGCCTGTGGCCACTCCGTAATTCATCTCTTCGTTGGTGACAACGTTGTGAGAGCGGCCGAGGGGGAGACCTTCGATCCAGAATCCCGTGAGATCTTGGTCATTGCTGAAAACGACGGGGCTCGAGGGGTTGACGTCAACAAGTTTGCCTAGGTCGAAGATCTGGATACCATGGCGCTCAGCCTCGCTTCCAATGAGGATGTAGCTTTTATAGCCCTTGATTTCGCGCCACATGGATATCGGGGCTCTGTCGTACTGAGGCAAACGGCCAAGGTACACCAGCTTTCCCTTGGTGCTGACCTCGGCAAACGCGGTGCCATCTTCCTGAGCGATGGCAACGAACTCGCGGCCTTCGGGGCTTGTCCACCCCCAAGAGCCTGCTCCCCTACCAGACAAGCTACCTAGTTCGGCATGTGGTTTGAAGTCGAAGAGGTCGAGATCCTGGCATCGGAAGGTGTTGCCGGGGTCGTCAGGTATCAGCGCCACCGTGCCATTCACACAAGGGATATAGTCCGTTTCGTCGCCAAATGTTTTGTACTGTGCCGAATCGAACAGACCTTGCTCTGCCATCTCCTCCCACACTTGCTATGCCTTGGTTAGACACGGTCCCCTTCCTTCTCTCCCCGGTCACTCACATGTTTTGTTGCCATGATTCGTCCATGGACGAAACCAGGGTCATACAGGTCCGCTTTGAGCTTCATGTCGACAACGAGCTCTTTGGCGGACGACAGAACCGCTAGTCCCGCCACGAGGGTGGCAATGTTCAAAAGTGCCATTGTGACTGGAAGGGGCTTATGGAAGCAGATTCGTGGTCGGTTCGCACGTTGCCGACAACTTTTGGGGTTCTGTCGGACTGGGTTATGTCTCGAGAACCCTGAGCAATGGCGATCGTTGCAAAAACAGGAGCGGTTGGATCAGAGGGCTATTCGACCTTTTTAAGAAGAATATGGCGGCGACCATGGGATGAACCGGGGTCCTGGATGATATCGGCATTTGAGATTAAGCGCCCAAAGCGGCAGGTATAAACCAACCTAAGTTCGAAATGCCGTGGCCCGCCCTGGCCAAGCATGAGGCTCCTCGGGTGGGGGCAACCATGTTTCAATATCTACTGTTTAGGCTTGTGTGACCGCTTGCCCCGATTAACCACTCTGCTGTGCACAGGGCATTAACTGGGCGGTGGTGCTTGCGGATCGCCAAAGGTCATTTACGACATCACGGGGCCGCCTGACGTGACGGACTGAAGTGGAAGGTAATCTAACCAGGCCATCATAACTGGCAGTTAGTGAAACAAAAAGGGGGGCTAGTACCAGCCTGCCCCGACGAGTGATGATAATCTTTGGGTGCCCGATAAGACAAGTTACCTCCCTATCATCGGTGGCGGGCCGAGATTATACGTACAACAACAACGGAAGTTACACAGACGGAGAGGCAGGGTGGTACCGATACAACAAACAACTAGTGCGTTTGCATTTTCATCTTGGTTGGACTCAGAGCACCGCAAGCAAAGTGTGCTCCAGGAATCAGAAGGGATTAATCGGTAATACGAAGCAGTCTATCCTTCTATGAACCGGCAACTGTTAGTCTGCCGCGTCAAGGGACAGGCCGAGGACAACTCCAGCCCGAGTTCTGGTCCCCGAGTTAGGGGGTCTCATAGGTGGCGAGCCATTTGAAGTTTGTCGAGCATTGGTCGGACGCCTTGACGGGTACACGGGGTAGATGGTGAGCGACTTAACCCCACTCGCTCAGCGGGAGAGCGGGGAGCTGCGAGAGCGGTTAGGTTCCGAGCTCCTCACCTCCCGCAAGAAGCCGGCAAGTCGCCGCGAGGGAGAGCTCAAAATACCACCTGCCACCCTTGGCAGACGAACCTTCCGTGGGTGGATGTGGAACAACAGGCAGTGACCAATAGAAGCACTTGTCACCCCACGATGACGACAATGCTTTCCGTGTGTTCATTGCAGGGTGGGATGCATGGCACTGGCCAGTCAAAAGCATTGTAATTACCTTTCTCCCTCGCGCTTTCGCGGTCTGGATCCTCCTACAGTTCCCTTGCATGAACTGAGCGGCGGCTTTTCGTCCTTGCAGAACACCACACTAACGAGTGTACTGCACGGTACAACGATATCCCCTCATCCGGTGCCAGCCGCGCCCGACTGCCCCGCGCTGACCTCGAACTCCCCTCATCTACTTGCATTCATGACATTCGTCCTCTCCGCTGCTCGGAATACCTGCGCACTTATTCTCCCGGTTCGAGGGCTCGTATCGACTTTTAGAATAGAGACCCGACATCTCGTTACGGCGTCACCACGAATAATGTCACAGGAATACAAACTCAAGGGGGTTGGCTCGCTCGCGCTGAAGCCCGGCGAGAAGCAGGAGGTGGAAGTCGAAGGGCTTGAGGCCAAGGTGCTGCTCCTTAACGCCGGCGGAACGGTGCAGGCGGTCGGGCCCAAGTGTACCCACTACGGAGCACCCCTGGTCAAGGGCGTCCTCGGGACAAACGGGAAGCTCACTTGCCCGTGGCATGGAGGTAATTGATGGTTGCCGCCTTGTTTCGTTGTCGGTTTCTACTTGCTGACCGGGGGGTTCTCACTACAGCTTGCTTCAATGCTAAGACCGGCGATGTCGAAGATGCTCCTGCTCTGAACGCTCTGCCTGTCTTCAAAGCGATCGAGCGGGATGGCGCCGTTTACATCACTGGAGACGCCGAGACCATCAAGCGAGGACATCGCGCGCCCGAGTTCAAGGGAAGTGCCACTGGTGGCGACAAAACCCTGGTCGTGGGGGGCGGATCTGGGGCACTGGGCACCATTGAGGGATTGCGTGGGGGTGGCTACCAAGGAAGTATCACGCTCATCTCCAACGAGGGCTATCTACCCATCGACAGACCGAAGCTCAGCAAGGCCCTCATGACGGATCTCGGAAAGTTACAGTGGAGGGACGAGGGTTGGTACAAGAGCCGTAGCGTGGACATTGTCGACGATGAAGTCAACGGGATCGACTTCGCGGCCAAGACGGTTGCGACCAAGTCTGGAGCCAAGTTTGCTTATAATAAACTTGTGCTTTCAACGGGTGGGACGCCCAGGCAGCTGCCGCTGCCGGGGTTCAAGGACCTGGGCAACATCTTCACGCTACGTAACGTCCACGACACGAAACGGATTGTCGGCGCCATCGGGGACAAAGGCAAGAAGATTGTCGTTATTGGGTCGTCCTTCATTGGCATGGAGATCGCCGTGGCCACGTCTAATGGCAATGACGTGACGGTTGTGGGCATGGAGAAGGCGCCGCTCGAACGGGTCCTCGGTGAGAGGGTAGGCAATTTTATCCGGAAAGGCGTCGAAGGGAAAGGCGTCAAGTTTTACATGTCGGCGGGTGTCGAAAAGGCCGAACCATCGGCGTCCGACCCTTCCAACGTCGGTTCGGTTCACCTAAAAGATGGGACGACGCTCGAGGCCGACCTTGTGATCTTGGGCGTTGGTGTCGCCCCCGCGACCGGATATCTCAAGGGCAACGACGCGGTCCAGCTTGAGCAAGACGGGAGCTTGAAGGTGAACGAGTCCTTCTCGGTGGTTGGGCTCGAGGACGTGTATGCGATTGGTGATATCGCGACACACCCTTACCGTGGCCCGGGAGGGGAGGGCAAGCCTGTGCGCATCGAGCATTGGAACGTTGCTCAGAACTCAGGCCGGGCTGCTGCGAGCCACATCCTCCAACCAAACCACACGCCCGAGTTCTATACGCCGGTGTTTTGGAGTGCCCTTGGAGCCCAGATGCGGTACTGCGGCAACACCATGGCCAGTGGCTGGGACGATGTGGTGATCCAGGGAGATCCGGAGCAGGGGAAGTGGGTGGCGTACTACGCGAAGGGAGAGACTGTGGTGGCAATGGCAAGCATGGGCATGGACCCAGCGATGGCCCAGTGCGCGCAGCTCATGTCACTCCACAGAATGCCTACCAAGGCCCAGCTCCAGGGAGGCTTGGACATCTTGAGTGTTGGGCCGCCGCAGTAAGCTTGTTGTAGAGTTGGTTGTGGTAGGAAAGAAGTTTCATGGCTTTGGCTTGCTAAGCGAGATGAACACGCTGCATTTGCACAACCACGTGGCATTGGAAGCCTCTGTCGACTAAGCCCTAACCCTTAGCTTTGTAAATCTTCGCCTGTACAGATTATTCGTTGGCTGATGTGGGATTCGATCGAAATTATCCACGTGTGGATGTTGGACCAACCTGGAGTCTCCGAGTCTCCGAGTCTCCAAATTTGCTCTAGCGATCTTACACATACACGGTCTAAATAATTTATATTCCCTCTGGCCGTGGACGAATCTTTCAACTGCCGAACGACTACCCACGCATTTTCCGCCATGGACCTTGTGGTCCTGCTGAGGTCGGCAGTTACGGTGGTGGCCCTGTTCATTCCGCTTGGGCTCCTATCTATGTTGGTCATCGCCATTTATCGTCTTACCTTTCATCCGCTGGCTCAAGTGCCTGGGCCAAGAGCCGCCGCCGTCTCCAACATCTGGCAGGCCCGCCATGTGCGGGATGGACGGGCTCGGGAGTTGGGAAAAACACTGCATAAGAAATACGGACCTGTGGTTCGCGTCGGCCCCAACGAGGTGTGGTTGAACTCCGGAGACGCGTTTAAGAATATCTATAGTATGGAACTTTCCTACCATGGTTCCTTGTCGTTTGGCATATCCGCCGGCTAACATTACCGAGGTGCTGGGAGCGGCTACGATAAATCCGACTTCTACCGTAAGTGGCGATGAACTTCCCCTAAGGCCGTCTCTAAAATTTGGACAGTGGCCACGGCCCTAAACAAACCCAGATTCGACTGGAGGCTCAACGCGCACTTCCCCGACACACTTGACTTCCTTTCCGAGTTTGATGTCAATCGGTACAGGTTGCAGAGGCGGCTCAGCGGGCCTTTATACTTGGCATCGAACATGAGGAGATTTGATTCGGCCGTCGAGAACGTTACCAAAGCTGCGGTTGCCGAGTTGAAAGCCCTCAAGGGCGCCGAGGTCGACCTGAAAGAGTGGATGCACATCATCGCCGTTGAGTGTCTCGGAGCCGTCGTGCTCTCATGGTCACCCAAGTATCTGCAAAACCGTTCGGACGGTGGCACCAGTACCCAGAGCTATCTCGGTTGGAAACGAAAGAGCGTGTTCGGGTTGTTTCCAACTGTCACCAAGATCTCTTTCATTTCCAAAACCTTAAGCCGGGTCTTCTCTAACATCTGGGGAGTGACATTCAAGACACCGAAAAACTTTAGGCCTTTTTTCATAGTGAGTGAGGCCGCTTTACATATTCGTGTGCTACAAAGCCCTAACCTCAACATTAGCCGGTGTACCGGAAAGCGTCGAAGAGAATAGCAAATGCACTTCGAAACGCCCCTCAGCGAGGCGCTGAAAAGGCATCAGGCGATGATTTGCTTGAGGATCTAATCAACCTCCACAAGGAACGTCCCGCTTTCAAAGAAGCCTACTTGCGCCGCCTTGCCGTTACTAATTTTGGTGCTGGCCATGAAACAATGTGCTCGGCACTTACCGCGGCCATGGCCATGATTGGAACTCACCCCGAAGTTCTACGCAGAGTAGTTGAGGAAGTCCGCGACACAGCCAGCTCACCAGCTTACGACAATACTAGTGCTCATCTCCCATACACACAGGCAAGTATCAAGGAAGCCCAGCGCCTATATCCAGTCATTGGAATGTCACTTTCACGCAGGGTTCCACGAACCGGTTTGGTTCTTCATGGCCACTTCTTCCCGCCCGGCACTACTGTTGGATGCAACCCCGCCGCGTTGCATAGGAATACCGATTTGTTCGGTAATGACGCGGGCGAATACAGACCGAGCAGGTGGTTACAAGACGAAAACCCCGACACGGTCCGCGCGATGGAGAGGACAAATTTAACCTGGGGAGGCGGGATGCGGACCTGCCCCGGGAGGCATCTCGCGGAACTAGTCCTGCACAAAGTCGTCCCCGCGTTGATGAAGGAGTTCGACTTGGAGATTACGGCTTTGCCGGAGGAAGAAGAAATGCCGTGTTACTTTATGGCGATGATAACGGGGGTCAAGGCAAGGTTCGTAGCTGTAGAGTAAACATGAAAGTTATAGAAGCTACCTATCTAGCTCGGGGCTGACCCTGGCAACCTTCCCCGTAGTTAATATTCTACATAACCGTCACGTCTCCTCTCCGCTCTATTCGAGCGAGACCCCTTCCGGCCACCAGCCGCAGGTTTACAAGTATTCGTAAAATGATGGTGCTCGAACAAAGTTCTTTCTTACTTTATGAGGATGACGACAGTATGGGATTGCAACAGATGAACCGGCCGCTCGTGATAAACCCTATAGCTAAACCTAGCTCCCTAGGTACTCTTGGAAACTCCGTGTCTTGTGCTCCTCATTTGGCGATACATCGTGGGATTCATACCCTATTGTGGATGGGTCGCCTCAATCGCTAATAACCGGACTCGGCCCATATTTCGACGGATCGAGATGGGTCTCGCGACGCTTTTCCGGCCAACGTTCCGTCTCCCCGCTTCCCAAGGCGTCTTGACGTAATCACTTGCGCTGGGCTGAAGTCATCCGTTATCTAAGCGGGAGGGAGTATAAAGAACACCTGGCGCTCGTTGCGGTCGGGCTTTCTTCCTGTTTTACTTATTTACGTTCCGTCATATCCTCGCACCACCGGAGACTTTCACTACAAGGTCCAATCACAGGTTTGGACACCCACATAACCCGACAATGTTCATTACTCGACAGCGTCACGCGTTGCTTCTCCACGTCAGCAGGACAGCCACAACGAGCATCGCCTCCCCAAAGACCCTTCCATTCTATCGCCGTACTTCCCCTCAAGTACAAAATGTCTCCTCCGTTCCTGGTAAGAGCCCGGACGACATGGGTGGACCTGGAGGCCAGGAACACTTCCCAGAGAGCAATGGGTTGCGAAGGTTGGACCCCCTCGTCCCGTTTTACGTTGGCTCGTTGTGCTCCCAGATGATTTATGACTACTAGGAGGTATACCATCACCACCATGTATGGGGTGCTCGCTGCATGTTTTGTCTTGGTAGCTGCGAGGGTCGCTAGGTTAAACTCGAAAACCGGCTATGTTTTAGTTCATGATTCATCAAAGGGGGAGCTTGATGATGTAAAGTACATAAAGGTGTCCGATTTGCCAAAGTCGTAAGGGAATAGACGTTTTGTGGACGCAAAAAGGCAAATGTTGTGACGGACATGAGCGTTGGGTCCCTGCCCGAGAACGGCGCTCGCCGTTTCTACCTCCGCCCCAACTCGGCGAGCTCGGACACGAAATCCGTCGCAATCTTACCCAGTCAGCTGACGTTTTCGTTCTGTTTGCCTTCACGACGGAAGAGAATTGGTCCACCGTCTGTCAGCACAAGAAGATCGGCACGTACTTTTGCTCGATTCATGGAGGTTTTCAGGCCTTCAGCCAATGCGTGGCACCTGCCAAGGACGAAGCCCTTTCGTCATCCGTCATGGAGTCTTTGACACGCCCGGTCTGACCACCATGCTCAGTTCTTGGTCGGGGAATACGAGGTGTTCTCGTGTTCGCTCTGGGGCTTGGAACAGGAGGATGATGCGACTGGTGATGGCTCAATCTGTATATAAGTATAACAGGAGGTCCCTGTTGTTCTCCCTCCCCCAAGTTAACATCATCCCCAACTTGTGACGGCGAAACACCGATACAGTCATATCTAATAACGTTGCATTCGCACACATCTTCAGAATGAAACTTTTCAGCCTTCTCATCCCTCTTGCAACGGCCTCGTTCGCCGCCGCAGCCCCCGCCGTCACCGCACGCCAGTTCCAGGTCGGTGACATCCTCTATCCATCCGGGACCTACCGCAACTGGGTCCAGACCGGCAACATCATACAGGACCCACAAGACCAGCTACTGGTCGTCAAGAACGGAATTCCTGTAGAGGAAACAACCGCAATTGTCACCTTCGACTTCCCGACAGACTCGCAGGGCAAGAAATGCGAGCTTATCTTTGAGTTGTGGGGGGACCGGGACCACTCCACGGGGTCCCAAACCCTTGACGTCTTTACCTACAGCGATCCCCCGAGGGTTCTGTCGGACTTCGCGGCTGAGCTCAAGGGCAGGGACGTCCATGTCGGCCGTATCGTGGCCCCGCTGCAGGACAATGCCACCTGGATCCAGTCTTACCACGGCTACCCGGTGATAGACTGCCCAGCGGGGCAGTATCTTGGCTTTCAGTATGTTGGTGTAGACGATGCGGTGGAGGTTCGATGGGATATTGGTGTGACCGGGCCAAGGTTCCGGATTCATTATGACTAGAGTGCGGCGGTGAGGTATTTTACTTTGTAAGGATCGCTGGAGGAGGCGAACGAGTGATAGGAAATCGCGAGCTTTTATTTTATTCGGAAACTTGAAGACTGGGCTTTGTGAATACCCGATAGTATCTTACAACTAGGTGCCTTGCCGAATTTCGAAAATCATTGCATCCATCAGAGGGCATAATGTATAAGAGGCTGGGCTTTAGGCATGGCCGTCCTTTAACCTGACTGCGTTAACGCGAGAGAACCTGAAATGAACGTCTTCTATGTTGGCTGCCAATTTGCCTCGGAGCAAGCTGAATATACGAGTTACGTGACATGCCGCGCGGCGTAGACCTAGAGTTTGGAAGGTTGTCGATAGTTGATGTAGGGCGGTCAAGCAACCAAACACAGAGAAAGGCCCGCCCCCTACCGAAAGGTAACCACCTTACCGAATGTATCCCCCATCCCCCAAATTCCTTGCCTTAAGCAGCTGAGCTGCACAATCTGTGAATGGTCCACGAATAAGTTCACATCCGCACCAAACTCCCGCACATACCAATTGAATACCTTGGGATCCGCCGCCTCGAACATGACCCTCTCCTTGGGCAAACCACCAAGAATGGCCTGAATCACGTCCGTCCTCCACCCCCTCACATTCTCCGTAATACCCTCGCTCTCAATCATAATTCTTTCGACCCCTGCCTCCTCAATAAACCGCCGTCCCAAGTTGATAATCTTGTTCGGGTCCGACGTCCCCCCTAAAGCTTCGAGTTCGGCGGCGTCCGTATCACCGCCGGCGCCGAATTGGATGCCTATCTCGGGTTTGGCGGTCAGCCCAGCGTCGTGGACAGAGTGAACCAAGCGGAGCCAGTCATCGGGTGGGAGGGAGAGGAATCCTGAGGATATTTCGATGACATCAAAGTTGAGGGCTTTGCACTTGGCGAGGTAACGCGGGATAGCCGTTGAAGGGTCGGATTGGAGAAGCACATGCTCGATCCAGCCGCCCTATTCGAATGTCAACGATGCTTTTACAGCCAAGTGGGAGTGTGTGGACGGACTGTAGAGACGTAGACACCATGCTCGTGTGCGAGATCAATGAGCTCGCGGAGCCTTTCCTCGGGGAACAAGGAGAAGGACCCGCCTGCGAATTTGAGGCCATCTATGTGATGGCCCATTCTAGGGCGTTGTTAGTGTTTGTGCTTAAGGGGTGGGACTGTAGACTCACGTCTCGAGGATGTCCTGGAGGTACCGCTTCCCCATAGTGGAGTAGTATGGGCCCCTGACCTCGGTGACTCCGACCTGCCGGGGCTTTGGCGGGCGAGTGTTGTGCCGGACGAAGCCGAAGGCGCCTTCGTCCTCAAGCATAATGTTCGGTTGCTGGCGGGGGGCATTATGTGAAGTTTCTTTTGTCACTAAATTTGCAGTGGTTGACAGAGATCGCAGGGAGGCGGGTTTGATAGGTATGTCGCCGAGGATTCTGCCTATGGCTGGTCGAAACAATGTAGAGAAATGCTGAGCACCCATTCCGACGTTTTAGAGCGGATTACGGAAAGATTGTTTACAGTCAAGTTGGCTACTTGACCTGAGTTCAGTACGCTTGCAAGGAGGATATCAAGTGGGAAAGAAGCTACAGATAGAGAGTGAACTCTAAGATCCTCGTTGTTTTAGCGGGTAAATGGTTAGGTATTGAGAGTAGTAGTCGAGTCTGGTTATTGTTAGGGGATGGTTGTGTATGGTGACGTCGGTGGAACTTGTTTTCTTCCGGATTGATGTCATTATTACGACAACCCCACACGCACGGTAACTATTCCCACCAAAATAACTGACTCTTGTATAGTTGGCTCCGGCCAAGCTCCGGCTGCTTTGGGTAGGCCGGGTGAGCTAGGGGTGAGCTAGGGGTGAGCCAAGGTGAGCTAAGGTGGCCCTGCTCTGTCGGTCGCGCGAGTCACCCCGGGGATCTACACGGCCTCTGGCTCGACGCCCCTCTGCTTGACCCGAATCAGCGCCCTCACCCGGAGTCGGCGTCGGTGGCATTACCGTGAACTTGAACCTTTTCCTACCGCCGTCGGCTCCGACCGTATAGGTAATGTATCCAACCCCAATGCGGCGGCCCAACCATAGCGCGGGCGCCTATCTTCCACCATGCTACGAACCTCCAAGTACTTGTCGTCACCACAATCCGCTCTTCGGGCATAAACCACTCATGTAGCATCTTCGGTGAAGGTGAAGTCTACCTATCGGCTTGATCTGTACCTGACGGAGGTGACCGGCAGGTACAATCTTACATTGACGCCTCCCATATACTGAACACCAATCCCGAACTATAAGAACAACCTGTTCCAGTCCGTATCCGACCACTAGTCTACTACGAGTCGATAGACCTTTCCACCAAACACAAATCAAAAGCCCCAACGGAACCAATTCCAACCCTCTTTCACCCCTGCTAATACACCATACCGAATTTCAACCCTTTGCCCGAGCAACCCAACCTAACCCACCCCAACTACATAACCCCTACCCCAGTCCCACCCCTCCTCTTCCCCCTTCCCACCTTTACGATATAATCTCCACCCAACCCGAAAGTCCCTAAACGGAACCTTAGCCGTCCCCCTCTCCACACATCATCCTGCCTAGGTGGTGGTGGGGAGAGTTATACAGTGGGTAGCAGGAAGGGGGGGGTTTCTAGGGAAGGGGGGGGATTAATTGCTCGGGCTAGCGCGCCGATTGGGAAGCGGATAAAGTGCTCGAGTTCGGGATCGTCCAGGTGTTAGATTGCGGGGTTGGGGAGGAAATGGTGTAGGCAAGGGCCAGGCCCGTGGTGGACGAGTTGGTGAACATGGGTTGGGTGCCGTCACGTTGGTGCTCGCTAGCCGCGGGGCGACGGTGAACTAGAGGAGGAGTATGCCGAGGCGGGTTTCGGGGGATACGGCAGGGCTGAGGGTGAGTGCGTCGGTTGGATTCCGATAGTCAAGAAAACTGTTAGCCTTTTTCCTGTGCCGTATATCGACGTTCGTGCTCAAGGCCACCCCTCCCTCCGACTACCTAAGTTGAGGTCGCGACCGGCAATGCAGAAAGTCTGAAACTAGGCACTAATCACTACATGTCAACAACTCCCAATCAAGCTATCGGGGAAGATGATGCAGCACAGTAAGGTGAAGATTCATCGGCGAGCAATAATGTATTGGAGCTGCTGTCTCCTCAGAAACAAAGAAAGAACTACGGTAATCAATCCTTACAGATCTAAGTCCCACTACTACCTCCCAGCAGTGCCAATGCCATCAGAGCCACTGCTTGTTGCCGAGGTGGGAAAGGAAGTCACCGCCATTGCCCTTCTCAATACTGGCGTTTGCGATCACTGACTTCACGGCAATGGCAGACTGCTCTGGGGTAATAGGTCCCTTGAAGTGAGGTGCATAGTCGACGAACTTGGCCATCATGCCCCCCAATCCTTCCATTTGTTCTGCGGTCACTGTGGGAAGAGGAAGGGCCGTTAGCAAGGGTCGCCGAATGCTCCAAACAAAAGTACTGGAACCTTACGGTCGTCATAGCGGCCCGTGTCGACCACCCCTGGGGAAAGCGCCAGGAAGAGAACGCCATCCTTCTTGTACTGAGCGCTGTACTTGGCAACGACCATGTTCAGGGCCGCCTTGCTCGTCGAGTACAGCGAGCCGGTCGTCAGGTCGTAGTTGTTGGTGAATACCGTGTCGGCGAGGCCGGTGGAAATGGCGACGACTTTCTTCGCCTGGCCTTTGAGGATGAGAGGCATGAACAGCTTGAAGAGGTGGATGTTGCCAATAACGTTGACCTCGAACAGCTTTCTCAGGGTCTTCGTGACCATCTCGGGCTGGTCACTCCTATTTGTCGTGTCAGTTGCGAGCCCTTTTTCTCAGGTCGAGGAATCCTACAGGGTCCCGATGGGGTCAAAGGAATCAAAGAGAGGTACGAGAGCAGCGTTAGCGATGAGGTAGTCAAGACTCCCACCGGTGATCTTGGCCGTCTCGGCGGCTGCAGCCTGTCAAACTGCTTCAGCATCTAACCCCCACTCATAGGACTTGTCCCCTAGGTTGAGCTAGCTTCCTACCTGTAGAGCATTGTAGTCGGTCACGTCGGCTTGCAAAATGTGGATGTTTCTGCGCTCCTTAAGGTCCGGGTGCTCTGACACTCGCTGCAAGGTCGCAGACTTATTACGGACGAGTCCGATGAGGGTGTCGTTCGGGTCGCTGGAATACTGGCGAATGAACTCGTACTGTTTGGATTGCGGTTATCAACACCGGCTCAGAGGTGCAGAGTGCCAAAGGTGAATGGCGAGGGTCGGAGTCGTCGAACGTACCCCGAGTCCCCTGGAAGCTCCGGTGATGACGTAGGAAGGCATATTGCGGCAGGGTGCTAGTAGGGACGTGGAAGGTTTTGCAATTGAAGACAGCGGAACAAGGACTAAATATATGAAAGCAATGGGCTTTGACGAGAGTGAGTGTTCTTGGTATGCCGACGGCTTGTAGTGTTATAATATATTTCCCGTTTTTCCGTTTGAATCTGCTAGGAGGGCTCATCTCGATTTTCAATCCCCGTTCTGCTTACACGATAGTTGCCCATTGTTGAATCCTATAGCTCATCTGCAGCCGACTGGCTTTTCCCTTTCTGTTCTTCCCGCCAGTCAGGTCTGCGTTCGTGAGCCAAGATTTGCAATTTCAAAGGGAGGCACGGAGGGTGGTTGAGAGGTCGGGGGTTCTGACTTTCGCGTATAAGGGGACCAATGGGAAGGACGAGGAAACTCTGCACGGGTCCTGCAGTGTAACCCGAGAATCGAAATCGAGGCAACTTACAAGGGAACTCCAGTTTTATTTGTCAGCATTGTGTTCCAGGCCTCCGTTCGCCTTCTTACCAACCACATAGGCCTCCGCCCAGCCGCCCGAACGGCGTTCAACAGAGCCAGCGACCAGCTCGTAACTATTTGCCCAGCTGCGACATCCATAACATTGGAATCCGCGGATATGCTTTGTAAGACACTAGGCGTCAGAGGCGACTCTCGCCCGGGAGTCGGGACTAGTCGAAGGCTAACAAAATCCATTGGCAGTGAAACATGGTTTTCTCGATACTATGCCTCCCGGTCCGGAAGTCGACCTCTGCCCACTGCTTCGGGAATCCCGGTCTCGGCAGGGTCCCGGTCTTCGACTCTCCTGGCCTCATGCAGGTGATCCCAGACGCGCTGTTGTGGGAAAGTCGCCGTTAGGCTCGGTACCCAAAGCGGCGAGCAGAAACCCGCATGCCGGCGACACGCGCATACAGATAGTTCAGGTATCGCAGCAGGATATGGAAATGCACTATTACCTCAGCCACCTGGAACCCAATGGTACGCTGGTAACGCCGCCCGAGACAATGTTTGGGCCCTTCCTAACGCCTTCTAGTGCGCGTTCCGCCAGCCTGGGACATCCGAGCGGCATGGAATCCGGCGGACATGCAGGCCGGTGACCAAGATCTGATCCAATACTGTGGGTTCATTTTACCGGAGTGGTCCACCTACCTAGGCAAACGCCGCTGACTGCGCTGGCTGACAAACTCAGTCCAACTGGTCGCTTCGAAATCCCTTGCTACCTTTGGGCGTGATCCTACTGAGCTGGGGAACGCCGTCATCCGCATCGCCTTGGCCAGCAACACGGCGTCGTCCATGGCCCTGTTCCGATCACTTCTCGCCCTGTCCTCGCTTCATCGTCATAATGACAACCCACAGGCGATCGACCTCAAGATCTCGGCCCTCGAAGCATTGACTGCCACATCGGGGAAATACATTAGCACCGCGGAAGCGATCCAGCATGTTGCGACAAATATGCTGCTGTGTTCTCTTGAGGTCGGTACTATCACCGGCCGCCGGCGTGCTGCCGTGCTGATCATTATATTATTAGATCCACCAAGTATCCTGCAGTTCGGGTGAGTGGAGCTGTTATCTTCGCAGCGCCAAGGACATGATACAGGCCGCTGGTCTCGAAGAGCTGCAGCACGATAGCGACTTGGCCGCTCTGTTGGACTGGGTCTACTACCATGATGTCCTCGCCCGTTTCAGCCTACAGCACTGGCACAGGGAACCCACGGGCAACCTGCCGCCTTCGCCAACCGGCGCGTCCAGCCGATTAGGCCTCTCGCCGACTATAGGGGGCTCCCGAGCCAAGGTATGGCCACTACGAAAGTCAGCGAGGTGACTGGGAAGCCTTTTCTAATGTGATTTGTTACATAGCCCTCAAAAACAGCATCGCCGCCGCTGGCTCTAATAGAGCTGCTGTCGGAAGTTTGCGACGCCGTCCCTAGCCATCCCCCATCTATGACGCCTGCCGAACAAGGTGAGTACAAGTCTTTTCTGAAGATCCTCGACTGGAGGCTCAGGAGCATGGAGCTGCCGGCGACAGCCGACGGCAGCGCAGATACGTCATTGGTGATGGAACTCTACCGACTAGCTATGCTCGTGTACCTCAGCCGGGCGTCCGATAGCCTGCGGGGCCAGTCGACCAGGGCACAGCAGCACATTGACAAGGGCTTCACCATACTTGCTCGGTTGGGCTCCTGCGACCGACAGTTCCCTGTCTTCATCCTGGGCTGCGAGGCTCGGAGCGATGATCAGCGGGCTGTGGTTCTCGACCTCATCTCCAGGACGGAAAATAGCAATTCTTCCCGTTCGTTCAACCTTGTGCGGGTGTTACTACAGGCCAGTTGGGCGCAGGATGAACTTGGCAAGGGGGGTCTGAACTACTGTGACGAAATGGGCTATATCATCAGCTGCTGCAGGATCTTGCCTACTTTTGTTTAGTTGGGGCACTGATAACATGCCCGAAGAGATTCATCAGGGCACTGTGTAGGTAGGGAGTGGATTGAACGGACTGCAAGATAGCCACCGGTCGGTATCAAGCCTGCCGTAAAATGGTCAACAAGTCATATGTTCTCAAGGGCGCCAGGACGGAGGCGCCTCGGGGAACTTGAGAAACCTTGTATCTAATTCGGGACCAACTTCATCTTTTCTTGTTCTGAACTAGCCTGACTACCTAGGTAGGTATCATGCGCAAATGCAACGCCGCGATGGGGCTCGGGCGGGAGGTCCCGAGTGGGTGAGCCAAAAGCGGCGAGCGCTCACCCCCGCCGTCACCCCAGCTCACCCAGCTCACCCAAGCAGCTCACCCGGATTGGCGGGCAGTGAGGCGCGCAAGAGCGCGATATTCCCGAGAAAAAGTATGTCCACTTGTGGATTGCAAAACATGCATGTCTTGGTGGGTTTTGTGACAAAATAATATGGTTTAGAAACTGAAAAAATAAGGTTGAAACGGGGAACACGAGTGAGATAATGAAATATAAGAAGCGCGCAGCAGCCAGTTCCAATGGTACCACGATTCAGATTGTTAGTGCGCTCTATCTATGAAATGCAATACCTTCCCACCAGTGCTACTCCTCTCAAACTCGGTCAAGTCCTTGACGAACTTGATTAGAAAGAGGTGGGTATTTTCTGGGAACACAACAAAATAATCCTCGATTGCCTTGACAAGCTCGGACTTGGCGGCAACGGCATCACCAACGTTAGAAGAGGGAACAAGAACCCGGACTTCAAGGGTCAACTCCGGTGACGATTCCGAACTGGCCAAGACAACCTGCCACTGCAAAATTCCGCGCTCCTCGGCCTGCATAAAGGCCGCCAGCTTGTCAAACTCGAAATACATCCCGTACCACTTGAAGCTAAAGCGGCCGTCGCGGCCGCGTAGGCGGAGGACCCGGAAGTGTTCGAGTTCACTCAGGGGTATCACGCCGGAGGTGGTAGCGAGCTCTGGTAGCGGGTGCAGAGACCCGATGTCGCCGCTCACGTAGCGCACGAGGGGGTTCTTCAGGCGCTGTAGGGACGTTTGGACGATGATGCCCGGCGATCCGTCTGGGAGGGACTCGCCTCCTTCCCCGGCGCTGTCGTCACCCCCGTCAAGAGCGGACGGGTCGAGAATCTCGATCCGCATCGTGCGCGTGTCAAACACGAAATCGGCGGCCCCCGGAACTTCCGGGGGCCCGTCTCCTGTGAGATCAGGGCAGCTGAGCGCCCACGGCCCTGCCTCCGAGCTTCCTAGAAGAGAATATATCTTCACTGGTCCGAGGACGTGGGTGACATACGCTCTTTGAGCGGGGGTGAGGGGCTCGGATGTATAGATGATCTTATCTATCTTGATTAGCTTGCGCTCTTCCGCCGGGAGCGTCGCGATGTGGTGGATGGCCCTGATGACTTGACTGCCGTCGCCAGATAAGACGTTGCCGCGGTAGTGCGCCAGGGCGGCGGTCACCTCGGCCAGCTCCATAACGTTTCCGGCAGACAGAACGCTCGCACCCGCATTCTCCAGTATCTCCAGGGTGAGGTCAAGCGATCTAGGATCATCGGTTGTTTCAGTTGCAGTACTCATTTCTATATAGGGTAGCAGGACGGACGTACCGGTAAAAGTGCCCGGAGGTGTGGGTAGTCAGGACCCAGTCGCCAGGCCCAACAAGACCACATGTTCGGATGAACTCACCCATGCGGGCCCGCTGCACGCGATTTTCAAATGCGTCCGTCGCGAACAACATCGGAAGACCGCCAGATCCGCCGCCAGTGATGCTGAGGTAGGAGCTATGGCGGTAGGTATTCTCGGGGCTCGTGTCGGCCGTTAGCCGCTCGATGGCCTTGTACCTGATCCCCCGAGCGAGTTAGCGAAAGAGAGGATAATGGGGACATGAACTGGAACCGCTCCCCAGGCAACAAATTTTTATAAAACTGGCTTACAGTTGTTTCTTTGTGGTGAGGGGGAAGAGACGAAAATCCGGCGCTGCCTGGTCACTTGCCGCCGCGTCCAAGGCATTCTGGATTGCCTTAGAGTCGGGGGGGTACTGGATCTGGGCAGAATAGAAGGGGTGGATCCTCGCGACGGCAAGGACCTCATGTAAGGAGAACACTTTGGAGTTCATTTTTCTGAACAGATGCGCTGATGTGGCTGGGGGTGTAACACTTGTGGAAAGGTTTGCAAAGTGACTTGAGCCGTACTTCGTACCTACTTATGGCCGTCACTTGTCCTCCGAGGCTCCGACATCACACGCGGTGCATTGCATTCAGTTGATCAGTTCGGGTAAGTGATGGCCGAGCACCATGGGAACACGCAACACAGTTTCACCCAAACTGTGTGGAGCGCACAAGTTGAATTCAGCTGAACATCAGAGACATGGATCAACAAGTGTCGGGATTGACGCTAATGCACCTAAGCCTTTTTGGCGCCGATTCAGCTCAGCCCGGGCCGCCACGGCGCGACGGGACGGATCGATCGGCGCGCCGAGTCTCACCGTCCTCGACAGGGTGCTTCGCCCCTTGGACGTCCGACACCTTTGCTCTCGCCTAACTAGTTATGCGAAAGAAGAGTGTCAATCACCACTGGTCATCGATACGGCAAGGCGGTCAAACGTGGCGGAATGGAGGGTGTCTAATGCAGTGACTCGGCCAGTTTTATATAAATTCTGACCGGACCGGCCTGGAAATAGAGCCGTTGCGGGCAAAAGGATGCTGTGCCAGTTGTGACGTACCGCGTAAACGTCCTACATAAGATGGCCACTACGGAAATGTCTGCAGATAGGCAGGTCGACAACCTGATCCGGAGACGGATTGCGGAGCTCGAAGAGACACCCTTTGCGCCCCAGGCGGACCTGCCGTTCATTGTGGCGGACGGCACCAAACTCCGACGACAGCACCACCAGTGGATGCAATTCCTTCCTCGGATTCAACCTTTCTACGGTCAGTATACGGTCGACGCAACCACGAAACAACATGCTAACTTTCTCTCGAAGCCGTGAAATGCAATCCGGACGTCCATCTCCTCCGGTTCTTAGCTGACCTGGGACTCGGATTCGACTGTGCCTCCCTGTCCGAGATCCAGCTGGTGCTTGGCCTAGGGGTCGACCCGTCGCGCATCATCTTTAGCCATCCCTGCAAGGCCGTTTCGACACTGCAAATGGCTTCCAGTCGTGGTGTCACGTTGGCTACATTTGATAACTCGGATGAGCTGGACAAGATCAAGAACGTCAGCCCTTCTATGCGCCTGCTGCTCCGAATCTACGCCCAGGATGATACCGCACGGGTCAGCTTGGGCAAGAAGTTTGGAGCTGCGCCGCTCGCCACCCATTCACTACTGTCGAAAGCTCGTGCCCTTGGCCTGAAGGTGGTGGGCATTAGCTTTCACATTGGTCTGTCCACTCACCTCTCGTCTTCTGCCTCCCAAGTCTGACGTTCACCCGGTAGGCTCTGCGGCATCGGAACCAAACGCTTTTCCGATAGCAGTCAGAGACGCCCGACGAGCCTTTGATCAAGGGAGGGATATGGGCTTCGATATGACTATCCTAGATGTCGGAGGCGGCTTCCAAGACTCCAACTTTGACTTGATGGCGCCCACTCTGCGCGTCGCTGTCGAGGAGGAGTTTCCAAGTAGGCACGTCCGCATCATCGCCGAACCTGGCCGGTTCTACGCCCGCAGCTACTACACGCTTGCTTCCAAGGTCATCTCCCGACGTAACCACAGCAGTGGCGCCGGCTTTTCCCAGGTCGGCATGTTGTACCAGAACGACGGAATCTATGGGTGCTTCATGAACAAGGTGACGGAAGACGAGGCGTTCGTGCCGACGCTAATTTCCGTGGACAAAGGTCATGGTGTCCCGAGGGGCCAAGGGAAGCATTGTTATTCTGTCTGGGGCCCGACGTGCGACAGCGTTGACTGTATTACTGACCGCGCGACGCTGCATTCCGAGGCCTTGGTCGGAGATTGGTTGAAGTACGAAAACATGGGATGTAAGTGTCAAGTCCAGGTGCCCTTTATTCGTCCCTAGGTAGCCTAACATCCAGATGCAGCATACTCTGCGGCGTCGGCGACATCCTTCAATGGATTTCCTAACACGTACGAGATTTTTTACGTGAACCACAGGATGCTTTCGAGGAAGGAGACTTAGGCGGAGGTACCTCTATAGGTGGTTGTTGTTTGTAGATAGAACCGCCGCGGGGTTGTCGTTGATAGAGAAAAATGCATTTCGTCCACTCCAATGTGGGATAGTTTCAAGACACCGTCGCTGAAACGTGGTGGACCGATGTCAAGTAGAGTTACCCTACGTATCACAGCATCACTGTATAGGTAGACATGGCGAAGCGACTTGGTATGTTTGAGTAGACGACCTGTGGCAACACTTTGCTAGAATGTCCTCAACACTCGAGTGTGTATTTCAATATCTTAATATAGTTATTTGAACGAAGCTTAAAAGGTGCAAGCTTTTAGAACCAAACAAGGAAACGGCATAGAGCAACGACGGACGGTTAAAAATAGTTGGCCGAAGGCAATGAGCTCGAACTTTTAATTAAGTACCAACACGCTAATTAATGACTCCCCCCTTTTGCGAAATCCAGTTTAAGGAAACGACGTAGCATCCCACCTCACTCGGCGTAGGTGGCGCTCCGGATCCCTCACCTCGTTTCTCGCATGGAGCCAGCGCCGGTTATCCAACAACAAGACGGAACCCCGGGGCATATCTTCCGCGGTGAGATGTAACGTATCTCTCTCTGCCCCCGTGCTCATAAGCACCTGCTTGAGCTCCTCCACCGCCGACACGGCCGCATGGCTCAATGGGGTGATAATATCTTCCCGGAACCTCATCATGGCGGTGGCGGGCCCACCGTGGTTGTCGTCGTCGGCCATGGCGAGTATACTGCCGACGATATGGCGCTTGCCGCTAGACCGCACAAACTCTGGGGGGACCGTGATGCGGTAATCCGGGCGGCAGAGCGCGGCGCGGGAGGAAGGTGACAGGTGGTGGAGGATGTTGTCAACCCCAAGCGCGGAGAACACGCCGCCGCCGCGCCGATCCGGCTGGAGGACTTGCAGCGCGAAATAACGCGGCGGGTTCGCCTCGTAGCTGCAGTCCGTATGCCAGGGAAACTCCTCCATCGTCTCGGACCGCGCCTGGGCTCCGTTACTCTGGAATTGGGTCGCGCTCGGCCGGATGTCCCAGAACCATCCCTGCGAGGCACTGTGATCCACGGGCAGGCCGTGACCGTGGAATTTGGCCAGCCCCACGATCAGGCCGTGCAGGTACCTGCTCTCGTCGTCCGGGAATCCCAGGTTGAGTTTCAGAAGACCTTGTTTCCGGAGGAGCTGTTGGACTTCCTGGATGTGGTGCGGATGGCGCAGAGAATCCAGTCCCGGCACGCTGAGGTGTGGAACCAGTGCTAAAGCTCCTACACAGAGGCTGAATTCAGTATGTGGGCATTCCGGCAGAGAATTCCCAAAACGGCAAGAAGCACTTACGGGTAGGAAGGGCACTCGCCCTGGATTGTGTTAAGGGACGCAGGAGGGATTGCATAGTGAGGGAGATACGCAGGCGCTGGCTGGAGGCTAGGAGGGTTACCAACACCGGGTGACGCAGAGAACTTGCAAATAAATCCAACCTTCGAGGCTAAAAGAATACATTCACTGCCGGGCAGCGCGGGCGGCATTGCCAAGCAAGACCGAGGATTTCTCGCGCAGAAAAGCGTCGCCGAGGTGTCCTGCCGATCCACAGAGGGAGGACAGCTGAAGCGACTTGGCGCCATCCAGTTGCAGATCCGATGTGATCCAAAGTACCAGTGGCGGGAACGATGAGCTCATCTCCTCTGGGTCCCGTTCGTTTGTTTTACCGAGAGGTCATCACGGCTTCAGCTGCCCCGCACTTGGATGTGGATGGGAAAAGCAGCATGGCCAGGGTCTTGCACAGAATGGATCTGCAGACCGACGAAAGGGGGTAGTGTAGGAGCAGCCGGCGGGTCCGTGTCCTTGGTAACAGGAAGATGGGTTGCAGATTGCAGCCCGGGGACGGACCAGATCGAGAGCGAGACACGCTCGATTCGCATCTCGCAGCTTCAGCTGCTCTGGCCCCGGGATTGGCATGTGTAATGTGGTGGGAAAGGCGGGCATAGCGTGGGGTTACGCAAATCTGCACACCGACGGAAGTGGTAGGAGCATCGTGCGGCTCCTAGTGGCTGGCGGATTTGAGTTTCATGTATGTACGACGGATGCGGGCCGGGGCCCGGGGCCGGGTGGATGTGGACCATTTTGACACTTGGGGAACCCGAGCGCACATTAGTGGGCGGAGATCGACGGCTCTCGTTTGTTATATATACACACCTCTACCGGGGCCACCACGCCCACGGACAGGGGTCCCTCCAGCCTTCAACGAACTTTTCTGCACAGTTCCTTCTCAGAGGCCCGAAGGTGTTTGTGTGCTTTATGACGTAGCAGGAGTCCCGCGTCTCCAGCTGGGTAGACAATGGCGAGACTTGGTGACCGGAGCGTGCGGGGACAAACAGGACGGACTTTGCGTATGAGATTTGAAATAAATCTTGGTTGATTCTCTTAGAAATTTTGGAGCCTGAAAAACGCTTGTAATGGATACCTTGATAGGGGGTGATCCCACTCGAATTGCTGAAACTGATTTGCAAGAAGCCATAACGTGTACGTGCGAACATGTTTCCAAATTAACTTCTCCAAAGTGACATTACAATGGAGGGGACAAGCCCCCTCACCCACACTGCTACTTGCATCAATTTTCCATGACAGAACAGAGCCACGAACCCCCGTTGCTCACGGCACAGATTCGGCCAGGGCTACTCCTCCAGGTCCCGAGGCCGAGGAGTTTACCATGAGCCACGTGGTAGGTCCCTACAAGAGGGTAACGAACGCGCTCCCCAGAGGTCCCAAGAACAACATCATACAACCGCTGCTTCACCTGGCGCTGAACAACCCAGGCTCCACGCCCGGGAACGAGGTCGGCGCTTTCAAGTTTCTCCAGGTGTGACGTCCACTCGGAGGCACTCACTTCATCCCCAAATATAATGCCAGCCCCTTTACCACCCCGGATTGGCTTCAGGAGGTAATCGTTTCGGAGCTCTGGGAATTCCATGGAACGCAAGTAGCAATTCCTTAACTTTGGCGGACCCCGGGAGAAACGTCTCAGCGATGCCGTGGCGGAGAATATCAGCCTGAGCCTCGCTAAGCACTGACCGACCAACGAGAGAACCGAGCTCTTCTGTCACAATCCCGAGCATCCTCTTGTCGTGGACAAGAAAGATGGTCCGGAGGTCATTAAAGCACCGAAGGCTGATGGCACGCAGGGTTTCCCTTGGCAGGGCGAGAAGCTCCCGTTGGTGCAGTTCCAGACCGACCTGGTGGACTTCCTCGACCATTTCTCCGTTGACAGACATGAAACTGGTTTGTCCTAGGGCGTTGCGTGGGTGTTTTGGGGATTGGGCGAGACAGCAGAGTTTGTAACCGAGTGGATCCTGGTCATCAGGGACGAGGCGGAGGTCCTCTGGAGCGATGACCCGCGGCTCAAGCCCGAGATGACGGCGGTAGAAGTCGACAAACATGTGGATGTCGATGCCGCGCTCCTCGCTTTTCAAGAGGTGTAGGGGTCTATCGAGACGAAACAAACTGTATAATCCGCCAACGATCTATTTCCGTATCAGTAAACCGGCTCAGTCTGCGTGAAGTCGGGAGTTGGTCGTACCTTGGCTGGATCTGTCGCGCCATAGAGGCCACGGTCCTCAACCCCAAGGTTAAGAAGGGCCTGCTGCCCATATGCTTCATGCATAAACCCGTTGAAGGAGAAGCGGGCATTGATCTCTGTGAGACAGAAGGTCTCTGCAGATGGGTACAGCCCTCCTTCCACGCCTTCCGCGACCAGGAAATCTGGTCTCCATGACCCTAGAACATCGCGGAACTCGGGGAGGCCATGGGGAACTTGCTGGTCCATCCACTAACGATTGCGTTAGTGCGACAGAAGCGACAAGGCACATGGAGCAGGGGACTTGCCTGGAGCAGTTCCTCCTCCTCTTTGGGCAGCGGCATCCGCTGGGGAAAGCGAGCGGAGTCATCAGTCCACCAACGCTGAACAACATCCGTGATGGCCAAAGTCAATGCTTCATGCAGTTCCTCCAGCTGGCGCTGATGGTGCTCGGTGATGAGGATGGGTCTAGGACAGCCGTTCGCGAAGGAACCCTTGTGCCATACTTCGGCGTGGCACATCTTCAGCAGGCAAGACTCGTGCATGTCCTGCTCCTGGCGATAGGTAGCCATTGCAGTGGATTCCGCGAGTCCATGGCCAGCAGGGCCGAGGATTGCGTGTATCTGCTGCAGCTGCTGTGTCGTTGTGGATTTCATGGCGTCGAAAGTCAGAGTAGGAATGAGATAGCGATCGGGAAGGGGAACAGCAAAGTGAATGCGAGCCTGTGAGCTCAGGAGTATTTCTGGGTGGCTTACCCAAAGTACTCGGACGGATGGCTGGGAACGCTAAAGAAGATCTTGGCTGAGTATGAAGACACAAACAGACCACCACCCTAACCGAGGTGCTTGGAGCGGCACGCCGGGTGTAGTTGCATCCATCATCGATCATGCATGTGGTGATCGCGGCGGTCCAATGATCGCCGAACATGCAGCTGCATGTTTTGGATGTGTTCGTGATGGATGTGATTCGAGCTTTCCTCCCGACATAGGCAAGCGAGAATAGGTACTCAATCGTGGAGTTCTCAGCTACGTCCTTTAGCCGAAAGAGGCTGTCATCGACGTCCAAAAATTCCGATCATCTGCGGCTACTGTGGTAATTCAGCTGGCGCACTCGCGATGTTTTCAGACCCCTGCCGACGGACGCCTTGCAGCTTGGTTGGGCCATCCGAGACCTCACATCTGCGGATCGTTGTGACATCGGGATACCAAGGCCAAACCACACTTGGCATCCGATGGGATGCCCCACCGGATGGAACACAGTGCGGCCGACACGATGGCCTGCGGGTGATCGCTTCCAGCGTGGGACAACAGACGGCACACTGTTAGCGTGGACCATGTTGAAGGAAAAAAGAATAGAGAGAAAACAAGTGGGTGTGCATGTCATGTCGGCACCGTGACTGGGCCGCTTTGCACAGTTCGTAGCAGTTCCCCTCAGCATTGCCTTCTCAGCACGCATGTGCGTCCATTGTCTCATCACACTCATTGCGGACGCTGTCCAAACTCCAAAGCATCTCGTGCACCGTTCCTGGGCTGCCACCTTACTGCCACCGCGATGTCTTCGTCACCAGCACCGTTTTCTTGGTCGTCCTCAGAACCATGTGACGGAACGTCGGAAGAGACCCCCCTTCTCCATCCCAAGGGGTCCTCCCTCGGAAAACACACGAACCCTACACCTCGGGCTGAGGACGACCTCTGCTGCCCAGAGAAGCCCCTTCCAAAGGGGCAGATCCTCTTGCTGTGCTTTGCACGCATGATGGAGCCGATAGCCTTTTTTTCAATATTCCCCTTCATCGCGCAGATGGTTCAGAAGAACGGGCAGCTCCCCGAGTCCGATGTCGGTTTTTACAGCGGCCTCATCGAGTCGCTCTTTTCGGCCACGCAAATGGTCGTGCTCATATTCTGGGGCCGCCTGGCAGACCAAATCGGCCGGAAGCCCGTTCTTCTATGTAGTCTCGTGGGGCTGGCGATTGGGCCTGTCTTGTTCTGCTTGGCTACGACCATCCCGGAGATGATCTTCTTCCGATGCCTCGCCGGCATGTTCTCCGGGTCGGACCTCATCATCCGGACCATGATTGCTGAAAACAGCACTCCCAAAACTCAAGCCAAGGCCTTTGGGTGGTTCTCTATCGGGGGCAATCTCGGCATCTTCCTGGGGCCGGTTGTGGGTGGTGCGCTCGCCAGCCCTGCTACCCAATACCCAGCTCTGTTTGGTGGCATGGAATTCTTTGAGCGGCACCCATATGCGCTTCCGGGCATTGCTACTGGGGTTATCAGCCTCACGGGGGCGCTCACCGTCGCTCTCTTTCTCAAAGAAACACTGCCCCAGGAGGAAGGTCGGCAGGATAGCTCTCCTAGCCAACAGCAACCAGCACCGGTAATGTCTGTCTCAGAGATCGTCCAAGCGCCGGGCGTCATGCTCGTCCTCTCTCTCTACGGGCACGTCATGCTCCTTGCCTACGCCTTCACCGCCATCCTCCCTATCCTCCTCTACACCCCCGTAGACCTGGGTGGTCTCGGCTTCGGTCCTTCCCTGATCTCCCTCATCATGGCCGCCGAAGCCGCTAGTCAAGCTCTCTGGCTCCTCCTGGCCTTCCCCCCACTTCACCGCCGTTACGGTGCAAAGGGCGTCCTTCGCGCGTGCGGAATCGCTTACCCGCTGACCTTCGCCGGGTATATCCTCCTCAACCAGATGCTCCGACGAGGTGAGGGCAACAGTGTGGTAATGGCGTGGTTCTGGGTTGCCTGCGCGATCGAGTCGCTCGTCGGACCGGGTGTAGCGATGTCCTTTACAGCAGCCCAGCTCGCCCTCAATGAAGCTACGCCCAGTCCCCAGGTCCTCAGCACTCTCAACGCTATGGCTCTAACCGCTGCTAGCGCTGTGCGCGCAATCGCACCTGGTGCAGTGTCGGCGGCGTACGCGGTTGGGGTGAGGAGTCGACTACTGGATGGGCAATTGATCTGGATAGGGCTAATACCCCTTGCTTCTATCTTGGGCGTGATTGCTAAGTGGCTCCCGGAACGAAGGGGAGAAAACAGCGAGGAGGTTAATGATGCTTAAGAGGGATCGCAGTGTGTTACATTATGTTAGTTTGTTCCTACTACACTTAGGATATGGTAATAAAGTAAACGTGAGCTATGAGATTACTTGTATCTCGTAATCCATTAGTCTGGCCCTCCACTTTGGACATTAGATGCGGAATTTGTTATCTCTGTAAGTTACGCGATGCGGTGTAAGAGCGGGCTTAGGTGTGACTGCTTGGTATACATGGATTGTTTGCACATACGTGCAAAAGCCCCTGCGTAGAAAATGGCTGTTCCTAAAATGACAGTTCGAAGTCCAAAATTCTTTAAGGTTGGAGCTAGGATTTGGGGCTAGGTAGCCTTAAAGTTAAAGGGAGTTAGTGTAGCCGTTGCTTGTTGGGTTCCTCGGATTAATAAGGTTTACAAGATTAGCAAGGAGCGGAGATGACATAAGGGAGCGCGGGGTGGCTGCATGAAGTTGAGCGGCTTCGGTCATTGACGCCCACCCAACGGCTGGCACCTCCTACGTAAAACCGACGCCCGCGGCCGATCCAATATTGACCTGTCGAGGCCACACCTTTCATCATGACCAACCAACAACAGGACACACTACCACTTCTAACCGAGCGCCTGCGATCTTCTTGCAATCCTTGCGGGACCGCCAAGGTGAAATGTAATCGCGGACAGCCTCAATGCCATCGCTGCGCTGGTATGGGCTTGGATTGTGTCTACGGAGTTACGCGCAAGTCCGGAAAGCCGCCGCGGAAACGTCTAGCGTACACGAAGCGTCCGCCCACCGCCATAACAACACTCACCGCTATGACAACACCTACAAACGATGCCCCGAACGCTCGCGACACAAGCTTCTTACGCCCTAGACCGTCGGATTGCCTTGGACCACCGTCGAGCATCCAACCTTCAGATTTAATGATGACCGACATTCCAATACAGCCTGACATTGCCAACGGTGTTGATGACCACAACTCACTCGAGCCCTCATTCTTCGTCCCCCAATCCTCGTCAATGTTCCTCGACAACTGGGACCTGGACTTGGGCCCAAATCTTTCTTCGTTTGTGCCCGCGACCTTCGCCCCGGACGAGCGCGACGGCTTCTCCCTAGCGACACCGTCGGTTTCTACCGAACACGACTGCCCCCTGAAGTCGTTTCAAGTCTTCAGGGATTTGACAGCGGTTCCGTCTCTGTCCGAAGAAAACGCGGATACTATCTTGGCGCAACTCGACCGGGTACTGCAGGCCAACAGGAATGCCATTGACCGCCTCACGAGTCTTCTCAAATGTTCCTGCGTCAAGCCGCCATACCTGATTATGCTTCACTCATCTATCATCTCCCGAATATTGGGCCTGTACCAACAGGCGGCCGGGTCCGCTCACACCGTCCGACGTGGTCCAGCAGCAGAAACAGCTCAAACAGCAGCCGCCGGTAGCTCGCCGGCGTCTTCTTACTCGACACCGGCATCCGGCACCACCATCAACACCAGTAACGCGGAGATAGGTACGAGGGGGATTTCCGACGAAGTCGCACAGTTGCCCTTTTCGCTGGGAAGATTCAGCATAGAGGACCCCTGTGTGCAGTTCGCCTTCAAAAATCTGCTGATCGGCAACGAGCTCAAGAGGGCAGGCAGTTTGATCGGCCTCTTCGCCTCGCAGTCTGCCGGGGATAATGCGGATGGTCTCCGCTCAAGTCTAAGCGCATGGCTTCGGGCCGATCATTCCAGCACGGTCAGGATATTGCGGTCCGCAATCAAGGAGCTAAATGATGGCATCGACCTTTAACCAAGGTCATGGTCCCTAAGACTTTCCTTTTGTTATATGGCTAGTCCTTTTTCACCATTCTCCGTTCTACATAGTATATACTATCAGTCTTAGTTACGAATTCAACCTCTTTTCATACCACAAAAGGCTGGTGTGCTGCTGGGTATCGTGGATGTGGTTAGCTCGGGATATGTCTCTGCCGTCTTGCCAAATTCCCGGTCCCGGGACTCCCGTTCGGGACTCCCGTTCGGGGCGCCCCGTCGATGGATGTCATGAAGTGCGTTTGTATAAGGCTTGGCAGGCTGCCGCATCGATCCTGTATCCGCTTGTGGACCAAGACGCCTAACTAGGGGGATTTTCCATGCTCGCCTTATTCTAAGACGGAATTAGTATCCATCAATTAGTCCAGGCATGTCCGCTGTCCGCTGGTGGTGGACAGGGAGGTGGTACGATCTCCCTTTTGGCCCCCGGCCAATGGGATGTTGTTTTTGAACCCCAGCCAATAGGGGCCGACCTTCGGTCCCCGAACGACACGAGAACATCGAACGAGAATAAGGTAGGGGCTGCATGTTCGGAGGACCACGCTGCTGTCCCGGCAGCTCGATCTTGAGCGAAGGGTCGTTTGATTGCTTACGAACGGTCAAGTTGTCGGGGGAATGCGTTTATTCTCCTGATTACCAAGCGAGGAATGCTAAGATCTGACCCGGATACGCGTCGAGATTCCAAGATTATAGATCTCGATCCGGCTTCTCTTCTGCCTAGAGTTCTCTCACCGCTCCCGATCAGTCCATTTTCCTTTAACACAGACAACATTCACAGCGGACCCCGCCGGTCCCAAATTAACCTCAACATGTCGGAAAACGAGCCCGCCTCCCGCTCTGGTGGAGAGTCTTCCGAGCCGGTGGAAGAGAAGGCGCCGGTAGGAGTACCCTCCGAGTCCACAGACAATATCGGCGCCCAGTCTTCGCACCTATCCGGCCTCGCTCTCTCCCTCTGCATATTCGCCCTGTGCATCGCCACCCTGTGCGTCGCCTTGGATAACACTATCATCGCAACCGCCATCCCTCGAATTACGGACGAGTTTCACAGTCTCACAGATGTGGGATGGTATGGGTCTTGTGAGTTCCAAACTGTCCCTACCTCTACGATTATAATCCGCCCTGGATGGCAGTGCTGACGACAGCACGTCCGCAGCCTACCTTCTCACAACATGCTGTAAGCAATGCTATGGCCCAGGACGAACGGGAACCCCTCCCAAGTCGAGCCGCTGCTGATACTCTAGGATGCAGCATTTCAACTCCCCTTTGGCAAGCTCTATAAGGTCTTCAACCCGAAATGGGTTTTCCTCGTGGCCTTGTTAACTTTCGAGGTCGGCTCTGTCATCTGTGGTGCTGCACCGACCTCGATGGCATTGATCATAGGCGTAGGTTCCACCATCTTAACAGACGGCTTTCCTCGGTAGTTCCACTCCGGACTAACAGAGGTATGAGAGGCTAACATTTGTAGGATTAGCGAGCCATCGCTGGTGTAGGATCCGCGGGTGTCTTCAGCGGCTCGCTGGTCATTATCGCACACTCCACACCCATAGAGAAGAGGCCGATCTACACCAGCATCGTTGGTGGCATGTTTGGCATTGCTTCCGTTGTGGGGCCCCTCGTAAGTGCACTTCCCTGTACGAAGAGCTCGTACCGTTTGAGCGGAGGCTAAAGCAGAGTGCGTTAGCTTGGAGGTGCATTCACCGATCACGTAACCTGGAGGTGGTGCTTTTACATTAATCTTCCAATTGGGTGAGCGCCCTCCTACGTCCCTTTTGATAGTTTATAGGCGCGATGACTGACTGACCATTCGTGTAACCTTGTAGCGCTGTGACGGCGGTGGTTCTTCTCTATTTCCTACGTCTAAATGCTGGCGGCAATCCTCTAAGGATACAAAGCGCCGGGAGGTTCCTATGGAGCCTTGACCCTCTCGGTCTCTCCCTGTTCGTGGGCGCTATCACGTGTTGTCTCATCGCTTTGGAGGTACGTGGACACGATGATTCCGTATAATCGTTATCAGCAGCTTACCCCTCGCTAGTATGGTAGTGCGGGCGAGTCTTGGGGTAGTGGACGAATAATTGCACTATTTGTAGTGTTCCCCCTCGCACTCATCAGCTTCGTTATTGTCCAGTGGTGGCTTGGGGAGAATGCGACTAGTAAGCCTTCCGTTTCAGCTGTGCCCCCTTAGTATTGCTAATATGTCTTAGTCCCCCCCCGTGTCGGGCTTCAGCGGACGATTTGGTCCTCTAGTCTTTTCACCTTCTGTCTGTCTTCTGGCTTCTTCATTCTAATCTACTTTCTCCCTATCTATTTCCAAGCTGTAACGGGCAGGACAGCGCTCGACTCGGGCATCGCCAGCATCCCCCTCATTCTCTCCAACGTACTGGGCCTCATCCTAGTCGGCGGCCTGGTCAGCACATTCGGCTTCTACATACCCTTTGTCTATGCCTGTATTGTCTGTATCTGCGTCGCGGCGGGTCTCATCACGACACTAGCTGTCGATACTACTATAGGTCAATGGATCGGCTACCAGATCTTATACGGCTTCGGAGTCGGCTGTGCCTACCAGCTGCCGCAGATCGCCGCCCAGACAGTGCTCCCTCTAAACGATGTCCCAACCGGCCTCGCCATTACCATCTTCTTCCAGAACTTCGGCCCGGCCGTGCTTCTCAGTGCGGGAAACAATGTGCTTAACGAAGGGCTCCTACGCTACATTTCCGAGCTCGACCTCCCTAGGGTTAACGCTCTCGCTGTGTCCCGTGCGGGTGCCCTTGCCTTCCGAGAACTCGTACCTGAAGAATACCTCGGTGCCATCATTGGGGCGTATAATGAGGCGTTGCAGGACACCTTCCGAGTCGCGCTGATTATGTCGTGCTTAACCGTCATTGGTGCCGCCTTTATGGAGTGGAAAAGCGTGAAGACGGCAAAGGGGGGGGGGAGGTCAGCCATTGCTATAGCCTAATGGGGTAACTATAATAAGATTCCAATAGCTAATTAGTGATTTCTGTCTGTCTGTTTGTCTGAGGATGGAATGCGGTGCTTATGCGGATTTTAACGCTGACCAGCTTTAGGAAGTCCTTCTAGAGGTGGGATGTGAAGCGCGAATCTCTGTTAGAGATAATGTTGCTAGGAATATTATCGAGACGCTAATACTCTCTAGTAAAGTTCTGCGCGGCACTGGGGATCCGAACCCGCCCGCTCGGCTATACCGAGCCGCACTTATATACAGGAATGTTAGCGGCCATCATGTGGTGGTCACGGCTGTTCTTCTTGGAGGCCGCATTCGAGGACGAGCCGCGGGATCAGGACGAGGTTGCGATCGAGGCGGTGCTCGCATCCCGGGATCAGCACACCGCTTGGATGTGCGTAGGCACACACACCGTCGCCAGCACCATCATCGGATGGATGGCGCTCGGAAAGGGTTGGCGGTTGCGGATGGGTGGGCAGCCGTCGGTGCGTTAGGCCGAGGACGGCGAGTCGCTCTTCCACAACAGCGAGCACATTATAGTCCAGGATTTCACACGGGCGCTCCGGGAACAGGTCGTCGAGGCACAGAAGCTGCTCGTTCCACTGCTCAGGGGGCCGTAGGAGAAGATAAGGTCGAGGATTAAGCTAGGGCGGATCATCGACAGCATGGTGCGACTCGGGGCCGGACAGTCATTCGCCACTAACCCGAAGAACAAATGGCTTGAGCCAGGACCGTCGACGGTAATGAGGCAGCTGGGAACATCGATCTAGAATCCGAGGAGGCAGGTCTTTAAGCGAGAGGCAACTAAGCGCTGGCTTCGACAGCTCAGGGTGTTCCGGGGTGCTGATGGTGCTCGTCCATACATAGGGAGGGCTGCCCGGTCGAGGACCCGAGGTTGCAACGCTGCGGCACTGCCACTCATAGCAGCTGATCCGTAACTTGTTTGTGGTTAACGGGCAGGTAATGATCGTCACCGACCGAGACAAGATGAAGGCGATCCGGGACAACTCGCACAAGGTCGCCCGGTTCGTGCCCGAGGAGATCGGGCAGATGATGGTGGCATACATCGCGTAGCTGATCCCGGCGGAACGCGCACTCCAACATAGGTGTAAGCTGGCCGAGCCGTACGGGGAGCAACTGGAGTTCATGTAGCACAATAGTAGCTCGCCGGTATAGGATACGGACTGACTTAGCTGGAAGCTAGTACGAGTGCTACAGGCTCCTACAGGCGTGAGGCTAGGGGTAGGACGATACCGAGTCGTCGCCATCGAGATGGGTCGGCGAATTCGGAGGCTGGTGCTGAAGCAGATCGAGAGCCGGATAGACGACGACGGTGGGGACGATAATAACGTCGAGGTTAATCCCGTTACAGGGGAGCCGGTATACTATAGTGGAAGCTAGAACATCGTATAGGATCTGGCATCAACGTACGGCAGCTAGGTTGCTCGACAGCACTATGCTGTGCACATCAGGTTCCTGGGTAAGCTGTAACCGGAGATAATTGTAACGTTTAAGGAGATTAGCCGGTTATAGCATCAGTTCTTGGAGGGAGACGGGATCGGAGATAGCAAGCGGAGGCGGGTAGGTAAGGTTACCGAGTCCGGGATACGGCACCGTACCGATAAGAGCAGCCAGAAGCGGATCTGGAGCAAGGTGGTGGTAGAGGTTAATGTAGAGGAGGAGATAACAACTGGCTTGTGTAAGCTGCTCGGGGCCGGGGCGACTTGGCGCAGCGAGGAGTAGGCCGAGAGCATATATACGATTATAGCTCTGAAGGATAGCCAGTTACTCATTAGTATATTACTAACCAGGGCCGGCAAGAGCATACTGTTTATGCTACCGGCGATTATATAGAATACTGGGACTAGTATTGTAGTTATGCTGTTTGTAGTATTGATGGAGGACTTGGTTATATATATAGTAGCGATAGGGGTTAACTATATCCATTTTCGATTATTATTATATGCTGGGTGTAAGGGGCTACTGTAAGTAGCCTAGTTAGTGGTTATAAGCGCTGATATTGTTAGTACCAAGGAGTTTTCGGGCTATACTAATAGGTTATTATATACTAGCTTGCTTTAACGGATCTTTATTAATAAATACTATACCGTTATTATAGACATTAGGTACTAGGGTTAGCTAGGAGAGCTCTAGGGCTTATACCGGTATTACTGCCTGCTAATACTATTAATAGTAATGTTACTGGATATATTTAATAACTGGTTCCGAGAGTAGATGTTAGTAGAGGCTGCTATAACGGTATAGGCCCGGATAACGAAGGTTAACTGCCGGTACCGAGTATAGTAGGTTAAGCCTAGGAATGGGGCTATTAGGTAGTAGGTTATAGAGATAGCTTAGTAGCTCGAAGTACTAATATCTAGGTAGTTAAAGGGTATAATCTACTACTAGTTAAAGTAGCAATATATAGCTATTGAAATTTAGGTGGGTGAGGCCCTATAGTGCACACACTGACAGGGCTTATAATGTACTTTGGGGAAGCAATGTACAGTACTATTGCTTAGCTACCAGCAGTAATTACAGGGCCTAGGCCCTATAACAGTGGTTAATTTAGTAGGTAGACCACTATTGTTTTGGGAATGCCTCTGTATTTGCTATCTTAACTACTAGAGTTGGATTTACTACTTCCTTCTCATATACCTACCGACCGGGGTACAGTGCCGAATTCGGCCCAGCGGTCTTAGTGGTAAAAAACTGAATCCCGCAAAACTCATTTGTATAGGTTTGACTAAAAATGGGCTTACCTGCTTGCAGCCGCACCTAGAAGTGCCCGGGCTTACTTATACTACTACCTTAAAAACCGGTGTAGGGTAGGCCGGTTGGGGCTAAGCGGTGTAGGGTAGGCCGCTTAGGAGCTAACTACTGGTGTAGGGTAGGTTGCTTGGGATGCCAAGAGGTGCAGGGTAGGCCGGTTGGGAACAACCGGGTGTAGGGTAGCTCGCTTGGGAAACCCAGGTGCAGGGTAGGTGTAGGGTAGCTCGATTCGGGAGAAACCAACACTTAGTGAAAAGAAGAACCAACCTTCTTCAAACTAAGATAGCTAGCCACCCAGTAATCGTACCGCCACAACCAAAATATGTCACGAACCAACCATATAACGGGACCGCGTGGGGCGCAGCAGGACTGCCCTCACCCAATCGGCTGGGAAGCCAAGACGCGGGGGCCCGTTGGGTAGCCCAGGGACGCTGGCTACCCGGGACAGGCGGTAGCCTTGGATCGCAGTCTACCACGAGCTACCACGGGTAGACTTGGGTAGACGGGCGACCATGAGCTACCACACACACAGGACAGGTACAGAGATACCTGGGACTTAGATAGTATATAGTCACTCGTTCTGGAGAGCTCTGGGAGTTCTCCAGTTAGCAATCACAACTACAGTTCGCTACAAGCTCGAGAGCCTACTGTTGAGACAAGTCTTTGTTGTGCACCCTTTGGCTGCACCGAACCTAAGCACCCCTGAGAGAATACCTTCGACCGATACTGAACCCTAACAGGACGGGTCCAGAGACAGGTTCGTCACACGTTGCTAACTCCCTTTGATCTGTTACAGTTCAGGCTCGAAGGTAAAACGACATGGCAACTCAACCGACGCCGGGCCAGATCACGGCCGCGCTTCAGAGAGTCACCGAACGACTCGATGAAACTGAAGAAGAGCTTGCAAAGACCAAGGCCAGCAACGCGGCATTGGCAGCCCGACTTGCGGCGACCGAGGTCCACACCAAGGACCCGGCCAAGACAAAGGTCAAATTGGAGCAACCCGAGAAGTACGGGGGCGACCAGGAAGCCTTGCCAGGTTGGATCACGGAGATGCGGAACTATCTCGACCACAACTCGCACCAGTTCGCCACTGAGGAATCCAAGACCAGATACGCCGCCACCCGACTCAAGGACAAGGCCCTCAAGTGGTTCACGGGAACACTGAGTGATTTCCTCGGCGGAGCAATCCACAAACCCTTCACCAAAAAAGTCTTCGAGAACTACTCCGAGTTCGAGAGTGAGATTCAGAAGGTGTTCGGTGACAAGGACGAGAAGTTACACGCCCAGGAACGGCTAGGACGGCTGAAGCAGACTAGGTCAGCCACCGCCTACGCCACGATTTTCCGACAAGACTCCATGAAGGCAGAGATAGACGACGAGGGGCTGATGCACCTGTTCTACGGAGGGCTGAAGGAGGAGGTCAAGGACGAGCTCTACAAGGAGAGCCGACCCGACACACTCGACGAGTACATCGCCATGGCTGTCAAGATTGACGACCGACAGTTCGCCCGCAAACAACAGAAGAAGGGCAGCGAGGTTCAGCGATCCGCAGGCTACCACAAGCCCAACGACAAAAAGAAACGCCAGCACCAGAGCACGTCATACGGCACGCACTCGGGACCCATGGACGTCAGCGCTGCCCAGGCACAGTGGGCAGGAAAGAGAGATGGTGCCAAGGACAAATCAGGCATCACCTGTTACAACTGCGGGAGGAAGGGTCACTTCAAACGTGACTGCCGCAGCAAGAAAGAGTGGAGACCGGTTCCAGGGAAGGAAGCTGCCACCATCGACCAAGACACGGTCGGAAGAAGAACCCGGTTTCTGGAGGTCGCAGCCGCCAGCTACACGCAGGACGACCTCGAAATCGACATTGACCGAGTCATCGAGCAGGACGATGAACTCACCGACTCGGATCAAGAAGACTTGAGGAGCAGCAACCACCAGGAGGGGAATGACACCGCCCATCACGCTTTCATCGAAACGAATGACGAGGGAGAACTGGCTCCCCCGCGGTACATCCGACAAGTCGCTGAGGACTGGGGCATCACCCTGGTTCAGCAAGAGGACGGGCAATGGCGAACCCACGAGGGTGAAGGAGGAGTCAGCCCGAACCTCACCTTCCTACAGCAGAGGGTCCTAAGCCAACGGCAAAGGATCGAGGAGTTGTCGAGAGAGAAAGAAGAACTCGAGCAGCTTCTCCAAGCAAGGAACGACCAGTATGGACAACTTTGCGCGGAACTCGATTTCGCCAGAGAACGAGTCCAAGAGATCACCGAGGCCAACAACAGGGCCGGGGATCACGTCGAAAAGACATTAAGAGAGGCACAGGCCTTGCAGGACGACATCCGCCAGGT